GGGGGAGCTCACCTATTGCAATGACAATTGGAGTGATTGTCGCCAGACCGACTTGTTGGTAGAGAAGATAAATGGAGATGGCAATTTCGATCGGAGAAGCCCAGACTGCATCCATCTCTTCCACGCCAGTCGCCATACAATCAATATCGGTGCTCATGAGCGTGATGGCGGCAGAATCCTTGGCAGCGTGAGAGTCGATACGAAGAGTGGTTTCATAAATCAGCCCGACCAGGCTGCCCCTCAGCATTGTGATAAGACGATACAGGTTATGCTTGAAAAGCCCCGTCGTCACCGCGATGCCGATGTATATGAGCAAAGTGGCGCCGATCAACGCATACCCAACATTCTTTCTGCTAGGGCTGTCCTCGGGCTCAAGTAAAAGCGAAAGAGCCCTATGTATCAAGAGAGGTTGGCAAAAGTTGAAGGCGATGAGGCACAGCCGGTAGAAAACAATGTAAGAAATCTGTTTCCAGAAGCACCGGAATACAGTCTCGATCAGGGCTCTAGTTGAAGGATTCCTCCTGACGCCCGAGTACCATGACTGTCGGAATTTGGCGTGCAGGTGATCGAAGCTCAGTTCCTCATCGAGTTCATACAGATCCTCCAATTCAAGACTTGAGGACCGACCTTTGAGCAGGAGAGAGTTGATCCACCAGAACACACTTCTATTTATAACGCCACCCAAAGCTTCCGGCGGGTAATTTGCGTAGGGCTCTCTGAGTATCTTCCTTTTCTCTCTCATCTCTGCAAAGAGGGCTAGGGCCTTGCATACGAGTCCCATCGTAAAAACAGCAGCCAGCGCATGATCATGCCTGAGCCATAGCGTCCGAGCTTGAGCGATATCGAACAAGGTGGAGAAAGCCAGGTAAGCGTTCAGAATCCCGGATGGTCGAACAGCCCTGCTGTGGTGGATGAATGAGAGAGTCGCCAGAGCCAAGCCTGCTGTCATAGACAATGCTGAGGCCGCAACGGAAATTTTAGTCGCATCACTGGACGATGACCAAAGCGCCACAAGCACAAGCTGTGAGATAATAAAACCAGCGAGGGGGATCTAATTCAATGGCATGAGGTCAATTACGCCGGACTGGTTTTTGAAAAAGCAAAAGAGAATGGTTTGGGATGACTGGGGAGCTCCTACTTGCTTGAGTATTGGCCTATTGGACCCTAATGAAGCTGGCTTGGTTTTGACGCTCTGCTTATATAGAACTGCGATACGATGGATGCACACCAGTATGGCAATGACGGTTAAGGGAGTCGAAAGTATAGCTTGCTCAAAGAGTAGAGTGAAATCAAAGTCATCTCTGCAACCAATCACCCGGGGACCGAACTTGTCATCCGCTCCCGGCTCGCAAGTCGACATTTTTCGCCTACGTAGACTCACTCCGATAGACCAAGCGGAGTGTATTGAAAGCTTACGACTGCCAGTATTTGTTGGAGAGCAGACTCAACTGTCCGTGGTAAATGCCATGTGCAAAAGCCAGAATAAGCGATGAGGGGTTGAGTGACTCATAGATAATGAAGGATAGAGGAATCCTTCTTGTCGACCGGGTACAAAAGCCTTTAGTACGATTAGTACGCGTAAATCCCCTGGAACTGTCCCCTGCACATGCAGATCAAAGTGTTAGTTCCAGCTATCGATGCTACATTGTGCTTACAACGAAATCATGGTCACGGTTCCCCGTTTAGGCTATTTTCTGCGCACTTTTTGGACCGCAATTATCGCTTGGCATCTTGAATTCATACCGGACAGTATCATGGCTGCTGCGGGAATTGAGCTTCGAAAAAGCGCTTGCGTCGAGGGCCGAGAAGACATGCGAAGAGCAGCCGATAATGCATTGCTCCGAGACCCGGATCTGACCCAATCACGCAATCATCCTAGCTTCTGTCCTCATTTCGGAGACAGAAAATTGGAGGAAGTTGGAAGTCCGAAGTGCTTCAATCAGTCTTGGAAATCAATACATGTAGCTTGGCCATTGCTGTCGAAAGACCCTTAGAGATGGGGCAGAGGTGTTGGTTGTATCAAGAACTGCGCTGTATAGCCCTTTGTCCGGTGCCGGGGCATGATGAAGACTGTGCTGAGACACGCCCACGATCACTATACTAATCGTACAGAGCTTTTTCGAACAGGGTATTGACCATTCATTTTAAGTTGTGCAGTCTGTCCTTTCAAAAACTATATATCACGGCTTAAAGAATTAATGAAGGTTGAGAGATTTTGGGATTGCAAGTACTAGGGTTGGTGGTTATTGAAAGAACAAGCTACGGGATGATTTCACTTGCTTCGACCTCTCATAGCTGTTCTAACAAGCAGGACTTGAATGTGGGGGCAAGGCAAGTTAGAATAGAATGCTGCGCAATATTGGACCTCCGTCAGTATAAGCTAGATATGGTATTCCAACCTCTTCGGACAACTTCCGGCAGTTTTATCTAGATATATTGAAAGGAGGCAGAATAGAACTATAGGGTAGGCTACTGAGTAGCCGGTGGACTGGTCACGTGCAAATCGGTTGTTTTGAATGACCCCACTTACTCTTACTCTCGATCACTCTCGCGTCTCGGGTCAATATTTTGACGGGCCTTTTTATCTACCTTGCTTCAAACGAGACGTCGAACAATGGCGGCGTTTGCTCTATGCTTGAAGCCCCGTCCTTGCTAGCACCCTTGTCTATGATGTAGATATCATCTCCCCGGCCTCTGAACCGGTTCGTTGCCGCCGCTATCCGTGAGACAGCACTACGTTGCCACCAACGGCCCCAAACCCCAATCCATGACGAGAGCCCTTGTCAGGAACCATGGCCCACCCCCAATCCAACGACGTTTTCCTTGCTGGGAATCGCATCGGCGCCTGGATTCTTCCCAGACCGTCAGATCCCGCGATGAGCGATGACCGTCTTGACGGCTGTGTCCTTGGCCGCCTGGGTTCTACGGAGATCGCAAGGCGAGAGCGAGCCCGCCGGCCCAAGGTTCGCACTGGCTGTGTCACATGCAAGGCTAGGCGAGTCAAGTGTGACGAGCGTAAGCCCGCATGTGCCCGCTGTGAAAGCGCCAGGGTTACTTGTCAAGGTTACGTCGAGGCCATCGACCGGCGCAGAAAGAGCGTAGTCGCCCGGCCTATGGGTACACGGCCTCTCGCGCCTCGATCCCCCACGCCCAACATGCAAGAGATAATCGTGACTCGGGCCATTCCGCCTAGCATATCGACACTACCCCTGGCTGGCCATCAGGATGGGGCGTACTTTGATTACTTCCGGCATCAAGTCACGTCCAACCTGGCTGGATTTTATACGTGTCCAGTCTGGTCCCAGCTCGTCAGCGAAGGCCTCCAGGACGATTGCATTCAGCATTCGATACTCGCGGTAGGGGCGCTGATTCGAGCCGTGAGCACCGAAAAGAGCCTCATTCCTGACATTTCATCCCCAATTTCGACCGAAGAAGATACTTATGCAGTTGCCCAACACCGCAACATAGCCCTGCGGCATCATTTGAAAGCCGTGAAGTCGTTGCGAGAGAGAATAGAGGTTATGGCCACGACAGCTCCCAGGACCGTCGTAGTGTCGACTCTTCTACTTGTTGTCTTCGAGTTGGTACAAGGCCAGGCCAGGATAGCGGAGACGCTTCTTGATTCTTCATTGCGTATCCTGAAAGACCTGATTACCATCTTTCAAACAAATACTGAGGAGCAAGCCAAGCGTGTCAGAGATTCCGGATTTCAGGATATGGAACATGTCCTGCCCTGCATTTCCGTTATGAGCCACCTCTCAAATATCTCTCGACCCCAGCATCAGTTTCCAAGTTTCTTCCAGGTTGAACCTGAGCTTCGTTCCGATGACCCCGATTGTAGCAGCGTTTCAGAATTCTTTAGTTCCTGGGGTAGATTCTTTACCTCTGGTAGCATCTTTGTGGGCCACTCCGCTTCCACTGTGACTTCAACTAACCCACCGGACGACATCGCCGTCATGCGCCGGGACGTATTTCTCTCTCAGCTGCAGAGATGGAAAGATGTCATGGATCATTATGCAAGGAGTCCCCTGGTGGATGACGCTTCGAAAAAGGCGTTGCGCATTGCGCAGATCCATTGGCTGCTGCTTCACATCTCGCTTGCGTGCTGTCTAGATGCAACACAAGTTACCTATGATGCATTCAAGGAGAAATTTAGAGAACTTACGATGAAATGCATCGGCTTGTACCGAGACTCCTTGTCCCATCCGAGGCCAACTTCGGTCCTGCTCGGACAAGGTCTCATTCTACCGCTTTGCACGGTTGTACGTGCATGTCGCGACCATGATATTCGTATGATGGCTGTTGAGGCGCTCAACGAGCTCCCTCCGTCCATGGTCCCGTGGGATATCATTTCTACCATGGATGGGATTCTGGGAGCGGTCCTGCTCGAAGAGATTGGCCGAGACAAGGACGGCTCCGTGCCCCCCCAGGCGAGGTGGTTTTGGCTGCGGGACGAAGATGCGCCAGCGGAGGCAACGGAGAAATGCGGAAAGATTTATCAATGCGTTATGCTCGGCGAGGGTGGGCAACAAGTATACGCGAGTCTCTCGCCGCTCGATGATGTGCGACGGGAGATTTGTAGTGTTCGGCGATGCGCTGGTATTCACAGTTTAGATGCCAGTGACGGGCTTGGAACCTAGCATCTTTATGGATGATTGCAGCTGGATTATTGGGAAGAGACCCTCATTGCATATTGCTGTTGACTGCATGTTGGTTGGAGGATACATGATTGGCAGTGCCTGATATTATTCCTCCCAAAGTGAGATTGGATATTTCGTAGCAGATACGACGAGGCTGTGGCAGTCTCTGTATGCCCGATCAATATATTTACACATTCTCTAGTCCACGACGCGGGCGGCGGATATTGTTGTCAAAGCTCTTGACGAGTATGGATTCTGGTTTCTGCGGATCATCGACACCGAGCTAAGCCAGTGGTTGTGATGCTCTCGTAAACATTGGCCAATTATCATCTAGAAGCAATTAGTACGAGGCTAATGCAAGCTTTGGCCATCTGACTGTGCCCCCTGCAGCAGGATCTCGCATGCTCATTGGCGTCGTATATTCAGGCCAATGGGCACTCGAAGGTTAGTCACCTAAAATCCCCTCAGCCCTCCCGAAGGAGAAATCTAAGATACTTTATCGAAATCGATCTCTTATCGCCATGTTTTTGACGGACATTGGCGCAGTCTCGGGGTGCTCCGACATTGGATCTGGATCATGCTACCCACCAAGATTGATACCGCGCCCAATGAGACTGATCCTGGAGGTCGAAAGGATCACTTCTGTCTGTCTCCATCTCGCCCCCTCCCGAGCAGTTTAGTCTCATCCCGCGTGGAACAGATTAATCATCCTCTGGTGGGAAAACATAAAACTCACCATCTTCACAGCTCACAAGTCTCCGCTTGACCTAATCCCTTCTGACCTGCGACGGAAAACCCGACATCCCCGTTAATCGTATCAAAATAATCTTTTCTTTTGAAAACAACCACCATGAGCACCAGTAGCGTCCCCATCGCCCAACCGGTGGTATTATCATTGGAGGATCTCAAAACAGGTAGAGTGGCGACAATTGAGCATGGTTTGGCCTAGCTGCTGATATAGACGCTTAGGGAACGTGCCATTTGAGAAGCTGGTCGAGGCATTTGGCCCCAACTCTCTTGGAATATTGGTTGTTAAAGACGTGCCTTCAGAATTCGCTGGCCTTCGTCACCAAGCATTATCCTATGCCTCGTATCTTGGAAATCTGCCAGAACAGGAGTTGGGTGAGAGCCGTCATCACGTCTGCGCCAAGTCCGCTTGCTGACAGCCTGGCCCAGTCAAAATCGAGAATGCCGCAGCTAAATACCTCACGGGATGGTCGTTGGGCAAGGAGCAGCTCAAGGAAGGACAAGTGGACACATTCAAGGGCTCATTTTATGCCAACTGCGCATTCTACACTGACCCATCACTCGACTGCGCCAAGCCCACTCCCGAATTCAACCAGGAGAACTTCCCTGAATACGTCTCCCCTAACGTATGGCCCGGCGACACAGTCCTCCCAGGGTTCAAGTCGTCCGTTGAGAAGCTGTGCCGTCTAATGATTGACGTCGCCGTTCTTGTCGCGCGTGCCTGCGACCGATACGGCGAGCGCGAGATTGACGGCTACATCAAGGGGTACCTTGAACACGTCGTAGGCACGAGCAACACAACCAAGGCCAGATTGCTCCATTATTATCCCCAGGCAAAACTGCCAGAAGACGGACAAGGCAATGAGGATGATTGGTGCGCTACCCACTTGGACCACGGCTGCCTCACGGCCTTGACCTCGGCCATGTTCGTCAACGAAGAGGAGACGTCGTCGCGTGTTCCCGAGGGCGCTGCGGCGGGCGCGACTCTGCCTGCGCTGAAGGAGCTCAACGCAAGTCCCGACCCTAAGGCCGGGCTGTACATCAAGTCGAGGACGGGCGAGACTGTGCAGGTTAAGATTCCTCGGGACGCCATCGCCTTTCAGACAGGCGAGACTCTTGAGAGGATTACCAAGGGGAAGTTCAAGGCGGTTCCGCACTTCGTACGGGGTGTGAGCCCTGCGATAAGCAACGGAAAGATTGCCAGGAATACCCTCGCTGTGTTCACGCAGCCAAACTTGGGGGAGGTGGTAGATATGGAGCAGAACATCAATTTTGGCGAGTTTGCTCGGGGGGTGGTCACGAAGTATACTGTGAAGAACTGAATAGCGGTTCTTTAGATGGCTGCTTTATCCAGATTCTTACCACCACCTTTCTCATAACTGTAATAAAGGGTGACCTTGACGTTCTCAACATCGCTGGATAGCTCTAATGAGAATGAGCGAAGAAATGCCCATACGATATTCCCAGGAAGTGACTGCTACCAGACAGTATACCCCTCTAAGCCTTCTCCTCAATCTTCCTTCGGCCCTGAAGTACCCTCGCCAGAATGATGAGTAGCACACAACTCGCGTCCGCAAGTCCCGCCCATACTTGAGCGGCCCCATAGCTACCACCTGCTGCATTTTGTATTGCGCCCCCGATGGGCGGACCTGACAGTGCTGCGAATGACATGACGGTGAAGCACATCCCCAGCCGTGCGCCGATCATGTCCATGCGCTCGTTTATGCTTGCCACCCCGGAGGGAATGAGGCTCTGTATGCCTGCGGAGAACAGACCGTAAAACGCCGTCCAGGCGAATATACCAGCGCGGTTGGAAATTCCCAGCCAGCTGAAAGCCACGGCAGTCAAGCAGAGGCCTGTTGGGATGGAGGTGTTGAACGGCCCGAACCGATCTGCTAGCAGCCCAACTATAATACGAGCGGGGAGGCCGGTGCCGTTGATGATCATGATGAGATATGTGGCTTCGGTATATGAGATGTGAAGAACCTGGATACCAAATGATCCAACCTGGAAGAAACAATCAGCAGGCACACACAGCCAAGGTTGCAAACGCCTGGTTAACCTACATAGTAGAAGGTGTAGTACCTCGCCCAGCAGAAGAAAAAGAGCCCAAAGACATAAGCGACGTATACACGATCCTGAAACGCCGCAAAGTCCACGACTGGCCCCTTTCGCTGTGGCTGCAATCTTGCTCGTAAGAAGCCCACCACCAAGCAAAATCCTGCTAGATGGATGAAACCAATAGTGCGGGCCATCCAGCTGAAGCCGACGTGTGCGAGAAGCCCCCGCACGATGGCAGGATAAATCACGCCCCCTAGAGAATTTCCCAGTGTAACAAGTCCCAGTGCGAGAGAACGACGGGAGGAGAAGTAGGTCAGGACTAAGGCGAGCGTTGGCGTGAAGATCAGCCCGTTTCCGAGGCCGGAGAGGATGCCCTGCGTCAATACAAGTTGCCAATACTGGTTGGAAACACTCATGAGGAAGATCCCTAGTAGCTGTAGAATAGCACCGGCGACCAAAGCAACTGTCAGATAACCGGCATCTAGCAGCCATCCGGAAATAGCTCCCGTCGAGAAGGTAAGCCAGGCTTGGAGGGAGCCAATCCAGGAGATTGCAGATTGATTTTGAGGCAGGACGGATATGTAGTAGGATTGAAACGCGCCGAATGCATTGGCGTATCCCCAGGTCAAGAACACGGCCAGGCAGCCCACCGCGACTTGAGTCCAAGCCCGTAGGCCGCCATCTGGTGCAGCCGAATTTTGTATCATGGCTTTGGTCTAGAGAGAACGTTGGAAACGACTCCGCTCTGAGTAATACCTGGCTTGCAGGCTCAATGGCAGGATTGATACAAATAGAGGAAGATGGAGATCCGGCGACCAACAGCAATGGTCATGAATATTTTGATCGAGAATAATTTGATTACGGTTCCCCTCATAGAATTGCTGTGCTGTCGTAAGAACCTTGATGGCTACATAGATGGACTAGGGCTGGCCTCTGATCAAGTTCCACTCATCAGCCTATCATAAGACAACGGGCAAAAAGAAATATAGCTACGCAAATTTATCGTATTTCTTGATTAGCGTTTGTATCCCTTCGGATCAGTAGACGTTTGCCCTGGAATGTTGGCATCAGGCGGGTCGTTGAACCTAATGCCAACACATCTGCCACGGTTTGACTGAAAGCCTGTCACCCACTTTCTTTTATTGACCTTATCAAGTAATAGATGATCGATGATTGAGCAATTGTAACAACGTTTCTCTGCAACTCGAGTTACTCTCCCCCTTTAGCTTGCCCGGTCTTGTGATTCTTCTCGCTTACGCTTCCTCGAGCCTGAACGTCTTATCTCCAGAGGTACGCTATACCAATCATCTCTCCAGCCATTGCGAGAGCTAGAGTCGGGTGGCCAGTTTTTACGGAAAATCTCCATCGCCCAACATGATGAACTCACCTCCGCGTCGTCCACCCACTCACAGCGTCCCACCATGGTGCCGTCTGGTTCCTTTGTAAAGGTATAATCCTCTGCTAGATTGTGAATTATGGTGCCCATCTCGGTGCCGTACAAATCACTTGCTTCTTTCGCGTTTGCAGAGGACAGAATGCGCAGCTCTTGAAGAACATGCTTGTCTCGACCTCCAGTTATTGTATAGAGAATATCCCAGGCGAGATGTTCGTCCAACGCGCAAGCCCACAAGGCTTTCCGCATGCCATCGACTGCGTCGCTGCGCTCATCGTCTGCCAGTAAATCTGGCTCCTCATATAAATCTCGATCGTCAAGTGTTATCGCGAAGCAGTCCAGGAATAGCGTTGCAGATCTCAGGTGTTTGAGCGCGCCCATCGCCTCGTAAATGGCGGGATCACCAGCGTTGTCGTATGTTCTCTCTACTGGTATACTCAGTTCATCAAGTAAAGGGCACTGGCTCAGTATATCCAGAATTTCTTCTGTTACCAAAGATTCGTACTCTCTGAAATGCCTGTCGAGCAACTCGCCAGATTCGTGTCGACGCTCCGAAGAGACGGGGAACAACGCCAATGTTTCCAGAGACTGACCATGCACAAGGAGTGCTCGGGCTAGTATCTCTGGCCAAATATACCCAGTCAGCTTGAGTGATTGCAAAGGTGGCAGGTTGGAGAGGATCTTGATGAGCTGATGCCGGTACTCGTCCTCGAGTTCATGAAGCCCCTCATACTCACGATATAACCGCAGATTCATCGTTTTGAGGCAAGGGAAAATGCCGTGCACCTGAAGGGAGTCGAGATCCGGCTTGCTGAAATTGATTTCGAGCGCTAATGACTCTAGGAGGGTGAAATCGGTCGTGTTGGCCCATTGGTCAAGTCGAATCGGGTATCGACAGTGGCCCTTCAGATATAGTCTTTTTAGCTGCCCCAACCTTCGTGGGAACGCTTGTTCCGTGAACATGTGATGCGGTGCAAATGGCACTTCTTGGCTTTCCCAGTGTGCGTTTTCGGCTTCCTCGGATGAGAACAACGGCTCGTTGACCCTCTGGTTGACCATACTAACTACTTGCAACGAGGGTGCCATGCCGGCGATGATTGCCATTACGCGGCTTCTCAAATCACATTTAGGTCGGCCGGCCCCAGAAGCGTCGGAATAAGTGCAACCAATCCTGTAGAGGCATGGCGAAGTGACCAAGTCTATATCCACTGCACTGTCGTTGCGAAAATCGTAGATATGAAGCCGGCACTTTGGGTGCTTCAACTCTAATGCCTGGAGCAATGCAGCAGGCATTTTTCCCGGGGATACAAAATAACTGAGTCCTGATAGTGTGTTTAAGAGCTCGATCAGGATTCTATTGGCGCAGTCTTGATTGAACTCTACTTGAAGCTCGCCATTTTGAAAAACGTTCTTTTCTGCTGACCCGTAAAAGGAGTTCAGCTTAGCCAAGTCAAACTGTATAGCCTTGCCTTTGTCCTCAGGCTCCGGTTTTGAGATATCGAGAAGTCCGTTCCAGTGGGCATACCACGGGCCAGCGACGAGGCGGCGAACAGAGGAGAAGGCATCATATCGCCACAGAAGCCATATGCGGCTAGCTATCTGGCGATGGAATTCCACGATCGCACAAGGCAGGCGTAGTGAAATACGTCGCAGCAGGTAGTGCATGGAAATGGCACGCAGCCGGTGGTTTGTCAAGGACAGCGACTTGAGGCTGGAGAGCGTGTCCTCATACATTAGCGGCTCAATGATCTCTCCAATGCATTCATCCGGAATATCTTCAAACTTGATAGGTGTCATGGCAGCTGCACGATGAGAGCTTCTTGGTGGGAAGTGAAGGAAGGTGCTGGGTGAGTGTACGAGTTTGAAATGATTCTCACAGGGCTTCTCGGGAAGATTTGGTAATATTACAGCCTGCATATGCGGGGTCGTATTATGCCAACATAAAAAAACTCTCTGAGGCCGGTTATTCACCGAGCCTTGTGCGAGAGCCAATTCGTGATGGAGTCTATTTCCTCTATATTGTCGCAGGCAGCCATTTCTTAGAGGAGAGATGGGTTTGGCTATGTTCTAAGCTATTTTTGTATTCTTCACACGTGAAGTCTCTACAAAAAGTATGGTGCGATTTATTTCACGCTCTCTGCTGCTATGAACAAATCTGAAACACTCTGATGTAGTATGACGACATGAGGACGGTTGGGCTCAGGCTGTTTAGGCTCTCCTATCACGTCGTACAAGCCATCTTCCGTTCCGGCCACGTAGCCTAATGCAGGTAAAACGCAATTACGGGGGCCTCAAGTCTCATCTCACAAAGAAAGATGGTCGCATGGTTCATCAAGGAGAGTAGCTCAAGTTGAAACGTAAGGGAAGAATGTCGTTTTAACGTCGATATGCAATGGCATGGCTGTGTCGATCTCTCGAGATGGAGTTTAGACTATCGTTGAACTTTGTCTAAAGCTCGTCACAGACGTGTGCCTCGTCAAAGCTATATGTTGAAGATAAATGCCGTCATCATCCGACATGTATATGTAGTTATTCAAACTATCTACAAGCAACTCAACCAATGGCACGAAAATGAAGGCTAACTCGTGATCGCTATGATAACCGTAAACACAATTAACCGTCCGCCTACTACCGTGTCGGCCGATGGCCAGCCACTCTTATAAAATGTCATCAGGGAACTGAATGTCCGTCTTACTGGCGCAGCGCGAAGCGGTCGAAAACCTACGATAGTGACGGAATCTTTGAATGCGTGGAGCAAGAGTCTTCGTGCCCGCGTCGCCTTTGCTAAACCACTTCTCATTGAGAGGGAGGTTTCGTCGACGTCCAATGTAGCCCACGTCGTCGCTCAAACTTTCATTAACTACATGGCTGAGCGTCCTTGGAGCGAGGGCTTCGAGTTATCCCATTGGAATAATCAGTCCGCGAACCAACTAATTCACCATTAGTCAACAAAATGCGTCAGAGCTTGATGTACAAGAGACTGACGATACTGCATACGGCCAAGAACCAGGCCATAAAACGTATTATTTCTGCCAGATGTTCTACATTCCTGCGAAGGGTGTCATCTTTGTTTCTTAAACGCTCAATTAACTCTAGGCTGATAAATCGCCAGAAGACAGTTATTATACTAATAGGACCAAGAAGTCCTATGAAGATAGTATACTTTACACCCTTAAAATGAGGATATTATGTATATAAAATGCAGACCTATAATCGGCTTCTAAATAGGGGGGGACAAAGATGCCTAGAAGTATAAGCCCATTATTATACGGTATTCTAATATCCATGTGACATGTGCAAATGAACAACCATAATATTCAGAAAACAAAGTATGCTCGGCTAGAGATCGGACATATACACATTGCCAGTGAACCATCTTATATAATCTATTACATTCTCATGAATGGGTTTACCCAAATAAGGATGAATTCGTAGCCCTCTTCCGCGAAGAACAGCCTCGAGTTTGGGATGCATGATCGCATCGCCTGCGGCTTGCCCTTCCGTTCCTTAAACTACGCAGTCGAACAAGGGCGGGTTTGCCTCATGGTGAACCTGTTTCTAAGTGCTATAGCCGCCGTTAACAGTTTGGTTACTGAGGCTTCTGCTGTGTATTGCTTTCCCTTCTTTTTTTTACCCCTCTTTTCTTTGGGGATCCATTCTACTATTAGTCTGTAGTCCAGGCTCTTACCTTAGATAGCACGACAGGAGGCCGGTGGGAGGCCTCTATAAGGCCTCCCAAAGAACCAAAACCAACCCCATGGTCAACACCCTCTTTGGTGGCAGGAGAACGGAAGTCACGGATTCCCATTTGCCAAGCCTCCTGCTCGGCAGTTCCAAGCCGATCGGCCTTGTGTCATGGAGGGCTGCACATATCACTTAGTTAGGTCACTGGAGCTGTCTTCGCTCTGGCTGGACCTAGAACCCACGTGGCCTATACAATCAAAGTTTCCTCTACGGTTGTAGGAGATAAGAGACTTGCAAATGGCAGAGGCCTCCAGCTGCTCGGCCCACAGGTGACTGGCATGGCATCATGGATTCTTTGAGTTCACTGAGCAAATTCTGGAAAGGAAGATTAGTGGGATCGCGTACAAAGTGTGCAGCAATTTTGACAGGCTGAAGGGCGGTAAATCGGGCTTATAACAATGTATGACCAAGCCTAAGGGCATCGTTGTAAGCCGAAAATTGTTCTGCTGAAAGGCTCCTGCACAGGTACTTGGAGGCAGTGAAGAGAGACGATTACTATATTGAAAAATCAGGGTAAGCCCGGTTTGCTGAATATTAGCAATGGGAAACACAAACAGAAAATAGCTCTGGTGTGCTCGCCATAGATAGATATCTCCCGTCTAACCAAACTCAGAACATGGTCCGATACACATCTCACGCTCTGCGGGCATCGATGCAAGTTTATTTCGCATTATCGACTAGGCTCGAACAGCCTTGAAGGAGCCATCATGGTGAGCTAGCAAAATTTGGGAAATTGGTTTTGGCTTTGAGAATGGGAGATGTGAAAGATAAATATCCAGCTCATCAAGAGTCTCCGGGCTTCACGATGCGCGGCTTTTTTCTACACCCATTTCTTCCTCAATCAACACCCTATATCAGCTTATCAAGTTAAAGATAACGTATTCTCACCATTCTTTACTTCTTATTGTCTTGTACATATGTACTCTATAGGCCAAAATGTCTAGTTCTAAGCCTGACGACAACGATGACGGTGCCATTGAGGGTACAAGGGCCTTTCCCTCTCGTCCGAAGGAAAGTATTGTGATTCACGAGGCATGGGACTCGGAGTACGAGGAGAAAGCCCGCCAAATCGCTGAAAGCGACCTTAATCAGAGGCAGAAACAGGTTTGATCCCACAACCGCCTTAGACCACTACGGAACCCTGAGTCTAACACACCATTGAACAGAACTGCAAGGATTTTATGCTTCTTTGGGCTGCATGGCAAAGTACTGGTGTCATTTACGGAGACATTGGCACAAGCCCTCTCTATGTATACAGTTCAACCTTCACTTCACAGCCGTCGTGGGATGACCTAGTCGGGGCCTTGTCCATCATTATTTGGTCCCCCATCATCATTGTGTCCATCAAATATTGTCTAATCGTTCTTCGTGCCGATGATGATGGACAGGATGGCACATTTGCTCTGTACTCGCTTCTTGCCCGCTATGCCAACATTGTCCGTCGCGATCCGAATGTCTCAGGATTGGTCCGGCTCGAGCGTCAGTTGACGACAGATTTGAAACCGTCAGCAAGGACTATCAGGCATTTTCTAGAACATAGCCGCATTACTCAAAGAGCCCTCAAGGTTCTGGGGGTGCTTGGCGTCTCCATGGTAATGGCTGACGGTGTACTTATTCCAGCCCAATCTGTGCTTGGCGCCATTCAGCAACTCCCAACAGGTGCCATAGTTGGCATCTCATGCGCTATCCTCGTGGTCCTCTTCCTGATTCAGCTCATCGGCACCTCCAAAGTTGGCACGGAATTTGCCCCAATCGTCGTCATCTGGCTCTTGTTCAACCTCAGCTGTGGCATATACAACCTAGTGCTGTATGATTACACTGTTCTTAAAGCCTTCAGTCCGCACTACGCGTTCATATACCTGATTCGCAATGGTCGCGCTGAGTGGGAGTCTCTGGGTGGTCTTCTTTTGGCTTTTACTGGTGTCGAAGCCCTCTTCGCAGACCTCGGTGCCTTTGGAAAGCGTGGCATCCAACTCTCGTGGCTATGTCTTGCTTTGCCCTGTCTGCTTCTCGCCTACATTGAGCAGGCAGCGTATATCTCGATGGATCCCACTCAGGAGGCCTATACCAACCCTATTTTCAACAGCCTCCCTCCTGGAAGTCTTTATTTCGGCCTCGTCATTGCTGTCCTGGCTGCCATTGTAGCGAGTCAAGCCATGATCACCAGCTGGTTCCAATTACTGTCGCAGATTATGAGACTGGGCTATTTCCCTCATATCAAAACCATCCATACCAGTGTGAGATTCCATGAACAGGTTTATATACCCATGGCAAACTGGCTGTTGATGATTGGGACGGTTATTGTCACTGCCGCCTACAAAAATGTAAGCTCCTCCCACCTATACCTCTGACATGTTAGGTATATCCACTCACCTGACTGTAATAGAACACAAGCCTGGGCAATGCTTATGGAGTATGTGTAATCATTGTCATGATGATAACAACTTGCATGCTCTCTCTCGTAGCATCAATCATTTGACGTGTCCCCTTGCCAATCGTCCTCTTCCTGTTCCTCTTCTTCGCAGCTTACGAGGGTGCTTACACCTCCTCGGCTCTTCGCAAGGTCCCGGAAGGTGCCTGGTTCACCATTGTCTTAGCGGCCGTCCTTTCCAGCGTCTTTGTTCTTTGGCGCTGGGGGAAAGAGCACCAGTGGTCTGCGGAAGGCGACGACAGAGTCGAAACTCAGGATTTGATTCAACTTCCAGGCTCATCTTCGGGCGAGTCGACAACAAGAGAGGTCGACGTTCGACTACAGATGAAGCTGACACCCATGTTTGGCGAAGGACTCGTGTCAACTGCCCCCGGCTTGGGGATATTCATTGACAAGGTCGGCACCGGAGGAAACATGATTCCAAAGGTGTTTACACAATTTATTCGCAAGTTCAAGTCAAGGCCAGAGGTCATCATTTTCTTCCACATGCGGCCACTCTCCGTCCCCTTTGTACCAAGTGGAGAACGTTTCGTCATTACACGACCAACTTCGCATATTCCCTCCTCGTACCGTGTAACTCTTCGTCATGGCTACTTGGATGATGTCCTCACACTAGATCTCGGCTCCATCTGTTGACGAGATAGCTCGGTTCCTACAGACCGCCGCGGCCAGCGTTGGGACTAGTTCAAACCAGCCATCGAATGGTCTTGATGAAGAGCTGAGGGCACTCCAGAGGGCCCAAAATGACCAGACTGTGTACGTGCTAGGCAAGCAAGTCATGCGCATCAAGCGGATAAGTGGCAATATTGTACGGCGCCTAATGAAAAAGATCTTTCTAACCGCATTTCTCTGGATTCGCGAGAACTCGAGAGCGAAACTCGCCGATCTCGATATGGATTACAATAATCTAGTGGAGGTTGGGTTTGTGATGGAGATTTGATCCCGGCTGGTTTTCCTGGATCTAGCTGTCTGTAGGGGGAGGAAGTCGGCTTTCATTTTGATAATAATTTCCTAGATACCCCCTAAAATGAAGAGCTTAACCTCCTTCCTAAAACCACTTCTATAAGCAATGTGACGCAAGCTTCAACTAACAAAGTTTGCCTGGGCTTAGATACACATCTTAGATGACCCGAACCGTTGTTTTCGAGTGTTGACATCCAAATCATGTGCGCTAGATATTTAGACTCGAGGTGGCCAACTCTATAATTGAAAAGCCCATTTTATACTCGCTGACTTTTTGCTTACTTCGTCATTGGCTCTGTTTGGATGAGCTGTTGTTGGCTCCTATGCCGTACATAATTTTGGAATATCTTAGCATGAAAGAAATTTACTCATTTGAAGAATGATGTGGCAAACGCTATTCCGCTAAATCTTGTAAGCACACTGTCTATATCTGATCAACTAGATGGTATCATCTCACGTTTCATACTCTCTTACAAATGTATTTGCTTTGTAAAAATCAATATCCCATAGTTCGATCGTGGGATCGCCAATTTAGTCGGTCCATGCCTCAAATTCAACAATTCCTCTTTCAATGTTCTTGCCTTCGTCGTTGAGCGGATGCCTTTGTTGGATAAGGCCGTATCATGGTCGCAATTTGCCTTGCGTTGAGCTTCTAGCTCTGTATGTTCCGGCTTGTGGCTCGCGGCTTCCGAGGTAACCGAAGAAGTATCGGGTATCGACACTTTTTTGGCGATTAAAAGTCTATAGCCTTGGATATCATTTCTACAATGCCAAGTTTGTCGTGGTAAAGTCCGCGGTAGAGGAGCATGGGGTCCAATGTGGGAGAGATATTCTCTCTGATCCTTGGGCAAGCTGAACCACACCAACTCTCTCGCACTGCTGATCCGACCCTCAATAACCGAATCACCCTCAGTGACCCTAAGTATAGCTCAGGCAAAGTTATGCTAGTGTAACTGTGCGCAATAGGTTGACTTGGACTAATCTCACACAAATATTAAGGATGATTGATTTTCATGAATGCTAATAGCAATCGAAGATGTTAGCCCCGACATCTCAACACCACCATTAAACCCTAGCCATGGAGCACAGAGCTCTAGTGAAGAACTAAAATCCTAGCAGAAATCAGCCGAATATTTTCTTTATTATAGCATGAGGCTAAACTAGTAATGCTATCCATCGTATAATGAAAGAATGATGCATATCCAGGGCTGTTCTAACATATGATTTGTCCTCGGATTCAAAAAGCAGCCTTTCCGTCTCTCACGATCCTATTTGAACTACAACGAGATGGAGGTTCACTTGGCAAAAGATTGGACAAACCAAGAGGATTCGATGTGAAGGCTGTTGAAGATGTTGCGCCTTATGACTGTGAAATTAGGTAGATAGATTGATTCATATTAGCTAAACATATCTTGGTTCTCCTGCGTTTTAGTAGATGTCGCGAGTGCCGTATGGGATCCCCACACCGTGGAGTCGCACGTCACATAACGGTCAACGAATTTTGGTTCAATAACACGTGTCAACGGCTATGGGCGAAAATGATTCTTTCCTCGTTCGATACGTGCTGGCAAAGATTTGACATCTGAGCTCTGATGAGCAAAGATCACCACGTTCATGTCGGGCGGAAGATCTTAGCCGACGAATTCCAGGGAAGATTCTGAATGCTAGGCGAGTTCCTGTTATTCATATAATCGAGGCTGAGTGTCAATTGAGGACTAATATTAAATCGACGTGACTTGCCAATCTACCACGTGTTTGAGCCACCCGACGATATTTGTAAGCCTGGCGGTTTTGATGCAGGGTTTCATCTAGACCTCACTTAATCTGCATTACTCAAGGGTATGTATTTGCTAAGAGCAGAGATCGGCGATCGCAGGGGCTGTCAGACAACTTAATGCGATAGGAGAGCCTCCACGGGTGAAAATGGCGACTCTCCCGTGGACCTTTCATTGGAAACATCATCTGATCATAAAATGACGGATGACGACCCCATTTTGTGAAAATCTGACGAAATCCTGTGGGATAGCGCCCGTGAGATAGTGGCAATAAGAAGACGATGTCACTTGCTCGTAATAAAACTGGGACAGGGCCTGTAAGAGAACCAGCAACGCTCGGTTGCCGGCTGGGATTTTCAAGTTTTTACTGGCAGCATGGGTTCAAAGCGTAATCTTACTGCTCCTCGTACTTCTCAGGCTTAGCGGCTTGAAATCCTCTTTTGGCCATCGAGCCGGTGGGAGAACTAGTTGATTGATAAGAAAACTGTCTAAATTCCCGCGTATGCTTAATCAAGAGGTTCAAGCTAGCTGTCATCGCTCGGGAAGAACGGATCAGGGGGAAGAGAAAATACCGCTACCTGAACTCCAGGTTTGCCAGTCAAATTTAATAGTTCATATTCCTTTGACATCTCTTGGCGATCTGACGGCTGGTATCAACGTGGTATCAAATTGGAAGTCCAGCACAAGAAGCACCTCGTTTCATCGAAGGAGGGGGTGTTCTGTGATGATTCATTGATTCATTGGCATCCCTATCTGGGATGGTTGCAAATCATTCTCATGCCTGCCATGTTTAGTGATCCTTCACGTAATTGGGTCCATACGGCATGTCACTCATGGAGTCTCAATCGTAGGTGACACCCTCAGCGTATCCTCCCCTTGCGCATTTATTTATGAGATTGCAAATGGGACTAAAAGTGGCGTAATATTAATGGGCGAGCCCCTGTGAAAGGGTTTCGCTGGTGGGTGCAGGCTGGCGAAGTCTGTTATGTGAGCATAAATAAGCAACATTCCCTGACAATAACCTTGAAGCAGCCCAACGGGTGACGAAACAGTGGCCCAAACAACGGTAGTTGTCCGGTCCCTACAGTGGGTAGTTGTTCGTTTCACCAAGGTGGCAGAGGTACGTGCAACTTCTCAAGACCGAGCTAAGCTTCATGCCAATATGATCCCAGCACCTGGCTGACATCTGGACCGACGATCCCGGTCGTTAAGCTGCCGGATTAGGCTGCCGCGCGGGCGTTCTTCACTCCTGTGAATGACATTTGTCGTGACGAGCTGTTTCGTCGTCAGGCAATACGCTTAGTTTTACGCTTTCCCTCCAATACTGGATGAAATTCAAGCTTGTCGGAGCCGAAGCGGGTCGTGGCCGGGATCACCCTGGCCGCTGCCTTGTCTCGGCTCGTTCTTCGAAGCATGTTTCTGCTTCTATGTGATTTCCAAAAGCTTAAGGTTGTTTTCTGCTGGGATGAGCGGCCGCTGAGCTTCTTTTCGCACTAGAAGACATGTCCCCTATTTCGGTACTGGGATGAGCGACGGGTGAATCTATAAAGCCGACGGTTTATCTCCCAGTGTGTGCTTAGAGGCTCTACACGATCTCTGCATTCATTCTCGCCCCAGTCTTTCTTTCGATACCGAGACTAGATTTCCTGCAAGGTGACCTCACTCTGCCATCATGAAGTGCCAAGTCCTTTCAAGCGCAGCCCTCTTGGCTACCGGAGCCATGGCTGCGCGCCCTTTCCTAAACGAGCCCGACACTGGCATTGAGCTTGTGCTTGGTGATATTGGGGCGGGTGTTCTTCCAGACCTTGAGAAAATGATTGGCCTGCCTGACTTTGACTACGCTGCTCGCAACTATCTGCCCATTGCGAACTACACTTACTACCGGAACGGCGCTGCTGGCGAGTGGTCGTACCGCAACAACCTCGAGATCTACCATAAGTTCCATATCCGTTATCGAACCATGGTTGACATCACTGGTATTGAAAACACTCTGCCGTATGTCGTCGATCCTTTCAAGTGAAGACTCGGGGTGCTCGGTGATGCTAACATGGGAATAGCACAACCATTCTCGGCCACAACTTCTCAGCCCCTTTCTTCATCGCGCCGGCTGCCGCTGCCGTTCGAGGCCACCCCGATGCGGAGCTTGGTCTCGTTAAAGGTGCTGGAGCTGAGAACATTCTCTACATCGTGAGTAGTCGAGACACACTCTCCTTTTGAAAGCATCTTCTGACACACTTCGTAATTACAGCCCTCGCACTATGCCAGCAAGAGCATTGAGGAGATTGGTGCCGCCAAGCAGGATGGCCAGGTCATTTTCCAACAAGTCTACCTTGACTCAAACGATACTAAGACCCAAATTGAGTTTGACCGTATCAAGGCTGCTGGCTCCAAGGCCATTGTCTTTACCGTTGATTCAGCTGCTGATGGCAACCGTCACCGTGCTGCCCGCTTCGGTGTCGGTTCCGCCGACTCTGACTACACACTCATTACCTGGGACTACTACCACAAGATCCAGAAAATGACTGATCTCCCTATCATCATCAAGGGTCTCGGTACCGTTGACGATGTCAAGCTGGCTATCGAGCACAAGGTTCCCGCCGTCTACCTCTCCAACCATGGTGGTCGACAGCTCGACACTGCTCAGTCTACCCTTGAGACCGCCCTGGAGATCTTCAGAGAGGACCCTGAGATCTTCAACAAGATTGATATCTTTGCTGACGGCGGTGTCCGATACGGCGCTGATGCTTTGAAGCTGCTTGCCCTTGGTGTCAAGGCTGTTGGTCTTGGCAGGCCTTTCATGTATGCCAATGTTTACGGCGAAGAAGGTGTTAAGAAGGCTGCCAAGATTCTCAAGCACGAGCTCGCTATTGATGCCGGTAATGCCGGTGTTGCTGACTTGAAGAAGGTTGACAGCACCTATGTGAGTATATCTATGATCATAAACATATCGAGTTGACAGAGTGCTGACATAAAACTTGCAGGTGAACTGGAACTCCAACTGCTACTACAGCGGTTAAATACGTTTAGGGGGGGAGTTGGTTTTGGACAAGTGTATATAGCAACCTTCATGCAAAATTTATTCCAAGCGAAAATGAAACCAATACCTCTGTCTTTTGCTGTGTTCAAACATGAATGAGAGGGTTACTTTTAATACCACAAAGTTGAACTGACTGAGCTAATTCGAGCTAATATCTCGAAAGTATGGGGACAGATCCCACAAGGCCAGTAACCCAAAGCATATCATCTACGACGCATGACTTGATTTGGATCAAGCGAAATAAGTACAGAGCCCAAGAAAGTGTCCAGCTAACTAGGTTTGAAGGACTGCCGATGAGGAAATGGTATCTTTCTATTGTCACAACAAGATTGGCGCTCCTCTGTTGATACCTGCCACCGTACAATGCTCTAGATGCGGCCAACTTTCTTCGTATAGTTTGAACTCACGATTATTTAGAAAGCATAGCTAACTCCTCCCCAAATTTCTGATAATATCAATGTTCCCTTGAAAAACAAGGATGATAGCTTTGCTTATAATTAGGGTGGTAAATTGAAGAAAGGTCGTGTAAAGGCAGGCTATAAACATCTGGGTGTGCTTGGTGGGCACTCCCTTCCTCTCCGACTTATATACGCACGAGAATATATAGTAAGCACGAGAATATATGGAATCGAATGTCACACGCTCTGGACCTCTTCAAATTTAGGTCCTCGGCCAACGAGATATTCACCGATACAGACAAGCTTAAAAATATCCTAGCTCTCGTGGGCAACGCTTCACAAACGAGTCCCCTCGGCCTTTGGAGGCGGGCATTGGGGCAGCAGCGTAAGCAATGGAATATACAGATGGATGGTGTGAAAGAACTGTGTCTTACCAAGGACACGGGACTTCTTTCAATAACTCCCAAACTGATAGCCAAGTATACTCTCGAGTGATCACTAGTGCAACTATTGGTGGAGTTATTCGCATTGTTACATCCCTGTGTTTTTTTCTTCTGCTGGACAGAATGAGGAAACCTTCCTCATCTAACGACTCAAACGATAACACCAGAGGTGCTCAGCTTTCGTGGAATTTAGATCGGTAGAATTACTTGTCTTCAGCGTATTTTATTAATGATACATCCAAGGTAAGCCGAGCCCAAAACTACCCTCGAAATAGAAATGGGACTTTGACGTACGCAGAAGATTTTCACAGATGACGTTCAAGAATTACCAGACTAGAAAGAATTAGGTGTTATCTCACAAAATTCTATGTGTTGTTTCGTTTCTTCACTGATTACATTATCTTTCCTTCGTCCCTTTTGCCAAAGACTGGAAACTTGTCACTTTAGTTCGTAGGCAGAGGGTCAATCTCTTGTTCTGGCACTAGGGAGGTCCTACTAGTCGCATGGACTTTCGTTGCCAACGGTAGGTCATCACTCTTGCAAAGCTGCCCATAGCGTTCCAGTGGATTGGAAAGCAATATGATCGTTTGCCGTGATATGTCCAAAGCAGCTTCCAGTCGGTCCTTATCATGGATGATTATCATATGTTGACGCCATGTCTTCAATCGTGCGTCGGGGCCCGCATCAGAATGGCCCTTCAATGTCATAAACTCTTTGGTGGCCACCTGCGAGGAGGATAGATTTGTTCGCAAGATTTAAGGGGTTTTGGACATGTTGGCGAGCCCCTTCTGAGTTGATCTCACAGGAGATGTGTCAGGTTCAAGTTCTTGAGCCTCGAGACGGCTATTCATGGCACCATGAGGGTTGCTCAATTGACGATGCCATCGCAAAGTCATCACCAACTTCACCGAATTGTAGGTACCGGGTGGAGCGATGACTGTGGACTCTACGTCCCTGATACAGCATCAACCACATCTCATTTTTGAATCATCCTACATTATTTGGCGATAGTCAGAGAGTCATTGAATCGATTTCGGGAGATCCTGATGATGAAGGCATATCGGAGGGTACACGAGACTGGTTCAGTGCGAACATGATCACTATATTACCGCCGCTTTACCCCACGCGATTTATACTTGTCCTTGCATAACACCGTCAAATGCCTGTCAGGAGAGGACGAGAAGCCGCTTCTCTTGTCTTTGTTTCTACGGCTTCGAGGGCTACTTGGAATTACTGTTTCGTAGGTATCAGCCTGCAATTTTGCGACGTGGTATGTGTTCGAAAGGCGGCAAATGTATAGTATCGTTTCATTGGCCTCACTGGAGATTACTATCTCACATTCGCAAAGGAATCATTGCAAGCCTTGAGGAATGACAACCACGGACGCGTATGAGGTAAGAGACCAAGGGTTTGAATTTTGTTAAACCTGCTCTGTCACGTTCATTGAACCTATATATATTATATACAAGAAGTGAAATGTATCAGAACGTCTGCCGGTCACACTTTGAATGACCAGCTCACCGTGATTCCGATCTAAAGAAGACCCAACCGTGACTGGCCACGAATGGTCACAACCACGGTTGTTTCAGTCTTCCTCTAGTAAGGCAGCTGTCCGAGGCTGGAGTTGAGTAGTGGTTAGCACATCTTGTAGTCTCACTGATGTTTGAGGTTGACTTACTAGTTTCCGGGAGGGGAGTACCGGCAGACCACCCAGGTACCGCCGTTGCCGGTAGCCTTGGCCATACCGACGTGGGTAGTCTTCTTCCAAACGACTTGAGCTATTGGTGGGGTAAGTAAAACTGTCGAAATATGGGATTCGTGTATCGGGAGTGTGCTTACTGTAGTGACTGTAGTTGTTGGAGTCAATCACACCGCCGGTGTAGTCACTCTTCTCGGAGTTGAAGGCGTTGACAGCGTTGAGGAAGGGGTTGTTGGAGCCGGACTGCATGTAGAGGTTTTCGCCCTGACCAGTGCCGCTGGCATGCTCCAGCTTGCCGATGGAAGCTAGATGGTCAGCCCAAGACTGGGCATCGGAGGCAAGACCCGCATCCCAAAGGAGGTCGGGCGAGCCAACTTCAGCACGGGCTGCATTGTGGGCGTCCAGGGCAGCCTGCTCGTCGGTGGTCAGGCCGGTGGTGGGAGCACTGGTGCTAACTGGGGCGGCCGAGGAAGGGGCTTCGGATGTCGAAGAGACGGCGGCCGAGGTCGTGATGATGACGGCAACGGTGGTGGACGTGCTCTCGACGGAGGAAGGCTCGATGGTGGTAGGCAGAACTGATACAACGCTCTCCGAGGAAGAAACCAGGCTCTCAGAGCTACTGGTAGGAGAGGGTGAGGAGCTGCTGGGGGTCTGAGGGCCACCAGCTGTGACAGTGAATGTCACATACTCGGTGTGAACTTTTTGGGTGCATGACTTCTTGGCGGCCGCACCGCTCGCCAGCAAGGAAACCGCAAGAGTCGAGAAACGCATTTTGATTGTTTGGTAAGGAACGTCTGGCCCAGCCACAAAAGGGAATGAAAATGGCGATAGACCACAAAGAGGTGCTTAGAATGAAGGAGAGCAAAGTGTCGCAGAACGCTCTCGCTTGCTAGCGAAGGCCATGCCTAAAGCTTTTATTTTGCGAGCAAGATATTAATTTCAGGAATATGCAGGCGTGAGCTAAGCTTTGCTCTTCGTCTCATCTCCCTCGCGTAATGACTGGAAGTTTCCTGAATTGCGGATCCCCCGTGTTTCACTATCGACATGGTCGGACGTGGAGGTCCTGGGCAATTACCACGCGATCCCAACAATCATCTGGCAGCAAAGCTGGCACAAGCAGGGAGAATAAACCCGTTCATGTCCCAGAAACACGGTTCCTGGGAAAATTCAATAGCTCGTGTTGTATCAACCTCCCCGCAATCTATGATGGATCGACGGCGATCCCTCAGGTGAGTGTTGTATGTCTCGCGTTTTCTCGTAACAACCAAAAGATCGGCGGCCGCGCACGCATTGACCATCACCCCTTTCCGGCAGGAGCGAAGCGGGGTTTGTGCTTCGCTCCGCATGTATAAGGGTTATTGCGGTTGGCAAATTGTGGCCGAGGGATATTCCTCGCCACTTGTTTCGTGCTGCCTAGAACGGCACTCGCTTCATTTGAAGGATTATTATAAGCCACTCACTGCACGGATAATGACATTCTATATTAGACTCGGGCGTTACAGACTTTCGATACCCCACTCCTAGTTCAGCTGCAGCCTTGATCTGCACACATCGCAAGGCAACGTAGCAGGCTTCGATTGCTCATCGGCAGACGCCGAGTGCTGCTAATGGCCTGTACATCCAAGATCCTTGATCAATAGGTACCAGAGCTTTTTACCCTGCAGCACGACCCGGACTGCTAATTTGTTGACACATCGTTGTCCCTGCCTGTGGTAAGTGGCAAACGTACCACTAGCCCTGTTACGTTGTCGGAAGCTACGGCGTAAGCTGATGAAGTTCATATATCTCTAACGAAGTCGTTGAAAATTTTTCATGCCTGAAGGAGAGGATTTGACTTCCCGAGTGTCGAATTTGCCCAGTTCTGAGTAGCTTCTAGTGCCACACTTTGCCTTTGAATCCGTAATTATGCTGTCGCATCAGACCTTTCGCCTTTGAAGAAATTCTTCCTAAAGCAAATTACTTGTTTTCATCGCCTCATCTCGGCTACACCGGCCCTATAGATGCCAGGTTGCTCTACCCTAACCCAATTTCAAATATGAGGAAGAAGACTAGGAGAGGCCTCCTTCTACCACCGCCACAGTAAGTAAGTCTCAATCACTCGAGAGGTTTCCCCGGTAGTAGCATTTCTCTACAATTGCTGCACGAATCACTTGATTACGTGATTGGTATGATGCGTGATTCACAGTAGCCCGGTCTGAGATAACGCTCGTCAGAAGCAGTGTCATTCCAGTGAGCTTTCATCCGGTAAATGGTAGGCATGAAGGTAGTGCATTGAGCTTGTTTTGCAGAAGTTATAACTAAGATCATCTGGTTGAAGCATTGACGGACTATACAAGCCAAGACTAGTTTCGCGTTCCTCAATTTCCAATCTTCCCAATGCCTGCATTCGCCGTAACAGTGCTAACAACCTTGCCATATCCCAGGGGAGCCACAAGCTGAGACTTGTAGTTTCCGAGCTCACTCAAGATAGTGCTATCAGTCAGGCTGGTCATCCTGCCGCTGTTGCTTGACAGGTAGTTGACACCGCAGTTCCTGCCCAGAGCAGACGCGCAATTGCCTTCAACACCGGTACTCGCTGTGTTGAAAATCTTCCCGTTGCTGCCGCTTGTTAAGGGTGTCAGGCAGCTGTCAAAATAGTTGCTCTCAATGAGAACGTGGCCGGAGGAGGTAATGTCAAAGTTGTGGCCAGTGCCGCTGGAGAAGTAGTTGTTCACTGCCTGCACCAGCTGCGTGCCTGAGCTGGAGCCAATCTTGGGCGCACGGCCGCTGACATCATGAATGTAATTGCGGTCAACTGTGATCTTGTCGCCTGTACCTCCAATGATGATGCACCAGTAATGGTCGGAGTTGCAACTGTGGGAGTATGATGTGACACCGTCGAACTCGGTATTGGAGATGTCACGCGTGATGCATCATAGCTTCGAAATGGTCAGCTAATATATCTCAGTTATCTTGTACAAGGGTCTTACAGCGAAACAAAATGCTGTCGTCATGTCTTCGAGAGCTAAGAGGGAGAGTGGTCAGCTTCCCCGCGGCCAACTTCAGTATTGTCGTCGTGGTAACATACCTTGACGTGATCAATCCATACTCCATCATTACCTGACAGGCTTATAGCATCCCCACCCCAGACGTACTGAGGGTTAAGGTTAGTGATGTGAATGCTCTGAATAATAACATTCTTAGCCCCGGCCTTGAATCGAAGTCCCTTGCCATTTAGAACACCTGCGCTGCCTTTGCCAACGAGAGACTTATTGCTGCCAACTTCCATGCCGAGGTAGCTGGCTTTATCGTACGTAACAGTAATGCGGACTTCATTGGCGTCGCAATCGCCAGTCTTGATGGTATCCTGACCTCCGTTAAGCGCGGTACACGTACCGGTGTTCAGGCGGCACCCTGGCTCTGTAACTGTGCCCTCAGAGCCAATGAAATTGAAGGTTTTATCAATCATGATCACCCGAGGCGCATCATCGGCAAGCCACTCTTTCAATCTAATCCATGAGCTCATCAGTAAATAGTATCTTGATCCTCCTGAGGGAGAAAACAACTTACTGGGTGATGCTGCTAGGGACTGCCGGAGTCGCACTACCACCACCCGTGACTCCAGTGGCAAAGCCTGAAAAGAACAACGTCAATATGGTATTAACACTCGGCGAGATGCGGGTTGTAGTGGTTTCAGCGTACCATATGGAGTTCCGACAACTTGCCCCCAAGTCCCAGTCGGCAATGCCGCAAAGGCAAGCGATAGAAGGTTGACAAGATGCATTGTTTATTTATTTGGCTGCGAGTGAAGTATGGTGAGATGATGCTAGCTAGAAGTAGCTGGAGTTGACTGTTCTAAATCCGATTTCCTGCCATGTTTCAGGATGCTCTAGCCATATTTATGCCTATTCTCGACCTTGCTATCCCGTCTGTTTCAGGAAACGGAGCTAAGGTCGCGACCTAGAAATGGTTAATTCGCACAGGGTCCGTGATCTGCCCTACAAAGTCAAGATATTCTACTATGGTGTGTGCAGAATCTATAATACCGGTGGATTTTGAAAGCTTGAGCAAGACAGACGGGGTATTCTGGGGTATCTAGCCGGTAGTCAGCAAATTGCCTTCGGGCTGATGCTTTTTTACCCGGCCCGACGGCATATAGCGCTTCTGATCACACCTCACTGGCGATCATTCACAAGTCATCCATGTCTGACCTGCTATCTGGAAATGAGATATGTGCAATTGCCATAGTAGGTATGGTATGTAAGGGCTTTAACCTACATGTAGGCCAGCGGTCTACTCTTCTAGGTTTCAATAATGGGCAATGAATGGCAAGGCGCTGTCTTGGACAGGTGCTGGTTGCCCATGTTTTCAAGGAGCTTCGTTCTAAATGAGAATCGAACGATCAAAACAGGATAAATAGAGCCAAGATCCCTTTATTGAAGTCAAAGTAGGCTATAAGTGACGAAGACAATTTGATTGACCCCTGCCAACACCACCCTCCTTCCCGCTAAGGTTGTCCCCGCACTACCAACTTCCGAGAAAATACTCTGGTCATTCGGGTCTCTATTCCAATAAGCGTCACATGAGGAGTATTCACCAGTGATTCAAAGTTCCAGAAGAATCATCTTCCAGGTGGAGTCTCAGAAATAGAGTATCCCAATGTCTCCCAATGCCAGAGGCCATTCCTCCATCCTCGATGTGCTTCGTTAGCCATGAGGTTTATTTTCCCATTTCTTTCTCGTTGACGCCTCGAGATTCACACAAGTTTCGAAACAGACATACAAGATGCGACCGACTACAGTTCATCTGCCTTGATGGCAATGATTGTCCAGGCCCTTTATGGTACACATGAAGTACCCTCAGGCCTTGATATCCGATGTTTTGGACCAATGGGAATTTCGGGGTGGCCATTCGGGGCCCATGTGATCATTTCTCAGGACATTTAACCGACAATCTGAGGTCATGGTCGCTTAGCTGCGAGTCGTGGCGAACTTGCTATACGCTCTGCTTGAACAAAGTCAATTGACAGTTTCCCCCGGGACGATATACATTGCTACGATATCCAAGTGCTCAAAAATTGCATGTCTACAAAATATTATCAATGTGATTAGCCTATCGTCGGGGGGGGGGCTTATTTAGATGCTAGAAATACATGTTGATTAGCTAGAGGGAAGAATGGACAGGCTATCTACGGGACTTCATACCACCTTGGCGGGCTTCATTCATATTTACGGTTCTCGCCAAAGAATATCGTCCATGAAAGAATGAGGAGAATTGTGGGAGGATGAGAAGACTTGCGATTGCACGTATAAGAGCTTAACACATTGCTAAACGACAGGCCTACCTCGGCTGCCCGCTCGAAGACAAACAAGAACCTGAGGTTAACACCATGAGCATACCTAAAACTTAAGTAATAATGCAACTATTAAGCGCTAGGTCAAATAGTCTTTCCTATAATCTGGACTTCATTAAGAATCCTTGGTCACGCCTCTCCAGTCGGATTCGTGGCCGGATGCCAAAAATACTCGGTCAAGAATACTTCGAATCACCTGAAAACACCACTGCATCAAATTGTACTCCCGAGCAGATTGGCCACCCCAGTCAGACCCACGAGTTTGAACACAGGCCAGAGGGTTACTCGACCAGCGTGACTGCTCGATGTTGCCCCACTAATGCCCGCAGACCTCGCATGATGATCATGAACTGGGCAGGTTTGGCCTACCGTGGTATTTAGCATTCCTAAACCTGATTCAATAAAGCTGGTAAGGATTCAAATACATCGACATCGCTAAGATTGCCCTCCAGAACACTAAATAATTATCAGTGTTTGCGGCCAGCTAGATAGCTTCGAAAGCTATGACTAATGTACTGTCGTTATGTGTGACTAATGTACTGTCGTTATGTGGCTTGGTCTATTATCATGGCATAAGCATAACAGTATTTTAGATACAACGGTGACGTACAGCAGATAAGCCTTGCTGGATTACGTTAGATGCAGTTGGCGTGGGCGAAAAACTGCAGCGGAAGCAAACCTGCCCCATCAACGGGAGGAAAATCTGACAACGCCACATGAACAGACCGAGTAGCCTCATCATGAGCCCACCTTATGTCTTGGCTTTACGTGAGAGAACGAACGGGTGGCATAAATTCAAATAGACCGGGAAGAAGTTTGCCGAGTTAGAGCAAGTCACCTTGGCACTTAACCATCAAGGTTCTCCTACAAGCCTTTTTGGACTCAAGGCACCAGAATAGTGGGACTGTAAGAGGCATGGGTAACGGGGGGATTAGAAGTCTTTTCTTGTTCGTCTGATGGAGGGAGAAATCTGCTCGCCTCTGTACCTTCATGGTTCGGTTCCCTTTAGCTGACTGGTTGTTGGTATTACCGCCCCTTGCGGCTCCTCGGGGAAGAAGTTCGGACGCTTCCTGTTTTCAAAGACAACCACCATGTTCGATATCCACCTAGATCGGCTCCGCCATGTGGATATAACCATTAAGGTATGTTGCTAGCCACCCCCGGGAGCTCGCGAGCCCCTTCCTTTTTGCACTTGAAATAACTCTGTTTTCAACGTTACTTATACGGTTAACACGGCTGCAGAGCCTACCCGTAGCCACCTACCGACAGCGGTTCAAGACCAGGGTCCGTTGCACATCATTCTACTGACGTAAAATGCCTGCCACCGTTGCACCACAATGTAGTAGGGATCGAGAATATTGGAGTTGTGGGTGGGTTGAGGGCGGGCCTTGAATTTAATCGAGAAGAGACTTACGCCACACCCACCACGGTGCCAGGACTTTTGCGCTGACTGGTCTCTTCCATCCAGTTACTTAATGTCCCATCCCTCTTGCTTTTCGTATTTTTTCCTTCCTGCTGCCATCTGCCCATCATCCGAGACAAACCCAAGACAGGGGCGGTCGACGCAGCGTTGCGCAACAACCTCTTGCTTCAGGAGTCGATATCAACTTGCAGAAATGCGTCCTTTAACTTTTCTATTTGCCACTGGCATTCATGCCACAACAATTTCTGTTTTTGAGCGGGCCGATCCCACGACCACCTCCCAGGCTCGTGTCTCATTTCAGTCGATCACCAGCTGTCATTTCCATGGAACGGCCCAGTGAGTAATTTCCAGTCGACTTTGGCAATTGATACCGTCTAACTTATTCTACTTTAAGATACTGCATGGCTGGGAACTCTGAATACCGGATCATCCCCGAAACGCCTGTGACTGCGACGGAGAACGCTCCAGCTTCCTACACCGCGTGCCATAATCATGGCACTGCTACGTATGCTACGCGATCCCTCCCGATCGACCAACGCTCACTTCTTCCTAGATACTGTATGGAGCCTAGTGCCGATGGCGAGGTTCAGGTGGTGAATGCGGATGCCACCATCACATCTGACGGCTCGCACGCAACGGCTACCGGCTCTTCGACAACCTCCGGGCCTAGTATCACTGCTATCACCGATTGTCACCTTTCATCTAGTTCTTTGTATGGCCGTACTCGAACTTATCTCTAGGTTACGTCATTTTCTCTGACAAACCATCCAGGTTTTGTTCCGCTAGTTCGACAGAGTATTACGTCCAGACGACTGTCACTGCTACGTCTGATGTTCCAGCTCAGTTTACTGGGTGTCATAACCATGGAACAGACACGTAAGTTTCTCCTCCAGCCCATTTAGCCTCTATTTATATCTAACTGACACATATGTAGGTACTGTATGACCGATACCGATGAAGTGGCCATTCTCCTGGCTGAAGATGTCAAGTCTGGAAGCGCCAACCCAGACGAGAAGCACTGCCATTTCCATGCCGGCGTTGAGTATGATGTTTTCGCACTATTGACTTCTGCTATATTATCAATCTAATGCGCGGATTTTAGACATTGTCTCGGGCCTGGAGAGTCCGAAAATGACAGTTCCACCAAATCATGCGAACGCAACGAAAGAGAATACAAGATTCCCATTCGAATTGGAATGCTCTTTGCTACTCTTGTCGCAAGCGCAGTTGGTATGAGATTACATCACCTTATATTTCCATTTAGTGCTTTATGCTTACTACCGTTCGATAGGTGTTTTGGGGCCGATCCTTTTGTCCAACTTTGTTCAAGTCAAGACCAATATCATCTTCATCATTCTGAAGCAGTTCGGTACTGGTATTATTCTTTCAACAGCCTTTGCTCATGTAAGGTCCACAAAAATACCACACTCCATCACTTCACTAATTCTTATTCCAATAGCTATTCACCCACGCCAGCTTGATGTTCGGAAATTCGTGCCTGACGGGACTAGAGTACGAGGCGACTACGGCGGCCATAGTCATGGCTGGTTTGTTTATCTCCTTCGGCATCGAATTTGTTGTTTCTAGGCTGTTGCGATGGCAGCAAGAGAAGGAGGCAGCCGACGGAAACGCTGAGTTGACACCTAGCGCCATCGCAAAGGCCGAGACGACCAATGTTACCATCATGGAGGCCGGTATCATCTTCCACTCTCTATGTATGTTCTTTTTAATCCCATTTCCATCATTTGCCCTGAGACATACATTGGCTGACTTGAACCCCAGTAATCGGTGTCACCACAGTCGTTGCAGGAGACTCATTCTACATCACCCTCTCGATCGTCATTATCTTCCACCAGCTGTTCGAAGGTATTGCCCTGGGTACCCGGATCGCCTCTCTCGGCTACAGCACCGTACTCACTAAGACCTCTGCGGTCCACACTCACGCTCACGATGCCACTGCCCCCGAGGTCGATCGTACACTGCCCTGCTCCGTTTCCATGTTGAAGAAGCTGCTCATGGCTACGGGATTTGCGCTCGTCACCCCGGTCGGCATGGCCATTGGTATCGGTGTACTTCATTCCTTCAACGGCAACGATCCTTCCACAATCATCGCAATTGGCACTCTGGATGCGCTCTCGGCTGGCATTCTCATTTGGGTCGGCGTCGTGGAGATGTTGGCTCATGACTGGATGCTCGGAGGAGATGTGACCAATGCCAACATGCTAACTACCGGCCTTGCTATGTTCAGTCTGGTTGCCGGCATGGTCCTCATGAGCTTCCTTGGAAAATGGGCGTAAGCCGCATCGAATTTGTTCCCGATTTAGAGGCTGGATAAGGAATTTAGGGAACGGCCTTGTTAGACTCCGCGTCTAGTTTGTTTACACCAGACTGTAGCCGATCTTTAATTTTTGGCGATCATACTAACACTGAGTTTTAATTTAAGCTACTTTGTACCTAAGGAGATAAATGCCAACCTCATCTTTCCCTTTATCCCACGTCAGTAAGGTCTTGCTGTACCAGTTAGCTCATCATGATCTACGTCTTCGCCCAGCTCCACTAGTGCCCACGATTGATCCCAGGCTTTGATGTGTTAGCTATTTTCTGACATAAACAAATTCCACAAATATTCGAATAATTCACAAATTTCCCGGGTATAGCATGTGTAGTATTTCTTGGACAAGATTGTCCTTCAACCCAAAGAGCAGTCACCCTATCGACCTAGTAGGATGATCCGGGACTAAAAGATACCTGTCGAGCTGAGGAGAAGAAATGAGAAGATTGTGCTATTAGATATACTATACCTCAAGCTTACGAAAGAGAAAGAGAATTGAGTTTAACAACAATGAAGCTGCCCTCAAGCTTACTTCTGAGCGGCCATTCCATGATGTGTACCTTGATGTAGGGTAAGTTAAAGGGAGGCATCGACACTTCCTGTTGCTGAGTCAACAACATTGAATCGTCTCCTGAGTCTTCCAGGGCAAGACCATCCGGATATTATCCGTCGGCTCAAGCCCCTCTTTTTTTAGATGCCGAGGCAATGATTAAGATTACCTTCGATTCCCCGAGCTGTGTCTGGTGTGCTCAAACGCCGGGGAGTTTAACTTCTGTGCCGGGCTAACATTCCATCGATGTTTCTTTCTTTATAGTTGTAAATTAATTTCTGAAATTTCCCTCCGCCATTCGAAGGTTATATTGCGTCGGAGAGAGACAAGATAGACGGCCATCATTCCCTCAAAATGGCCAACGCCAACGCCCTTCTGAGCTGGGCCCAGTCTTTCACCCCAGCACCTGAGAAGGGCAAAGACGTCTACCGTGCCACAGAAACTCCATGGCATCCGATATGGGGCCGTGGTGTCTTTGGCGGAGTTCTTCTTGGGCAGTCCCTTGCCGTCGCCCAGGATACAGTCCCATCCAACTTCGTGGCGCACAGTCTGCACGGAAGCTTCATCCTGTCGGCCAAAACCACAGTGCCCACCTTCTATCATGTCGAGCGCCTGCGCGACGGGAAAAGCGTGGCTTCTCGAGTGGTCAAGGCATTTCAATCGGGGGAGTGCGTCTTCACCGCGACCATCAGTTTCTTCGTTGAATCGCCGAGTACCAAGCGAGGGATGAATCACCAAGTGTCCATGCCAACTGAAATACTTAAGCAAGGTCCCCCCTCGGGGCCCGATCAGGATGTGGATCCGGCTCTCTTGGCTGAAGCCGGCCAGACGCGGAACGGAAGCATGTATGAGTGTGTTCGAATTCCCCCAGTTCGTTCTGAAGGTCAACCAGAGCGACAATTATTACGGCAGTGGATCAGAGCACGAGGGCCAGCGGCAGACGGACAAAATTCTTCGAAGAGTCTCGATACTCCTACTTTCAATCAAAGAGCACACCTTGCTGCACTCGCGTATATGACTGACAATTATTTCATCGGTACGGTTGCGCGTGCCCATGGAGGCAAGCGATTTAACAACCATCAGTCCATTCAGCCTATCGTATCGTCGTTGTTGGATGTAAAGTCGGAAACCAGGGATGTTGTTGGGAGTTTCGATGAGTTGGCCCGGGAAGAAGCGGAGGAGTACACAAGAGATTCCACGAAGACAGACGCAGACCGTGCAAACATCCAGCTGATGCTAACTCTGGATCACTCGATATATTTCCATAACCAGGCTTCTATTAGGGCCGATGACTGGATGCTTGCGGAGATGGAAACCCCATGGGCCGGTGATGAGAGGGGTCTTGTTGTACAGCGCGTCTGGAACAGAGATGGGACACTAGTTGCATCTTGCTTCCAAGAGGGGATGATCCGACTGTCAAGAGAGAAGCCACAGAACAAGTTATAAGCGATCTATCAGCCTAGTGGTGCGACACAGTACTTAGAAATTTTATTGATGACGGTGGCAACCTATTGGATCTTTTCCTTCCCTCAACATGGCCTACTTGAGCAATATATTTTAGATATTTTCTTCAGCAGTCTAGCTGACGGCACTCAGAGTCCCTCAAAATTTCCACTATTGCTCCTTCGACTTTTGCAGTTCTCTGAACAACGCCTTATTAACAAACCCCAACTTTCTCACCCTTTTGAGTATTGTTATATATGTAACTTTATTACACTCTCCGTGATCTAGGCTGCGGGAGGAATGTAAGGTGTTTAGATAATGAATAATTACGTGGGGACTCAGACGAAGTACATGGCACAACATTCGCCAACCATGTTGTATTGTCTACCTGAGATTACGTGCAACTAAACCAGATCTCTTCACCAGCACCTCGACCTTTCGGGGGGTCATGGTCACGAGATGATTTGCTGTAGAGCTCTCAAAACCTTCTTATTGCTCGCAAATTTTGTTTGCAGTAAACTATTGGATGTATACCGGGAATAGAGTGGTATCATTACGCTCTTCAATGCTATGCTATGTATTGACTTTTCTTCTCATTGGATCAAAACACATTGATTGCTTGGGACTTTTAATTTTACAATCATTGTCTTGAGCTTTATGGTTAAAATCGATATCGAAGGCAAACCTGTTTAGGAAGTCTCTCACTGGCTTGGCGTGCCAGCGATCTCCATTAGTTTCAAACCAGCCGAGATGACCACCAAGCGAAGTTGTACAGAGAATCGTGGGAGGGTTTTTGCAAAATTCTTCGTAAGGTACAGCTTCATTCACTGCAATCTACAATCAATGAGATGAGTTGTTGCCATGTGTGAAATAAAAAGGGGCTAGAACTTACGGGGTCGTCTACTGCGTGCGGAGCTAAGAACGGGATTTTGATTGCAAGGACTGAGTCGCTTGAAGAGGCATCGCGGTAATATGAGAAAACGGTAGGATACCCCCAAGGCTTGCAGTGGACCTCTGTGTCAAACTCTGTTAGAGTTGTGGTGTTCATAATTAGGTCGTAGTCTATATCGGTATATAATTTTACCTCTCTCTCGTTATTCTGCGTAAATTATTTCACTGTTTCTGTTGGCATATTAGCATACCATCAATATACTGCTAGTGTGTAGCGGGCATTCTAACCTCCCATGGCCCTTAAATAGGCGAATTTACCAATATATGTTCGTAACAGGGCACGACTGACCACCTCCAAGTTGAAGGGATTGGAGCAGACAACTGCAGCTTTCAGAAGACACTTGTCGCCCTCTTCTCCGCAATACTTTGCGAAGTTTACATGTTAGCTTAATCGTCATCTTTCGGCAGGATTGAGTCTTACATTCGTAAGCATGTTTGCACCAAGGGAAAACCCTAAGCCAAAAAGCGGTCGGTTAGGGAATTTCAGCTTGGAACCACGTCACCACTTGTCGGAAATCCCAAGTCGCCCGGGCATTGTACAGAACCTCGCTGGTGATTTTACTGCCAGCACAGCCCCGCGAGTTAACGACACATATGCTCCAGCCTTCGTTGAGCAGCGCGATGCAATGGCGTAGGTAAGGTTCATGTGATCCACCAGTCATACCATGGAGCACAATAAGTTGAGGCTTTGTATCGTCCGAACCAATTGCCTGGAACTCATCGTCCGTGTAGAACACGGTTCTTGGGGGCAGCAAGTCATTGACTTTAGCGAAAGGGCTGACCACAAAGTCCACCGCAAAAGTGCCGTGGTATTTTTTGTTGTTGCTTCAAATGTTCGACGCTTGTAGTATATCGGAGGTGCATCTTGCCTGACAGTCGTCCATAGAGTCTGAAGATGCCCATTGAATAGGACAGGGCTCAAATTGCAAGGTGGTATTGACTGTTCGCAAACCTGAAGGAGGTCTGTTGATTCGCCATCTCTACGCTCGAGCTTCAGCGGGGAGGCAGCATGCGTGAATTGGATTTTACTTCTACCTAGCCAATCCATTTTCTTGCTGTAATATACCCGTCTACTAAAAATCTATTGGGAATAAGGTTTTTGGGATTGACGTTTGAGTACTCTAAAATGCCTCTTGGCGAGGGGTGCACGGGAAAGGATTTATCACCATTTTGAGCTGTATATACACTCTGGAGTGAGCACATTCCAGGAAGGACCAGAGGGCCACATGCCAACCACGAATTCGATTTAAACGAAAACGAACATTGTCTGGTACATTTTTGAGACCATAATTAGGCTAAAGTGCATACTTAAGGCGCACGATGAGACTAGTACAACAGTCGATATCTGAATCTAGCGTTTTGGTGAGCTAGAAAAATGTCATTAAGACGTACTCTTTAACATCCCGTCTCAGACACTGACCCCTCCCTCTGGGGATGCCGGGAATTGGCATGAAAAGTTATTGGATGATGAGCAATACCTCCGAGCACCTAAGACTTGCCAGACATCATAGTAGTAGTAGTAAGTAGTAGTAGTAAGTGAGAGAGCTATGCAGCTGCTGAAAAAAAAAGGGGAAATTCCCAAACACCAAGAATTTAACAACTTGACACCATACCCAGTATCACAACACATCCTTGCCAGACATCATATGCCGCCACTCATCCAGGGTCACAGCCAGTTAAAAGATAGAAGCCTTAACGCCCGCGTTTTTGGCATGTCCCCCTTGAAACTTTTAAGATTTGGTAGGATTGGCCCAGGAAACGTCTCACGTGGACGATAATAGAAAATAGCCCGCTAACTTTGTTCGATTTGCTGAACTCTGAAGTAGAAAGGTTGCCTAGGTTTAATGCTTATGGTTGATATAACTACGACTGATTGGTTTGCCTAAAGAAACTTAACTTTTCTATGCTAAGCTAGGCTAGACGAGATTTTCCACGGGCGTACAGTTGTGCCCTTGCATTCTGGACGAGGAAAGCTCCCTCGTACTTTATGATATTTAGCCTGGCCCATGGTATGATTGCAGAGCTTTCTGGAAAGCTTATGGTACCACTACCGAGAGTGATCTCCGAGAACTTCATCTCCATGGTAGTCGGCACCAGTTCCAAGACCGATGGAGGCGCGCCGTCGAATGGTGAAGGGATACTTCTCATGTTCAGCATCCATTTCTTAGGTGGGGGTGCTGCGACCTGGGTAGTCTTGTGTGGGATAAAGTCGAAATTAATAAGTGGCTGATCAGCGGCTTTCCCAGCACCACCAAAATAAGATTTGTCTTCATCGACTGTCTGGATTCTGATCTTGCCAAGGACCTTTGGGAATCCAAATCTTTCACGGCCTAGAAAGACAGCAGATTCATTGTCGAGGATCAGTATGACGTTGTAATCAAACTTCTCTCCTTGATAGGTTACCTCGACCTGGTGGACAAGCTCCGAGTAGGGCCCAACCGTGCTAGATCCATAATGCATGAATCGGGTAGTGACAAGAGGTTCGTCCTCAAGTTCGAGCATACTGGGAACGAGGTCGCAGACGGAAGAGACGGAGACACGATAGGTAATAGTGACCATTGTGATGTCTGCTGCACTGTCCTCTCCACTAGAATAAGAAGGAGAACATAGGGGTACAGCTGTATCCTGCGCCTTCAATGTTCCAAATGGCATTTTGAAGAAAGAACAACCGACTATAAGTAGTAGATTGACAAAACGAATGATAGTATATCATAGAAGAACTCCAACTTTGCCGGGCTCCATCTTAGCATTAAATTTTCATCACTGTCCTACCATGTCTTTATGTGTATTTTTTGGTTCTTTAGCTGAACTAGTGCAGTAGAGACTGAATCTGGTTTCTGAATTATTTCGGCAGCGAGATTCAAACGATATCAAATAGACTAAGATGTACCTTGGCCTGTACGGTACGTGAAACTGGTCTGACTCTCCGGAACGTAGGTTCCGGCTCGTAGGTTCCGGCTAACAAGTCATGCGATGGCATCGCCAGGACGCTTGTTATCTGGACACATGGTCTTGGGAAAAATACGATAATGATTATCTGCCGGCCGCCAAGTTGTTGTTCAGTTGACTCGGAGGATGTGGTTCGAGTCTCTGGTGCTCTTTTGTCACAACATATCTGATGTCTGCAGCTAAAAGAGACAGCGTCGTATATTCCTCAGTTACTTGTTTCACTGGGTTCCGTACTTCCGGGAGGTCCGTCTATGTGTTGAAGCCAATCGGGGTTCAAACAGGAGCAACGAGGGAGCTCAAATAAAAACTTTCCCAACCAATTATGAATGCACTTCTATGATATGAAATAAATTAGTATTATTTTTTCCTCCTAAACCACTTGGCGGCATAGTCAAGAATCAATAGTGTACCAATGATTCCCAAGTCAGGATAACCTGAATGGCTTGTTGGGGAATGGAAAGAGCGTCATAGGGCTAAAGTGACCTAGTCTCATACAGGTATTGGAGGCTGGGGGCTATCACATCCAACAGAATTTATGAGTGCCAACAAAACATCTGATGAAACATTAGCTCGTACAAGCTGACCAACGGTGCATCATTTGCTTAGCAAAGTAGTCTGCCCAACTTCGTTGTTGTTTGATTCTTATCGTACTCATACCTATTTGAGAGCACGATTACGGTGCCCTTTTCCTTTTAGTTAGTATGACGATGGTATGTATGTTTCTAGCAGAAGTAGGACCAAGAGGGACAAGTGTCCTGCAAGCCCAATCCTAACATTCATGACTGGATAAGGGGGTAATGCATGATGGCCACACCGATGTGCCAGCACTCACATACCTGTCCCAAAAAATCCTTGGATCAGGCTATATGCAACCTAGGCCAATATACGTACCATAGACAATACGAAGGACTGCTGAGAACCCTTTTTCGGTATTATCTGCTGTATGCATTGAAGAGACATAGGGCCAGAAGTATTTGCCGAATTCATGGCTGAGATTCTTGTGTTAGCTTCTTTGGGGATTCAGGAATGGAGTTTTGGATTATAAGAATTCTGTTGGACGACTGCAAAGGGATGAGCTAAACATTGGATTTGGTTACAGGTGGTTCTGATTCATCTTCCATATCAAGACTCGCGATGAATTCACTCAGTTTTCGGTTTTACTAGTTTGACGAGAGGGTGGTACAATGTACAAGATATCCTTCATAGATGTGTTCAAAATTGAGCTATTGTGCATCCGGACAGGGAGACTCATGATCATCCGCACCTCATCCAGACTGTCCGAAATTTTTCGGTGTCTTGAACTTACTTTCTAGGTATAGAAAATGTTCATCCGCACCAAGCTTGGGTTGGTTAGGCACACACACATGCACTTCAGGATTCAACGATCCAAGGATTCTGCCTGGTACTGTTGGCCTCCTTGCCGCTTGTCCTAGATTATCCAGACACATAAAATACCCAACGCTAACGATGGTCAATTCCATTTATATGCAAGCCAATACACTTCGCCTATGTTCCCCCTCACAGAGCGTCTCCCAGGCTCTTTTTGTACCTAGTCCTTAATTCCTCCAAAAATAGTTAAATATGAGTGGAGTTGCCATCTTTATGGAGCTGACAAGAAGCACACCCCACTTACTCCTTTGTAACGGGAAAGCAAGATGCAAGCTCCATGATCTCCGAAAGTCTAAGACATAACAGAGGGCTTGGCAGTATCAACAGTACCCCTTCAAGCCAACTCATTTGATGCAAGGACTTTCGTACCAATTTGTCGTCAGCCATTGAACGAATATATCAGAGGGCGAAAGGTTCCAGTACTAACGCCACCTCGGCTCTACAGCTGTCTCTCACGCAACTTATACTTTGCCCATGAGTTATAGTATACGGATTGGGACAACATTAGCAAGTCAATATTTTGGCTGTCTTACCAATATCTTGTAACTAAGCTACACAGAAGCTTGGGGGCAAAGTGTTAATGTATAAAATGTGTCGAAGCTAGACTTTTTTGTAGGCAGTAATTTACACGCTTTATTCCTATATTTTCTTTGAAACTCCAGCAAAATAAGCAAGACCGAAGATCCTTATAAAGTAAAGCCAACTGTTAGCCTTCCCCCTGGGACCGATTCTTACGAGCAACTTGATCTCAAGCCACGACTACCAAGAGCTCCCCCAAAGCAGACAAGGCCATTGCCGGAATGGCCACCTCCAGAACAGCGTAAAGGCAAATGGATGGCAGATTATTTGGACCAGGCACATTTGGCTTCCACTCCAATTGGTTTTTATAGAAACTAATTTCTGTTGGTTATCTCCTATAGCTCAATCCCGAAACCGAGTTTGACCAAATTATACGCACCTCGCATTTGTTTGGTATGTCTCCTTTTGGAGCATCGTTAGCCTACGACGTCATTATTTGCATCAATTCGCAGACACCAGCGGGTGCCGCTGCAGTCCAAGGGGGGAGCGTTACCAGAGAACCTCACGCGCGATATTATCGAACTATGATGTCTGAACTTAGCTGGGTGTTTCATGGTAGTACTGCACCAGAGACAGCAAAGGACATCTCTCGAATCAATAAGATACACAGCGGTGTGTGGAAACGCAAACCTGGAACATTCAGTTCTGTATGGGAAGGCAAAATGACCATCGTTGGCATCTCCTACTTCGACACTTGGGCTCGCCGGGTGGTAGGAGCATGTTGTCAAACGCCTCATCCCAATATCCAAGCGGCGTATCCGTTTTGGGGAGAGCAGCTGACCTCGCATTTCGTGACCGAGCCTAGCCATGGGTCTCAGTCGTTTGGAAACAATTATCCCCGAACCTGGGATGAGGTAGAAGAGTTTTTCTATTGGCTGCAAGACTTCCCCTATGAGGAGCAGACTACTCCGAAGCAGAAGCAAATCGGAGCAGAGACTGCTGAATACTTCGTCCAAGGATTTTGTGACTTCTGGTTTCCAGGGTACAGTCATTGACCCAGTCAAGAGTGATTGTTTATAGCTGACTGTCCTGATCCTGCAGTTTTCTTCAGTTCATTGGTCGAGATATTATTTTGACGTTCATTCCACCGCAATGCCGGCGCAGGCAGCGCATGGGAGAACCCAACTGGCTGCGGTCAGAGTTAATCAAGTTGGTGATCAAATTATACTATGATGTTCATGACTATCTTCTGTCGGATCCTTCAGAGCCAGACATGACATATTTCCGAGGGCAACTGGCCCGCATCGACCTCTCTACGGCTGATTATCATATTCGCAAGAAAAGGGGGTTGCAAGATGGCCTCTTCAAGCTCTCTGCGCTAGCCCTGTTGATCGGCATAATAATTTGTAATTATTCCCACTAGAGAGAACAACAGTAGGGTTGTCATACAATTTAGCAGACTGTAAAACATGAGAGGAAAACTTGCACAAAGAATCTATTATATAGGAGTAGCTATGTCATTGTTTCGATGCACAGATGCCTATGGTCCGATCAGATCAAGTATCTATAGCGTTGAAGTGGGTTGCTATCAACCAGCTATATGACAATCCGCAAGTGATTATATATTCCATATTCGTAGTCTTAAGGCACGAGCCCTTCAGCTTGGCAACTCCAGTCTAGAGCATTCGTATCTAGGGTAGGCGATTAGGTAGTTGGTTTGCTGACAACAAACAACGGCCTGTCAGATCAAATTTTTAGACAAGTGTTCCCTTCCCGCAACAATTGATATCATCCCATATCTAGCCTCCTACGGCCTCAATAGGGTCTCCCATAATAGTATTTTAGAAAACGCAATGCCAATCGCGATAGCTACACGCGGTCTCAGAAGCCTCCACGCGGCGCGCTTCACAAAAGTCGCGTCTGCAGCTGTAGCTTGTCCAATTGTCGCTCGGACCCAACGGTTTCCCCGGATGGCCATGTCAACCAAACCTGACGTTTCATCGCCGTTGGTGCAGCAGACGGCGTGGCAGAGGCTCTGTGTCTCTGACCTTGACCGCCTCTACCCTCTTCTTGCCGCCTATATCCAGCAACCCTCACTCGCAGAATCTGTCACAGAGCTAGTCATGGACTTTTCCTCGGCGGAGTATTGCTTGCCAAACGATTACCCTCCCGATGAGCCCGCAGAGTCTAGCTTGGGAGTGGCTGGCGATCTGGTGCGTGAGCATGTGTGTAGCCTTGGCCTTGGTGATAGAGAGACCAAGGCAATGCTGCACGTACTACGACTGTGGACGAACCGGCGAGAGACGCCCCGCGACTGGCAGCCAGGGGATGTACCCTCTGAGCCCCGTTACCTTCATGGCGAGTTCGCTGGGCTCTCGGCCATTGTCCTGCTCAGCCTTTGCAAGAATTTATCCACCTTGCACATAGCGCAACGGATGTCAGGTTTCAGCCCCATGTTGGAGGATTATTTTCTCAAGTCCAACTATGGCCTACTGCAGGCACCAGGCCTACAGAATCTGAAGAAAGTCGAGGTCTTGCCGGGAGAGTGGTGGAATGCAGAGACAGTTTACGGCCAGCTGGAGTTCCTCAGGCTTTTCCAGTATTTCCACCGCCTTCCGGCAATCAACGCAATCTCGATTGATAGTTGTCAGGAGTACCAGTCCTATCATATTACATTCATTCCGCGAACCGGAAATATGAAGACCCTCAAGCTGGAGCATGTCGATATAGATGACTCACTTCTTGGACTCCTTATCAGTATACCCAAGGTCCTGGTCGAACTCAAGGTATCACTGGGCGGGAAGGAACATATAGATGGTGGGCTCCCAACAACCCGCCCACACTCCATCGGGAGAGCGCTCGCACAGCACAAGGAGACCATAGCAGCACTTGATCTGGACCTGGATTTGTGCGTTTCGGAGCACGTTTGCAAAGGAAAAGTTCGAGATGATCCTGATGACGAGGATTCTGATATTGAGACATTTGGTAGAAACTACTACAAGATGGATCAAGAGACCCGTCTTTTAGTTCAGAAAATCCCGATCGCTCTTGAGAGTTATGGGTGGACAATAGGCTCGCTCCATGATTTTACCTCTCTCAAGCACCTCAGTATCGGGATCTACACGCTTCTAGGCCCTCCCGATGTACGCGGAGAGCGGCTTGCCCGCCAGCCTCCATTTCGGCTCGTCGATGCTTTGCCACCCAATTTGGAGTCTTTCTGTCTGTATGGTTACAAGAAAGGAGCAAACCATGATGTTGATGAACATGTCAACGAGTTTATAAACAACAAAGAAGCCAGATGCCCAAGCCTGAAGGAGGTGAGAGGGGTTGAGGAAGAGGTCCCAGGTGTGGCACAGCTGTTCCCCGAGGATTCGTACGTGGACCGCATGTCATCTGGCATGGAAGAAGAAGAAGAAGAGACTATTCATCAATGGAAGACACCAGAGTTCCCCAGCGAGTGGAAGCCTGTAGAATAATCATCACGTAGGAAAGGGCCGGGGGGGTCTGCCTGGTGAAAGCAGGTGGGGTTAATTAGGGTCTTCTAGAGATACATCGTGGGCCATCGGGTTTGGTCGCTTGACTATCGTGGTCTTTCCCAATTGGCTGGCGCAGCAGTCCCCCAACCCATGTCCCTTTCTTTTTATCAATATTTAGCTGCTTGGATTACAAACAAGACATGCATTCACTAGTAGAAGAAAGTTTTGAACCCCACGGTACAAATTCATATCAATGTAGAGGAGTGAAGAGCATTTTGTCAGTGAACAGGGAATAGTAAACGACATGGTGAGCAGGCCGTGAGATATATCGTCAACTTTTTTAGGTATGTGTATGCATACGAAGCCCGTTTTCTCAGACGACATCTCGTTGTAAAATCACCGTCCTCATACCCATATCCTTACCGTCGAGTTTGTACATATCTTTCACGATCTGAATCACACTATAACCTCTGCGTTCGTACCACTCATGAGGAGTCAACTGGTGATAAATAAGCATTAGTGCCAACAGCAGGTATCTTACAGCTTCTTACTTACCGGAGGAATCTGCCCATAGAAGAGTGGCCCAAGACTTGGGTTCTGAACATCTTCCTTGAACCCGGTATCGAGCATGAGATGGCGGGCGTTGAGCGGCTCATTGACCGCTTGGCTCTCGACTTGATCCATTGCGCTTCGAGCAATCCCGAAGCTACGCAATTCAGGAAAGACGTACAGACTCTTGATCCACCATGCGTCTTTTATTGGTGCCTTCACACCGAAAGTTGCTGCATCTGGGTTTTCACTGTCTAGTGAAATATGTCCGACAGGATGAAATTGAGCCCCAGAGGGGACGCGAGGGGTGCCTCGCAGTGACTTATTGGTGTCCGCCAGGAGTGTTTTATCCTATCCGTAGTCAATAAAGCGATTTTATAAGCATAAGAATGAAACAGCTACTGACCGAAGGGTGCTTCGCCAGATGCTTCTGCATGGCGGCGTCAAAATCCGCTGATCCATCAGTATGATAGACCTTCCCAGAGACTCGGAGTTAGCTGTTTGAAGGCTTCATGATTTCAATATGATGCGCAATTACATACAATCCAATAGATGCATTTCGTGCCGGCTCGCTGCTTGTCAGCCCATTCGCTCGCGACTTTCTCCGCATGCCATCCGCATTCTTCCCGATGCACTACCAGCCTTGCAATATGGTCTGGAGACTCTGAATCCCAGGGAATCAGTTCTACCTTTGCCGTTACCATTGTAGATTACTTTTGTTCTTGTTAGATGTGTGGTGTCCGTCTTTGCTGAGATATGACTCAAACAGAGAAAAATGGGTTTAGTTTATATAATGATGCTATCGTCAATTAGTAAGCCGCAACAGGGATTAGATTGATCAGGTTCGTATTAGCAAGCAAAATACGGATAACATGAGGATCGAAAGAAACGGGATCATGACATTAATAGCCCGATGATCTCTGAACATGAGGGCATTTCCAACACAAGAGGTGGGTCATGATCGATAACATCACACGTGAAGAAAACCACTGCTTGCCAAAGGCCATGGAGTAAGAAAATTATATCTGAGCCGGGTTAAGTCACTCAACTCAAAGTGGGTAAAGACGGGCTTGAGTAGCAAATTGACGCCCATTTCGAAAGAGCAGCACTCGGGTCTTTCTAAGAGTTTCTAAGCTAGAACTGAGCGAGGGGATTGAAACTGTCAATGATATACAATTTCTAGTGCTCTGTCCTCAGTTAGTTAGATTTGAGACGGCAAAATTCGAGCTAGTTCGAGTCAGTTCTTGATATGGACACAACGAAATTAGGACTGTGACTCAAATAACTGGATGATTTATCGCTGTTTTAGGCTATCTGCTGCGACACTGATAGTTCCTTGACATGATGGATCGTCGAGGCTTGATCAACACCATCAACTGCTCCCAAGATAACTTCACGCAAATCTCCCAAGCTCATGGACAAGGCCATTCTTTCCACAGCCAAATTATCCCCTAGTGCCTCCTGCCTGGTAATGAATTGAAGACCAGTAAGCACGGCAAATATAACCATTTGTATGATTTTTCGCCCCTGTTCAAATGGCATGAAGAATTCTAGAAACGAGGCGATTTTATGGCAGTACAGGCGGGGGTCCGTCTCTTCAGGCCAATCGGTAATATCAGATTTGTCGGAATTTGCCCGAAGACATTCGTACAGAATGATGCATGTGGAGCAATAAAGAAGCGACATTTCACTGATTGCGCACTCTTCTGCTGTTGGCTCGACTCTCGTCCCTGAACCGGCTTTGGCTCTGTTTAGATAATGGATGGCTGGGTAGCCTAAACCAGCCGTCCATTTCTGCATCTCTTGATGGAGCCTCCAGCATTCCAATACCACCTCTTTCCTTTGAGAAGCCTGCTCAGGTGTCGATCCTTGAAGTGCCATTGAGTCACTCTTTTCAACAACACAGCACAAATCTGCCATGATATCAATAAGAATATCCTTCGTTGTCTTCGGTATATACATCCATGGCAACGTTGTCCATTTCTTCTCGGCAAGTGGTGCTTTTTTCCGCAGCTGCAACTGGAGAGTGATCTACACTAGCTTTAGACACAGAGGAATGAGCAATCTATGGGGTTTCAATGTACCTGTTGAAAACGCGTATCGCAAAATATATAATGTAGCATGCCCTGTGCGTAAAATGAAGGGTCTTTCGACATCATAAGTGCCTCGAACCCGAATACATGGGCGAAGTACTTTTCCATCTGCTTGGAGCTGAATAACTCGCAACCCGGGGCATACGTACACTACGGATAAACTTCAGTAAGTTGAAACAGAATTAATAGAACGGGGAATAACCTTACCTCATACAAACATAGCATGCTTCCAACGAGAATAATAGATGCCAGGTCCTGCTGCTCATTTGTGTTCCCGATATAACTCGCGACTGAGCGTAATGTTTGTCCATACATTTGTTGGCAAGAAGGGAGCATCTGCGGGACATTTTTCTCTCGCGCCCACAATCCCACGGCGTTGGTTAAAACTGCTCTGCGAAGGACTCGATTCCCCTGGAACAGATCTTGAGCAACCGCCACCCATCCGGTGCTTGAATACTGCACTATCCTGGATAAGGCTGAGCGCGCATTGGGAAGATAACAATCCCAGAACTCGCCCACGGCGTTCTCTTCAAAAGCACTACGTGCAAGCTTGTTGGAGAGTAGTTCCAAGCTCGGCTGTGTGCTTCGTGGTTGATATGGCTTTATCTCGAATGGCTTGTTCTCGCCTCTGTCTTTCGAGTAGAAGGCCGTGTTCAGCTTGGTTGAGCCCTGAACTGATTCTGCTGTGCTGACCAAGAATATGTGCTTCTTCTCATAACCGCCACATTCTACACCTGCATTCTGGCACTGGCCACAAGATGGCCATGCTCTGTCGCACTGGGAGGCTGAATTAGCATCTCACACCTGGTCTGACGCGCATACTGTGGTTGCAGCCAGGCCCATGACTCACGCCTCTTTTCCGCTTGCGGCAGGTCGCGCACCCTCTGGACCGTCCGGGAACTCCGACCATTGTGCTTCGCTGACAAGTCGGAGCCTGATGCTGTGAAGCTTTCTTTCATGCAGATCAGTTGCTTTAGGGATTAAACTCGGTAGCTAACCTGCACGGCTATCGCGGATAACTACGCGAAATGGAGGGAAAAACAAGTTGAGCCACATATCAAACATGGTGACGCCCCACTCGTTTCCCTGACCGACTCAGGGGTCACAGACTCCAGGGACAGTTGGCGGCTATTCCAAAACTCGTGCTGACAGGTGAGAACTGCGGAGTTCCATGCGGAATTAGGATTGATTTGTGGAGCTGCTCGGACAGTGAAGCCCAGAATATTTAACTAATCCCAAAGCTGACCGAGATTATGCTCATCGGTTTTCTCTTCAGCCCTGTGAGCACGAGGTTGCAGGCACCTTGCACGAAGCAAACTAGGTGCATCTAAACCTGGTAAATTGCTGACTGGTTGCCAGATGTCCTTCCTTAGGTTTACAGAGAATCTCTGCGCGCAATACAAGCAGTAAATGATTCCTAAGCGAGCTCCACCTAGTAATTTAGCCAAGGCTTGCCAGCGTTTACCTTGTTTGTCTAACATGGAGCCGTGCACAAAAATAATGCAAGAAACCCTTCATAATTGTCTGCTCACCGATATTCTATCATTTGGGTATGTTCACCCTTTCTATTGGTGGATCCAGGTTGCCCACCTCCTCCGCGCCAGGATCTGGATCCAAAACATTGAACACTCATGATCATGTGTTGCTAGAGAACCTGGTAAGCCGAACAAGAGTCTCAGTAGTAGGACATGATATGGGCGACTTCACGGCCGGTCTAAGTAGTCCTAAATAAACAGAATTTTATCTTTGGTAATCGGGGAAATCAACGCATAACTCAACAGGGAAATTAATAGTGATGGACGCAAATTAATGGCCGAGAGCTTCATGCTAGGTTTTTACCGTGGTGCCAGCAAACGGAAACACACTTCTGCGTTGTGATTCAAAGAACAAGAGCAAGCCTGTAGGGCTGTGTTTATCCATCCGCTTTGATGGTAGTGTCTCTTGTGTGAGATAGAAAGGAGAGACCTAAATTCGAAGAGGTTGTAGACGCAAGCGGATCAAGCTAAACAGCTAGAAAGAAGCATCATTTCAAGCACATGTGGCATAGCTGCCCGACAAATCTGGCAGTGTCACTTATTCTATCCACATAGCATCTTACTTGTTCCCAAAAAACTGCTGAAAAAACACCGATATTCAACGATGACTATCTGGGCTTCTAGACAATCGCAAGTCGATTCACTGGCCCGCCAATTGCTCAAAGATCAATTTCATTACCTGTGCCGGAACAGGGCTGGTGGTTCAACCTTCTCATCTTTGCGTTGGGGCTAGCGAACTTGGGCATATACCTGGCCAACATATTACCAAATAGCATAAAGATGAATAACTATATACATGTAGACAACTTTCAAAGGTACAATCCAAATCAACTCAAACATAAAGATTGATGGATGCCGGCTATTAACAGCCTTTAACAGTCATGATAAACAGATGGCCATGCTCTGTCAGGAAAAGTTTCTTGCCCTACTATGAGATATCTCAGTTTGCCCACCAACGACTCAACGGTCTTAGGTTTAACGTGTTGAAATCTCCTTCTTGCGCCGTAAGGACATCATAGCTCATACCATAAGTTTATTGACCTATCAATATTCGTTTAGGTAGAGGATGGTTTTTGCATTTGCGAATTCAGTCTAAAAGTCATGCTCGTGTGGTTAATGTGGTTTTATTGTTCAATAGCTTGAATAGAAACAATCCATTCTATCACATGTCAGCTCAAGGTTTTCCTACAATCTGTAGTTAACAATGACTATCAAACATGTTGTCCGACCCTTGACCAACGTTTCTACCCCCACAAACTGTGTCGTAATAACGCGAGTGCTCAACACGCCCCCAAACTCGTGCTCAATGTTCATGCCTCCACTCCATGCCTGGTAACTGCTTCCATCGTATATGGTCCCATTTTCCATTTGCTTCCCAATCAGTCCGGATGGAAATGTAAAAGAAGTCTTCAACATCATCGATATTGACTGGAATACCTGGAAAATCCTTTTGATGCTTCTCTACCTCCTTCTTAATTTTTTTCTCCCATAGGCAGTGAAACTCATAAAATGGCCGCGAGCGGTGTTCTCTAGTAGGGGGAGAGCAATATTTTTTGTCAAATACCGGGATCGGACCCCAATTGGACGATACTTTTGTGTGTTCTTTGAACCTACATTCAGGGGTTGAGGGGCGAAAGGTAGGCATCTTCGCGAAAATTCAAAATGTGCAGTATGTAGTCTGTGGGTAGCAATTGAGGAGAAAATATGCTATGTGAGAATGGTAATAGCCAATATGTTAACGCACCATTTGGAATATGTCTCGCCATTTATACTCGAGGTAATAATGATTCATGGAAGCTGGCCAGATGTGGAAGTACGCGAACAGGCTTGAGGAGAATGTGAACTACGCTTCATGTGCGATTGACTTGCATTTCCAACGGTAAAAATATGAATCAAGGTCCAAATCTGAGCCCCAGAACAAGGACTGGGCCATAAAGTACGGTTCACTGAACCATGGCTTTGTTGTAGCTTTGCACGCAATGCGCAGTGTAGACACGTTTATTCTCTTGTATTAACTCCTGTAGTTTTAGATGTGCTAGCAAGCAAATTGCTCCCATTTTGATGTATGGACCTCTTTATAGTCTTCTTTGCCCAGAACACATGAGTTTGTTTGATCTGAAATCGACGCATAGGCAACCAAGCCGACTTGTCTGGCAACAGCTACCAATTCAAGTAGAGAGATGAAACGAAAAACTTACCAGGATCCCCTTACGTGCTTTTGTAATTAATGAACACAAGCTATGAAAGCCACCCGCAAGTTCATCTATGTTGACTACCTTGAAATCGCGACCATTGATTTTCCTTTTTTTCCCCCTAGACCTGAAAACTAAGGCTTCGTTCTGAAGTCGTGAAAATGATCTGCTATAACCATTGTAGTCGCAGTACAATGCCCAATCTGGACAGAGAAGGCATTGGCTACTACTGCCGTCTGGGTGTGTCGTAACAATGAAGGGATATCGGAAAACAGTGCGCCATTCGCCCTGGACGGATTGTGCACGATTTCCCCCCACATCGCACAGCCTTGAGCATACTCTGACGTGCTCTGATACCACCTCACGATCAGACTTTGCTCCCATTTCTATGGTTCTAACAACATGCCTAATCGTACAAGATCTATTGGCCAAGATGCTACTTACGAAGCGAAGGCTTCACTGACTAAGAGCAGTCTGTGTTTCACAAAGGGGCTACTTATGATGAGGCACCTACTCATCCTTTGTTTAGTTACATCATGGCTGCTCATGCGCCTTATTTACACTGCTAGGTACAAGCGGAGGACGGGAAACTTTGATTTCTCCTCGTTTCTCGTCTCGCAAATCACAATGGATATCTGGAATGGACTTTACTATGTGTTCTACCATGATCTTTCCTGGAGGGTCAACAGAGAGTTGGACCGCCCATTGTTGAAGAATCGGCGTTATTCCCTGCGTTGGTCAGCACACAGGTGACATTAAATGCAGATGTTGGTTGCAGCGTACCTAGCATCTTAATTTAGATCTTCGGGTGGTGTTCCGGCGTTTAAAAATAAACACCCGAGAGTCTAGATCGCGGTCCCTCCTGGGCACACACAAGTTCATAAAAAGCATGCATCAGCTGCATGACGCCCTAAATCCCCTCACATCAATGACCTGGCCTTACGATTTCAATGCTGCCTAGCAGTATACCAACCAGTGTAAAACCTTGGCGGGAAGCTGTGCGTGATATTTATCAATTTTGTCTAGCCAAAGTGCCAATCTTGTGAACCCACCATCGAGCACAAGCAAGAGTTGACCTCCTTCCCTGAAACACAATCCCCCTTTATTTAACTTTAAAGTTTACTTCGTTTTACTTCTCAATCCAACAGGATGGGGATCTGCGGGGTACATTGACAGCGTCTAACGTAATGGTAAATTGTCTTGCTGTCTTGCTGACTGTTGGTCTGATGCATTGTGGAAACCCCTGCATGTGGCTGAGAGATGAGCTGAGTGAGTGACAAAGTTATGGCGCTTATGACCGTTGAAGGCAGAATGTCCCGGTAGTACTTTACAGTTACTACAGCGGAACAACGAAAGAGAGAATTGGAGCATTTTTCATGTTAAAGGAAGGGCCTTATGAATTTGACACGGGATCTAGATAGGCCATACTACTGGCATTCATGACCGCTATGAAAGACCGTCGCAGCTTCAGTCGTCCCCGAATGACCGAGCTGGTTTCACCGCCAGGGAACTTTTGGCGTTGCAGTACTGCATTTCAGCTGCCCCAGGGAGGTTTCAGCCACCCAACGCTGACCAACAGGTTGATGGTACAATGACAAGTGGAGAGACGCCCTGCCGCAAGGCGGGAGGGAATTTGCTCCCTGCTCCAATCGAGTGGTGACATGTTTGCACCGCCGCGCTTGCACATCAAAATGATGACATATTACCAACACGGTGAACATTGTTACCCTTTGCGGATGAATCTAGTGATGAAGCCATCCTTGTGGCTTGAGCGACCCATCTATTTGCCTTAGCTGATGTATTTTCGGCTGTGATTGTGCTCGGTTGCCTGGGCTGGGACCAACATTCATATAAGAAGAGAGAAGCCTCTCCGTTTGTTTGTGGGAACACTCAGCTCGCACCACATTACTCTCCCACCATTACCAAGACTTTGACAAGGGGGCACCAGCTTCTTCGTCAGTCGTTATGTACCAATTCGACTTGTTTGTGGCGCTTGCCGCTCTGGTGCCAGCTGTGTTGGCACAGTCTGCCAGCCCATGCGAGAAAGTCAACGATCAACAGGCCGCAGCGCTATTGAAGTTGGATGAATCTGTCAATCCGTACAACTATCAGTACCTGGCATTCTTTGACGCCGAAACGGCTTATCAATGCGTTACTTCTATCCCCATCAACAACATTGAAGTAGCGGCGATGATCGACATCGACAAGAAGTTTCTCGCTTTATACTCCACGATCCCGTTTTTAAAGAACCCCCCCAAATCATACCAGCAGCCTTCAATTGATGTCTTGGCTCGGCTAGATGAAATTGCAGAGAAGGCAAAGGGGGGCAATTATTCCAACTACAACCAATTCGAACTCGATATTTCGGCGATCAACCGAGGCGTATACGATACCCATTTTGGTATCAGCAATGGTCCTACTGGCGTGATTTCTTACAGCCTTCCATATGGCCTCGTCTCGGCTTCCGTCGATGGAAAGGAACTTCCCCAAGTCTATGCCCACAGCGACATCATTGACAAAGTGTCAAACCCCTCCCACATTGTCGAAATCGAGGGCGAGAATGTTTTTACCTACCTCCAGAAATACGCAAAGACCAACGCAGTGACGAATATGCTTGATCCCCACGCCGAATGGAACCAGCTGATGTACAATGAGGCTACCCAGTTTGGCTCTTGGGCCGCGGACATTAAACAGAGTATGACTCTCGGTGGTATTCAGACCACGACGATCTACAATGGCAATTCTCTCAAAGGAAAGTTCTCCAACGGAACCCAGTTTGAATGGAAATACATGGCTTCTTCCGCAGCCTCGTTCAAACGGGCCAACATCACCAGTGGCGAGGATCTCTTCACTTTATTTGGCCTCGCCGACAAGGAGCAGCAAGATCAGCAAGAGGCGATTAAAAAGCGAGCCCTCGACAACCAGACCACCACAACGCCTCAATATGTGCCCTACAGCAGCTACCCGAAAAATCCCATCGTCACTCAGGCCAACTTCACGCGTGGCGGCGTCGTGTCAGGGTACCTGCTGTCGGAGAACTCCACTGCTGTACTCAGCCTTCCAAGCTTCTCATCGCGTGACGACTATACCGAGAGCGCTGAAGAATTTTCCGTGGCTGTAACGGAGTTCATCTCCGAAGCTCGGAAAGCCGGTACCAAAAAGATTGTCATCGACCTCTCAGGTAACGGTGGTGGTAATATCATGCTGGGATATGACGTCTTCAGGCAGTTCTTTCCGAAGAAAAATCCCGAGGCCTTGTCCCGCTCTCGTGCTACTCCTTTATTCGACCTGCTGGGTCGTCTCGTCGAACAATCAGGGAAACTGGTCGATGGTAGCCCTGAAACTGAGTTTCTCCAGCAGTTGCAAGCGGCGTTTGCCAACGCGGGAGACTTGAACACCAACAACACCCTCACTGCCGATGGTAAGCACTGGACGTCGTGGAAAGACTTTGCCGGGCCTCTTGAGATCAATGGGGACAACTTCACAAAGGCTTGGAAATATGACATGTCGCTGCCAGTAAACTACGCGCCGTTTGAAACCTACAACATAACGGGGTACGGAACTAACGAGGCAACATATGACGAAGCATTCTCCCCTAACGACATTATCATCCTCTATGACGGCTACTGTGGAAGTACTTGTTCCATATTCAGTAACCTGATGAAGAATGTTGGTGGCGTCAAGAACGTCGCCGTCGGTGGCATTCCCCAAAACGGACCCATGCAAGCAGTTGCGGGTACTCGAGGAAGCCAAGTAAGGCAGCACGACTCCATGGCCCAAGTTGCAGAACTGGTCCGGTCGGGGCTTTTGGACAGCAAGAACGGATCACGGGAAGCACTACGATCGGAGCTTGGTCTTTCCTTAGCGCAGGTTGAGGATATCCCATCCACTAGCCAGGCACCATGGAGGGTTGGAATGGCCCTCAATATTCTCGACCAGGTGTCCACAGGTAACTTGGAGGTTCCATACCAGTTTGTCTATGAGGCGGCCAACTGTCGGTTGTTCTACACAATCGACATGATCCGCGACGTCACTGTGCTCTGGGAAGCCGCCGCAAAGGTTGCTGGAGGAGATACGTCGGCTTGCGTCCCTGGATCAGTGGACGGTCCTGGATCTGAGCGCAACAAGCCCCTCGTCGAATCCCCGGGATTCTCGCACGAGGATATTTGGAAAAACGCCAATTCCACTAAGCTCTTGGCGGTTAACAATACGAGCGGTGGCGGTAATGATGATTCAGAGTCATCGGCTTCTCGAATGACGATGGCGGGAAGCGTGTTTGTCGTTTCATTCTTGACGGCTTTGTTGCTATAGAGGCTAGATTTTGGACATAATCCGGGGCACTGAAATTATCTTGAGTTCACTACCATGAAACTCTCTTTAAATCAGGCCGCAGTAAGATACACACAAGGATGATAACTTACTGAAGTAACGAGACATATCTTTTATTATTGCCGCGACTCCGTAGAGCAAACAAATTATCTCAAACATGTCGCAACCTACTGCCAAAGTTTCAATCCGTCCTGCTGCCCGTCAACCTGAGGCCTTAATTGTTGTGTTATCATAGGAACCTGTTCGATCACGCGGGGGAACCCGAGTCGTACATCACACCCTCATCCCGTGTTGAGCGAATGTCAATCGTCACGTGTGGGGAGGCTGAACCGGCCCGGGTGACTCGGCCCAGCAAATATAAACCACTTCAAGATTGAGACCCCAAGCGCTTGATCTTCTCCATAATCTAGAGCTAGCACCCTTAGTCAATTGGCCAAAATTCACGACAGGCAAGATGGGCTCCGAGACTCTGCTTGTCATCACCCCGTTCGCACCAGCGCAGGCATGGATTGATATCTCCGAAAAAGGGTACCTGGTATCAATGTTCACGTTCATCCAACAGAAATGTACGCCAAGGAAATCCCCAATGATGTACCCGCCGACGTCTGGGAAAATATCACCGCGCTGTATACGTGGAAAGCCTTCCCTCCCATAGGGCTGGCTCCGAAGCTGCAGTATGTCCAGTTGCAAAGCGCGGGTGCCAACCAGATTCTTGGGCTTCGGTTATTCGAGAAGACGGACATTGTCTTCAGCACCTCCAACGGAGTTCACCCCCCACAGATCTCCGAGTGGGTGTTTGCAAGCTTTCTTGGATTCCAACACCATTGCAAGTAGAACTTCCTCCTACTCGCATCGCTTAACCACAGCTAATACCTTTATCAGTTCATGAGCATCTCGAGAATCAGAAAAAACGAAACTGCGTTGATCCCGATTCAGATGAAGACGTGGAAGACGCAGTCGGCTTAAGAGTGTGAGTGCTAAATTATGGGCTATTTCTTTTTCTCTAGCAGAACATCTCGCTCATATCATTTATTTTTGAAGTGGAATTTTAGGATACGGCGCAGTCGGTAGACAAGTTGCACGCGTCGCCAAAGCTTTTGGAATGGATGTCCACGCCTACACTCTCCTTGAACGCCCTACACCCGAGTCGCGACGAGATGACGGCTTCACTTAGCCGGGCCTCGGTGATCCAGCGGGTGAATTTCCCTCAAAGTGGTTCTACGGCAAGGAGCAGCTCGACGACTTCCTCGACTCCGACCTTGACCTCCTTGTCATCACGCTACCAGCCACACCTGCCACCGCCAACATGATTGGGGAAGATCAGTTTGATATTCTTAGCAAGAAGAAGACATTCATAAGCAACGTTGGCCGTGGTTCTGTAGTTGACACTAAGGCGCTAATTGCCGCTCTCGACTCTAACAAGATCCGCGGCGCTGCACTAGATGTGACGGAGCCAGAACCGCTGCCCGCTGATTCCAAGCTTTGGGGCTATAAGAATGTGTTTATCACGCCACATTGTGCTGGGAATTCGAACCACTTCAACGAAAGAACCTTCAAGATTCTTGCATATAATCTAGAGAGACGATCTAAAGGGCAACCTCCGGTCAACCAGGTCGACAGATCTCTTGGCTACTAGACTAGGGGACTTGAACCAAAATTAGATTACTACACGTCATTCTAAGTTTGCCTCTCTGGAGAAGTACTAGCCATCCTAGGAGCAAAATGTCGACGAGATGCATCCCAATTTGCAGGAAGGTAGGAGGAGGCTTGGGATCCTTGGTCCGAGCAGAATTCAATGCTGCGTAAAAACTTCGAAGATTGCTGGTAAGGTTGACAAAATACATATTCAAATATACTTAAGATATTGAATTATTTGCGATTGATGAAGCCTGCCATGCTAGTAATACTATTCACTTCAAGCCGCTGGGCTCTTGCAATAACCGCAAGGGATGGCATATTCTAGGTAATCTATTCATGCCGTTTGGGCTAGTTTTACGATTCGGGATGTGTGAGAACTTCCTTGCCGTCAAGAATAAAAACAAAAGAAATTTCTATAGAGTCTATGTGTGGAAGCAATAACCGAAACTCCTGGTGTCTAGCCGTTCCCATGTGCAACTCCGTAACCCAAGCCGTTCTTTCATTCCCCCACGGTGAACGCGGCATCAATTGCTCATCGCTAATAGGTATCCAAATCCAAAAAAAAAAGAAGAAGAAGAAGAAGAAGAAGAAGAAGCAATTTAACAAAATTAAATACAAACTATTCCGCTCGCCGGAAGCTCATCGTCCTCTTGAATCCCGCGATGAACTGCCGCTGCCCCGTCTTGATTCTCGACGGGGGCCGTAATGAGCCAACTTGGTCTCTGAGCTCGCTAGATCCCTCCAATTCCACACGGAGAGGTTCCTCCTGGTCTTTCTGATAAAGCCCCAGCCCGGTTGTATATTCGGTCGGGATGCCTTGCAATGACTCCTGTAGTGATCGAGGGTCGATTTCGTGCGACGAACTCGAGCGTACACCGTTTTGTCCACGAGCAGCGTCGTCGCTCGATGCTTGTGTAGTCGCTTCGCGTGACTTTTCGGGAGTTTCGCCGTGTGTGCCGTGTGATAAGTCGGGATGATCCGCCATGAAGGGTGTTCTAACGGTCACGGCCTCCGGTGGAGTTTCTGGCTCGCCATCCTGACTATGGCGATGGCCGCGGCGACGACGGAGGAACCAAAAGAGAACAATGACCAGAGCGATCAGAAAAAGGCCTCCAAGCACGCCTCCAACAGCAGCGCCGACTACAGCTTTATCGACACCTCTCCTTCTCAAGGAGACAAGATGAACAGCATCTAGTAAATCACGGGTATGTCAGCTCCGATGCTCGTGTGCTAATAAAAACCTCGTTACCACCTACCGTCAAAAAGACGCTTTTTCAGCTCAGCCATAAGTCTGTTCGGATGGCCCCGGAACTGAGCAAGCGACTTCTCTGATAATACCCGGCAGAGTGAAGCGCTTGGATGAGCCAAAGCTAGCCCAGAGAACAAGGCCACGGTAGAAAACACGGGTGGTGATATCATGTCTACGACTCCCCTATCTATCAAAGCCGAGCTTAATTTCGTTGATTGAGGCACAGAGAGTCTGGGCGAAATAGAAGGGTCAAATCCATAGGAGCGGAGGGGTAGGGGATGAATGCCAGGCAGAGGCGCCTGCCGGGGACTGGTCTAGATAATAACATTTTCATTTCATTAAGTCGGCTTTGGATAAAGTGCATGCATCAGAAAATGATCCAGTTGGGTGTGTGAGACTCCGGAATTAGTACATGCAGCTTGCGTGAGATGGCACTGCCCCGGCTCCATCTTATTATTAGCATCCATCAGATGGCTCAATTAGGTAGTGGCCAGCGAGCAATACGTCAAGTGATTCAGATAGATTTACTTCCAATACGGCTCATTGCCGAGAGAATGTTCCCCTGGTTACGCTGGCACAGCCTTGCTCGTTCTCGTCACCGTTCAAACGTGTGACGGGGCCGATAATGACACAGTGCTGGTGCAAAAGTATACCAGAATGCGCATAACTGATGAGGCTATTTTAGGAGCACAGCACGCATCAAGACGTCAACCAACAGCCTGCGTTGCTCAGGTCGTTCATCAAAACCACACGATCTAGAATTAATTGTCGCGTGATCGCTCGGTATCGAGGCATACGGTAGAGTTAGGACAAACTGTTGGCTAGGTGCGACTAATACCGATGACGTTGTCTGACGGCATTCATCAGCCTCCCTCCAAATGTAATCCTTCGGAGAGATGCTACCAAAATATACCGATGAGTGTAATCAATGTTGCAACAGCACATTGGTGAGTCTCACAACTACAGCCGAAGCAGCACAAGTCGCACAAGTCAGGCACTTGCAGTCAGGCAAGACAGTAATCGAATCCGCCTCAGCAGCATGCTGAACCAATTCAAATGCGTGAATTCCCTCTGGATTGATTGCGCACGCGGTGTTCTCCATATTACCTCATATATGACGGCCCCCAAATCGATAAAAATGCATACGAATTGGGCAAATGGGGCCTCGGTAATGCGGCACAGCCCAAGCTCGTGCAAAACAGGCAGAGATCATCTACCGCTCTCGAACCTGTTAAGGTTCTTGCATCTCAGGAGGGTGAGTCTCTGTTCCAATCAAGAGGGAAGCAGGCCATTGGAGCGATGTGCTGTGTCTGCGTAGTTTCGGGCAAAGAGACCGGAATAAAAGGATTGTTCCATGGAATCGCGGAGGTCGATTAATTACTCCAGTGGATCATACAACCAAAGTGCCAATTTCCTATCACCGAAGGGATGGACTCGGTTGCAGCAGCAACTGGATTTTGTATCCAACCGTGTATTCCGAAGGCGTCTCGCCTACCCTATAGCCCAACAACGTCAACAACGAGATCCATCACAAGGGCTTCCATTTCATCGCAATGACTGTTCTTAGGCCGATATAATTTAAGAATGCCTTCAAAGATTCAGCTCCAGTTGAGACATCTTAGTTGAACGTTGGACAACTATGAGGTGGGAAGAATTGAATGTCGAGAATAGAACGATTATCTGTAGACAATCGTGATAGGACTTTATTCAGTTATGGTACATCTGAATGTTCTAAAGAAGTCAACAAATCAAACATGCTCCGCGTCCACACCATTACACATGTCCATGGCAAGTTCATAAAACTTATCCGCCGTGAGCCCATGTGAGATGATCAATCGGATCGCGTACGGCGTCGCCATGACCGAGTTGATACTTTTCCTTGGTGACAACCTTCATCATGCAGGCCAGGATGGCGTGCTGGCTCTTAACGATGAAATCGACGGCGGGCGGGCCTTGGTACTCTTGGTGGTCGTTGTCGGCAATGCAGAGCTTTCCAGTCTTGCGGTCGATCTATTTTCCAAATATATATATATTCCCTTCTCACTTACTAAACCTTTATATCTCCTTTAGTCCTCACCCTTCATCGCAATGGAATAGTCATCTATGATTCCAGATAAGGATTAAAAACCTCACCAGCTCACTCAAGCACCTATCCACAGGTCTGACATAAAGATGAAGTTCTCCGGGTTTTCAGCTCTCTCTGCCGTAGCACTTTTCCTTGCCCCCGCCATTGCTGAGCCCCATTGCCAACCCTCAAAGTCTTAACGAACCCAAAGCTACCTACCCCATTACTTGCACTAGTGGTCTCAGACCTGACAGGGTTTGCACCAAGGGTAGAAGGACAAATGGCTGCTGTGGCGATAGCAGGGCCAGTTACCTGTGTGGCCCTTCTAGCCTGAGGAGACTAGGTGGACAGTGTGTCAAGTGCAGATGCCACAGGAACTGATACGGTATGTTGTACCCAGTCCCTTCCAATTTTGACTGCTGAGGTGCCTAAATTTCAACTGATAGAGGCGCTATCCCGATTGGATTGGTGATTGATTTGAGGACTTTGATCGCGTTTCTTGTCACATATCCAACATATGAGATGTCATTAGGGATCAACAAACAATGAACAACCTGTTAGCAGTGGTGAAGATTTTGATAATCTTATGGCCGTGACTAATGCCCGAATTCGATACTCGTAGGCCATGTAACGTGTTGCTCCCATCTTTTAAGACAGCTAGGGCGTTGTTCCAATGCCTGTCTACTACGACGTGAATCTCTATGGAGGGGCTCATGTTACTTGAGAAGATTCATGAATTAGTACTCTATCATCTATTATGTACATCTTTTTGAACTGCTTTACAGAATTCAATATACTCCCCAGCATGGTACTACGACTGGGAGGGGTCAAAGTAATGCGGGTACTTCGGTGCATATGTCTCGTTGCCGTAAACACTTCCACCGTAGGTCAGGTACCCTTCACTCTCTGTGAAAGGAATAGCTATGATTTCTTGGGCAGTTCCAACAGCCCAAACGCTTTGCATACCTATTTGTAAGTTAGTAGATGCAAGCTAAAAGGTCTGGTTCCAATCCAGCGAAATAACACTCACCCATAGTCATATGCTGCAGCGTATGGCAATGAATCATCCAAACTCCGGGATGGTCCACACGGATTCTCCAGGCTCGCCAACCAGATGGTACACCTGCGCCTGCATTGGATGTATATCTGTGGAGCATGGTGGTGTCCCTTTGTACAGCCTCATAACCTAGACTCTGGATCTTCCTCTCGTTTGCCTCCGCATCGTACGTGCCATTCCCGCTACCAATGTCATAATAATGTTGCCCGTGGGCATGGAACGGATGGACGTCAACGCCGCCGCCATTGTTCCACAGCGACCCGTGATTCTGGAGAACAATCTCCAATATCTCGCCTGGCATTGCGGCAAAGGCTTGGACTCTTGGATCCCAACCGTTGTTTTCCAGCGCTGCTTCATAGTTGGGCATTGCTTCCTCGCCTCTCTGGTAAATATCCACCAACATGGGCCGTTGGAACGTGTGCATGGTCCACGTTAGATTGTTCATGACCCAAATCGTTTGATTTGTCTTCTCGCTCCCTACCTGCCAGGTGTCCAGGGTCACACGGCGGGTGATCTCGGACAGAGTTGGCATCCCCTGTCCATCCTTCTTCTCATACAACGGCGTCAGCTTATACTCGAGCCAATCGTATGTAGCATTCGTGAGATTGAATGGAGGTTTCACTGGCGCCTTCACCTCCGGAATGGACTGGCGCCAGTCGGGCTTCGTGGAGTAGCGGACCACAGCATAGCTTCTGAAGACAGTAGGCCGCTCTCTCGTTTCAAACTGCATGAAATAATCCGTCTTGTTGCCTTCGTTTGCCAATTCATCCGCGGTTTTTGCCCGGAACAGAACATCAAATCGTTGGCCCGAGCCAACCTGCATCCTGTCCACAGTGACCGGCTTCGTGAACTCGCCTCCGTCGACTTGAACAATGGTAAAACGGTCCAGGTGATCCTCCAGCTGCATGACCAGATGCGACAGCGCCGTTGCTCCAATCCACCGGAACCGGTATATTTTCCCAGGCTCGACATTGATCACAGGGAAAGAGCATGTGCTTTGGTTGTCGCTCGTTCCGGGAGTGTGTCCAAGGCCGACTCCGATACCGTTCAGGAGAACTCCGTTTGTCTCTCCGCTCCATACAAATGGCACCGCCTCCAGACCATGCTCGATCTTCTTGTCCGTCTGATTGAAATAGTCTCCCCACTGGAGGGTGCGCTCCTCATCGTAGTAATGGGGATACGCGCCATACTCGTTCACGATCAGGGGACCATAAGCTGTCAAAGCTTCCATGCCGACGTGAGAGTGGTAGAAGTAAGTGCCGCCATCTTCTTGTGTTGGGGAAACCTCGTAGTCGAAGAAATGCCCGGGAGGGATCGGCCACTGCGATGCGAACACACTGCCATCGGCAAAGGGGGCCATGCGCATTGCTAGTCCATGCCAATGCTAGTAGAAAATATTAGCTCATCATCTCTCTACTGGTCTACGAGCGAAGGATGAAAAAGGGCTGGAGAGGATCATTCTTACCATGGTGAGGTTGGCATCGAGCATGTCATTGTAGACGCGGATCCAGGTCACTTGGCCGGCTGGCAGCCGCAGCTCTGGCCCGGGCGAGGTTCCATTGATGACAGCGCTATATCTCGTCTCACAAGCGACCGAGATGTTTTTTGCAGACACCCTCAGAATATGGTCCGGCTGAAATGTTTCATCGTGTGTTGTCAGTGTACCGGATGATAACTCTACTAATGCCGCGGTCAGCAGTGTAAAGAGAGAGCCCAGCCGCATGTTTGATCCGGCAATGAGATATGTGTTTACCCTTCAGAGGCGCAGAAAGGTCGAAAGGACTGGAAAATAATCCTATTTAAAATCTCCTTCCCCGGGCTAAATAACCGTTGCTATTTACTGTTGCGACGTCATGACACTCCCATGGGCCATAGCGTATCCTCGTGTCAGCACTAAGGGGTTGGGGCGTATTCGGCTTCGCCAAACGTGCATGACTTACGCAAAAATGTCACTTTACTATCTTAAGAACTAGCGGACGCTGGATTTCCTTTTTCCTCATAATTTTTTTTATTTTACAAGGGGCTGCTTTAACCAAAGCCTGAAAGATGCGTGGCATCTCCTTTAACGAAGGGGGTAACCGGGCCTGCCGGACAGGTCATCTCAGTGACATTGCATAAAGTTTTCCGTTAGCGAATACTGGTTCTTATTAGGGGTCTTAACGTGTGCAACGGCTGTGATCTTGGGCCGCTAAATGGTCGCTAATAACGATACTTTCTTCACATCCTTCCCGCATTTACCGCATCTCGTAGCGGAACGAGGCGGACTTTCCGATCACACGCAAAGCTTATAGAACAACGCATGTACTGATAGACGCTAAATTAACCGGCCTCTCATATGAGAGCGTCGGAGGATTCACTCATGCGCTCCCGAAATGGTGCTAGCCACGAAATGACGTCGATCAAACCAGTGTTGATAAACGCTGACTTTTGATGAAGATCTGCGGCGCCTCATGCAAGCCCCCATGTAAGCATGGTATGATACATGGATTACTACTAAAAGTAATGGTCCCGAGAAAATGTTCAGAATCGCCAGAACGAGCTCCAAGATTCCCAGTCAAAATCAACATCATGGACATCAGGCAGCTCGAATGTATCCAGATTCTGCGAGTCTAGCGTCGTAGCCACCTGCACGCTCTGTCCGTTCCTCAGCTGTTGCTTATTCCACAGCAGTTCAATAAATCGAGGTAATGGAGTATAATCCATAGCCCCTTGACCATGATTCTGGAAGTATCTCCTCCTGGCTTCCCAAGCCTCCAGCGTAATATCTCCCAGCGCGACAAAGAAGCTGTTCTGCTCGTCGCTGAGAAGCTTTTCGTACTCGTCGAAAAAGTCTTGTACAAGTTTCCAAGCCATCTCCACGCGCTCCCCAGAATATCGTCTCCGTAGCTCACTGGTGATGTAGACATTCGTTTCTAGCTGAAAAGTGGATGAGATGTGCGTGAACAAATGCCGAGAATACTGGCTTTGTTCTCCTATTTGAAGCTTTTCCAATGACGTGACTGCAGAATTGAACGCTAAATCGCCTTCTTCCTTTTTCATGTATACTGCTCCATTGTGTGTAACGGCCCGGAACCGGGGATGATGAGCCATATATCGCAGGCGAGATGAAGCAAGAATGGCAATGGCGTTAGACAGAGCGTGAAGGGGGATATTCAAGTCCAGGTACTGAAGGAATTTTTCGTGGTAAATGGATTCCAGTTTATCAATCAAATCGTCCTCCATCTCAAGGGCTCTTTTTGATTTTTCCGGAGTGTTGCTGATGCCCTCAAACACGCGAAGGCTGGCGCTGGAGTGCCTCAGCCACTGGAAGATATGGAATTTGATCAGTACACATGTCATCTCCGTTGGGCCAACGTGTTCCGTGGGGGGCTCTGTCATTTCCGGATGGAGATCAGAATCATTGACGTTCAGCGGCACACGAATGTCACCGAATTCGACAAGCGCAGGTGGTCGCATTCCGGGAACATGGCTTCCGCGGGCTCGAGAGTCCAGGGCATTGAGTTGCCACCAGAGCCTAATGCGCATCTCACTCTCAAAGAAGGAAACCTTGGGATGGCTAGGTTTGTGCAAGCCCATTTTCTGGCCGATTCTTACAGCGGTGGGGGTGAGACTGGATGTGAATTCTGAATCAGGATCGGTCAGGAGAAACAGTGCGAACGCTGTTAGGAGTTGTAGATCTTTTGTGGTCAGGAAATCAGCAGCTATCAAGGCGCTCAATGCTGCGACTCGGTAGCGAGTGATTAACGTCGGCCTGGGTTCACCGTAAGTGGCCTCACACTGAGCCGACGAGAGTGATATGACTGCGAGACTGTATATTGAGAACATCAGGGCGGCCAGAGGCGGCGAGATATTCTCAAGGCCCCAGCTGGCTTCTAATATTTGCTGTTGCATGGTGGGGACATGAACAATCTTGATCAAGGGGTTTACTGCTTCAACAAACTGTTGCCAGAGTCGATAGATCTGCCTAGGCTCGGGGTGTAGTTTGTGGCCTGTAGAGCCTCCACTAGACATGATCGAATGGAGCGGTGGAATCGGATACAAGCAAGGGTCTTCAGAATAGTGCAAGTAACGGGTAGGAGGAAACTTGAGCTTAGAGGTCAAAATGCTTAGTCCTTCTTGGCCATAACAATGATACTGCTTAGCAAAGGTTCATACCTCCATAGGCAAGCTAGTCCATAAGCACCTATAGATTTCAATATCAGTCACCGGCTAGAGTGGTGCAAATCCACGACGTGAATCAAACTCACCGCTCCCATTCGGCCGAACGATTATCGACGTGGGGGTCTTTTGAGGTCGCCGGGTTGTTTGTGCCTGGCGTTAAGGTCGGGCTTTCGCTGCCGCTCGCAGAATACTTCAACTTCCCCTGCAAGTCCGATGGAATCCATGAGTGGCTAAAGTGACTAAAGTCGATATTGTTATCCCTCAAGAGGCTTTCATAAGCTCCAAGTCGAGCTATGAGGTCTTCGTCGGCGGCTCTCTTGCGGGGCCGTGGCGGCGGATGTTCCTCGTAGAGACATTCCACTTCCGCCTTTGAGCAGTTGGAGCAGGGGTCTGCCTTGTCGCATTTGATCTTTCGTCGAGCGCATGATGAGCAGGCATACTTGTGCTGGCCAGACGAAGAAGCGGACATGGTAAATGCTGGCGTACGAGTCTAGAATACAACAACAACGAGAACGGAGCAAGGACAGTCAATTATTCTCTTGATCGAAAGCCAATCATCAGAAGAAAATGTAGGTGGAATTGCACTCGACAAATCGTCGATGGCGTTGAGTGATGAGCAAATAAGGAGCGGGAGCTTCGGGTCCAAACGAGGTTTAGTGTACGAGGCTTCGGGTCCGGGAAACGGCATTTTTGATCCCCGTTTATAGAAGCTGAGGTATGATTCAAGGAGAGAGAAACATGCAATGCATCAGAGCAAAGATGTCACGCAGTTTCATGATTAGTGAGGCGTGGTGAGTTTGCTAATGAGTAATATTCGTCAGACAATTACATTTATATGGAATACAATCTAAACCTAATTAACTCTCTAATATCTATGCGCTTGTCTCTCTATCACATAAAATCTCATCTAACTGTATCGACAAAACTTATTCCCCTATTGAAGACATTGAATACCCAGAGCTAGCATGAAGCCTCTTCTGTTGTTGATCATGGCTTCGTGTGCGAGTTGAAAAAGTCGATAATCTTGGGCGACAGGAACAGCTGCTTGTCTGAGCTACTAGGATACGCATGCCCGTGCCCGTTCAACTTGAAATGGGTGAGCAAGCCCTTTTCTCCTGCACAAGTCCACTGTTCCTGCTCGACATCGTTTCCGATAGGTGAAGAAGATGAGCCCGAGCATTTGTTTCTCCTGGCCCAACGTCCGAGCCATTCGGGAATAGCCGGAACAGGTCCGCCAGTGGCATTTTTATCACCATCATAATGGATTCTCTGATCATTCGTGCCATGAGATTCTAGGAAGGGCAGTGGCGAACGAGCCGGATGGCACGTCTCATCACCTTTCACGTCGGTATACAGAGCGGCCGAGCTGGCGGCAAAAGCTGCAAACTGGCCACCATGATCAGGGGAGCACGCCAAGGTGTTTACAAAGCCACCGCCGTTCGATTGACCCGCAGCGTAGACACGAGACTCATCAATACAATAGTTGTTCTTGATGCGATTGACGAGGTCTGTCGTGAAAACTTTGTCGCTGACACCTTCTTTAGCATAAGAAGGTCCTTGCCAATGTTTCTGATACAATCACTTGGTTAGCAAAACCACTCCTATCCTTTGTGCTTATTTTGGAAGGAATCCATCTCACCTCGACTCCCGCTGGGAATACAGCAACCATCTTCGAGTTGACGCTTTCATCAGAGAACTTGGTTAATTCCTCCATGTCCTCCGGTGTCTTGCCGGAGCCATGATAGGCAATAATCAAAGGCTGAGGCGAGTTGACCTTATATCCTTTAGGCAAAAAGATTCGGTAGGTGCGAGTTCCGCCGCTGCTCTCGAAACTGAACTGCTTCGTTTCTCCGATGAACTTGTGTGACTTCCCGCAGCCCGATGAGGCGCGCTTGTGGACAGCAGCGGCTTCTGAGCCTGAGAACACAGAAGCAGCGCAGAGAAAGACGGAAACCGCAGTAGAGAAAAACATGATGCTAGAAAGAACTAAGAAGGACCGTTAAAAAGAACCAATGTTTTCTCGAAGCCTCAGAAGGACTTCAAGGGGATTTTCAAACTTCATAAATAATGATTTCCGGCCCGGCTCTTGGATCCATGGCTTTGAGCGGCGTCGAGCGGCGTGGATCGCCAATGGTCAGATTCGTGGCGGAGGAGTGAAGACTAAGTGAGGACAAATCACGCTTGACCGTAGCATCGCCTAGTATTACTGTCAGATTTCTATGAATACCTACTCCATCCCGGCACTTGCTGGTCAGCTAAAGTGGTGCCGAAGGGTCATGAGCCTAGCCTGGCCCCCTAATTCCGCTGTAACCCAACGCACATGGCCAATAATGAAGCATTCCCGGGGGCTCCGTGGACCTCGTACACCAAACTAGGATACGAATTTGCGGCTGACCGAACGATCCCGTAAGACGCACAGGTAAAAAAACCTCCAAGATGATTATTAATTACTACGGGAAAAACCAAAGTGCTCGTTCGGTTATAAGGCCCAAATAAGCTTAGGTTTGGAAAAGAAACGGACCCAGCGTCAGCGTGCAGTTCAAGACTGTTCATTTGATGTCCGTTTGGTACATTTGAGCACGACATCAAGTAGGAATTAGGTGAAAAGGTCCCGCCATGGCCGACTAAAGTCGTAGTTCGTGGGAAAGTTCTCTTTTCACAAGTCATCATATACGCCTATTTGTTCCTTCCAAGCCTCATCCTACGATTCACATGAGCAACCTGTTATTTCCCATCCATTTAGTGCCCGACACAGCAGCGCCTTTAGCATTACTTTGTCAAAAGCCCATTCCTAGCACATTTGTTATGTTAACCAGGGGGGGGCACTGCTGAATATAGCATCCTTCAATTCCGAAGCGCCAGACACCAGCTGCTTGATTCTAGCTATTAGGAGATGGCACCGGGAATATTTCCTTCCGCATGACTACAACCTTGGACTATCAAGGGATGTTTTTTAGACTTTCGTGTTCATTGTGTTGAGATGTCGGGTCCGGCAACTTCTATTGTTGTTTAACTTTGCACTCGAACTCTGTTCCGTCACCGGGAATATAACAGTCTCCCGCATGGGCGAATGCTTAGCCGAACATGTCCTACCAAAGGCAACGAAAGATTCGAATAGAACAAATCATAGTCTCTCGGGGTCTTCATCTGTTACCACCAATGACTGAACCATGAACGAGAAAAGGATAAAGGACACCTAGTGGCTGGCCTATCCTAAACAGCACCTTGGTGGTGCCCGCGCCACATAGATCTATTCACAGATATCGTATGGCAGAAATCAAAAGTACCTTGATTTTCTGAGAATGCAACGTCTGAGCCTCTTGATTATTATACGTGAGTAGGCCACATCTAGCCACTGTTATCTTAGTAGGTTGGAAAAGAGGGGATGGCATGTCTTAAATTTCCAACATAGATCATTTGTCACTCCATAATTAGAGTCAGTTTGCCTTATGGAAGTACTTAAGTACTCGCACAAACAATTTTATTTAAGTTAAAAGAATTAGGCATACGAAGATCCTCCAGGATACAGCTCTAGAAGCAAGTAGGAGGCAGAATGTCGAACCACCTAAAGCGCAAGCATGATCAAGTATTTGCCTTCTTCATATCCATGCTCACAAAAGGTCCAACCACGTGTGCCCCGTTAAATAGCAAGCACATCTTATGGTTCTTTTCTTGCCTTCCCGGGTCGTTCCAAGCCTAAGCCACTGAGAAATGCCACCCTCACAAGTGTGCGCCCACCAGCCATCACGAGCCCGGAAAACGCGCCCGTCTTGGATACATCCGCGAATGACGTCAACTGATCCCGGCTCTGAAGTATCTCAATCATGCTTAGAAGCATCGAGATGTCTTGTAGGATAAGGCCAAACTGCACGATCTTCCATACCTTTATGTCCGCTGTGTATCGGAGCAGGCTCAACTGCACGGTAGATGCGAAAAGCATGCTGCCACCAATCGGAAAGAAAAACGGCTTGAATGTAGATATTGGCAGGTCTTGTAATTGCGGGAAATGTTCGCGAGTTGCGCCTTCAACGTCGAAGAAGTGGATGTAGGCGATAAGGAGGGAGATGGCGCCGTCAATCCAAGTGAACAGGACGCGGTAAAGCCGGGGGATAGCAGAATGTGATCCCATGGTTTCAGTCGGCGTAAAATCGGTCCAGAATTTTGTATGAGGCCTTTGATGGCAGTGCATCCAACTAATTAGATACTGTTCCGTGGGTTTCGGGGTTGAAGCGCCGTTCGTGGAGGCTCGCGAGATGGAATGAAACAGGTGGAAGATTGCATGGGGAGGAGGCGAGAGGCGATAAATGGGCCAACTCGCTGAGTCAGGACACGGAGCTGAATTGTTTGGCGGAATAATCTAGCATGGAGAAGATGCTGACTTTGGCGATCCCTGATCAAGAGTCTCGACACTAATACGCACACTAGAAAGAAGTCTACACGTAAATGCAGTTTTTTAGGTAAGCTTGCCTCGAGAAACATCATTATGGTTCGAGCATTGTGAACCTTCAAGATATACTGTCCAAGGACGTAGGTATCCAAAGATATTGCTTTAGTAATAATACTAACTCACAATCGAGCAGCCACTCCGTTCGCCCATAGGACAGCCTGGGAGTATTGCCTTCCGTTAAAACAATAAGATCACAGATAAACATGCATCAGCCAAATTCCAAAGCCCATAATGCGCAGTAGCACTAATAGCTGACGTACACACCTCTATCCACCGGGGAGTCACAATCATACCTCTAGACTATTTCTAATCATTTCCGCTACCGTATTCTCGGACCTTTCAAAATTTTCAAGCTGCTGAGAAAGCATGTTACGTCCAAAGGTACACGGAGGGTTTCATTCTGCCCGCCTCCCACTTAGAGCATTGTATTTGGTTGCTATTGGCCAACAGAGAGGAAATATGGAGATCACTCACTTTACATCCGAAGGCCTCTGGAGATATCGCCAGCTGCTGGGGTAGTGTCATGTAAGTTGCCCGCGTCTTATTACAAAGCAGACATCTGTGTGTCATGTAAGCTTCACATGCAGCGGTGATATTTCAGTATCCTAATGCATGGAGCAAATTCATAAAAAGGTCGAGTGCCTTCAGTATCTCAAATCATAATCGAACTATATGCTCTACATTCATAATAGTTTGTGAGCAAGCCTCTCTTCCAATATGCTCTCCAAAATGTTCAAGTCGCTTCTCCTGCTGGCGCTCCAGCTCCAGCCTACAATCCAGGCCCCTCTCGAGCCACTTGGAATTGTTACTCGTGATGCGCTGCCAGTCAGAACCATAGCAGGTGTTACAGTTGTTGACACCCCAATCGTTCGTGCTGCGCATGACTTTTCACGCCGCCATTCCTCCGACTGGGTTTACAGACATGTGATGCGTACTTGGCTTTACGGTGCTCTCATTATAAACCACAACACGACTCTGAAGAAGTCTGTGGATCTCGAAGTCCATGCCGTCGCGGTCCTACTGCACGACCTCGGGTGGGATCAGACACCAAACTCGACTCTCATTAGCACTGATAAGAGATTCGAGGTAGACGGAGCAGTTGCCGCCCGGGAATTCATCAGAAGCAACAAGCATGGAAGGAACTGGGAGGAAATAAGAGTTCAGCACGTCTGGGATGCCATCGCGCTCCATACACAGCCTGGGTTATATGACTACAAAGAGCCCGATGTCAAAGTCACGGGCACTGGTATCTCCGCCGATTTCCATGGACCAAGCAGCGGCATAACGCAGCCTGAATACGATGCTATTGTACAGGAGTTTCCAAACGCGGATCTCATTCCTGGGACAAATAATACAATCGTTTGGCTCTGCCAGACCAAGCCTAACACGACAGTTGGTAGGTGGCCCATCTCCTCAAAACATATAACTAAGTATGCTAATAATGTATTAGATACCTGGCAGCAAGCATGGGGAGAGCACTACGTGGAGAATTATCCACCCAAGGGTGTCTCTACTTGGGACCAGTTGTCCCATTGATAGGCAAGAGATAGGGAATTGTGAAAACCAAGCAGTTGTACTCCTCTTTCGGAACAAAGAGTTAGATGGAAGGAAAGTTTCTTGGGACAATGTCCGAGAGGTGGTGGGATTTTCGTGGACTCGGATATGTTCTACAGGCGATATATCCCAGTATTACTTTCATTTCGCTGCTTGGACGTGATATTGTCCAGGATATGGTAAATTTCCAAATATCTCATCTTAGTACGAGCTACGTCTTCCCCTTATAGCCCTCTTTTGAGGATGGTGGTTGGCTCCAGCGCAAATGCGTGAATTTCCTCCCGCTAATAAATTGGAATGCTGGTAGACCACAAGTTCAACACTTAAAATAAAATATACCTCTTTGCACAATCAATTGTTTCAAAGGGCATGCAACATATCCTAATATGCGTAGGATGGGCCTGAAAGCTCAGAAGCTGATTCCAATCATCATACTCATGCTTGTGTTTATAAGTCCAGAATCGAAGTCAAGTTCTTTGTCTTTCATCTTCGCTGTAAATGGTCCAACTTGAGTGAAGTAATTAGAGTGATGCTCTCCTCATCCCGAGGGAAAGAAGGATTGAGAGTACGGATACAAGTTGGCCCGTAGCAGCTCCCAATGTGCCCAACAATGAAGAGGGTGCGCTTGAGTGTTCTCCTTCCTTCAGAAGGTAGCAATCTACCAGACCTGGCCGTTTCAGACCTGGCCCATATCAGGATCACTTGTATGCCTTTTGAAACGTCCTGGGGACTGGGCACTGCAATTCCTAGACTGTGCCTCTACTGGTGATCCAGAAAAGGCTAGTTGTGTCTGACAGCATCATCAATGCATCCTGTGATCCTATCGACGGGCGCATAGATGATGAAATGAAACATCGAAAGCTGCACTTCAGGAGACTTATCAAGGAAAAGTGCCATGCCTCCTCCGCCGCTCTACTTCAAGAGCGATTATCGCCGACTAGTCCAGCCACGACGTAAAGGCTGCATATAAAGTGCAGGCATGTGACGACACTTTGTGATCATGGCAGACAGTCTATTACAACTATTTGGAAGCCTCTCTTCTGCACATTGCCAAGTTTCCCCGCATGGGTGGGTGAGGTCACAGTCACCCACCATTGTCGATCTGGCGGGAGAGTGGTTTGATGAGACAATTGCACTCAGTCCACGCCCTAGAATGAACGAGGATTCCGATTCAAAAGTGCCAGCCATCCTTAATCAGGGGGTATTAAGCGAGCTGAATCTTAGGTCAAATTTCAGCAAACTATTTATCTATTTACGACCTGGTTGCCCCGAGAGCTCGAGACAACACAAGACTCTTACAATTTCACAAATGTGTGATGCTCCACGTGGGGTCAATAATAATAAGACAAGAGGGGTAACCACAGTGCCGTAAGTCTGTTGGTCATCCAGCCGCACCAAAGGAGACGCACAGCTGTGCGGTACCACATTGGTCAGTTCAAAAACATGAGATCGTCCCCTCAGGCAATCCCCCCTTCACTGCCCCCTCCCTACCACTAACTCAATTGCTCCCAGTTCCAAATGGTTTTCTGCATTCAAGATGAGTCTATTCAATACAAAAACATGCCAGCTCGACAGCTTCCAAGGCGACGAGACGCCGCCCTTTGTGGTGTTGTCACATAATTATAACCCGCAGGGCAGTCTTCACAGTCAGGAGCACAAATGGCTGCCGATTTGCTCCTGGTTTCTCCAATTAGCTAAGATAATCGCTGATCTGGGGATTCATTATATCTGGGAAGCATCGGTGTGCGTTGACTCGTCCTCGTCAGCAGCCCTAGAAGAGGCGGTCAATAGCTCCGCGCGAAGATTGAGAGGATGTGCTTTTTGTATTGTTTTCCTTCAGGATCTTCCAATTGATGGCCCAGACTTCGACACAAAATCTTGGACAAAATCTTCTTACTGGACCAAGGCCTCAGCGCTACCTGAATTCGTCCTTCCTCTGGACGTCAGGTTCTATGATCAGCAGCTCAAGTATCGTGGATCCAAGTCCTCGCCGGAACTTCTTCCTCTGATATCTAGTGCTTCAAGAGTTGCTCCGCAGGTCCTAAGGGACCCTTCAATGCTCTATGATACTGCCCTGGGTCTCCGTATTTCATGGGCAGCTAACAGATCTGCCTCACGAGAAGAGGATGTAATATACGCTCTCATCCCCATTCTCGGGATCACACTCCAGATCCGGCAGGGTGAAGGTGCTCAAAATGCCTTTATCCGGCTCCAGGAAGAACTCTTTCGGAATACTACTGACGGATCAATCATGGCCTGGCTTGCCAAGCCTACTTCTCAGAAGATCCGCGGCCTCTATGCACACTCTCCGAGCGAGTTTCTCAATTTCATCACTGCTTCCGGGAATACTACCGATCCCCCCAGATGGGTGGGACCGTTTCCATGGCCTGGACAAGTCTCCTTCAGCAACAAGGGAGCCCATATTCAGGCTCCATCTCTCAAGGGTGAGAGATTCTCTCTCATCGGCATCTGCAGTTCTCCTGGAAAACCAAACCCGGCCATCCGTCTTCGAGAATGGAATGGCTCATACGTTCGAGTTATGGCCCATGAACACTTTGTCATCGGCCATAATCTCACTCAGCAAAGCTTTGTGGTTGCTCGAGACATCGGGCCACAGCTTTCTGCCAGAATTGCCAGTCAATTCGCTTACCAGGACGTTCACGGAACCACCACCGGCAACCTGCCGTCTCCCCTACTAGAACACCAACTCTGTCCGCAGCCGCCTCATCTTACCCATAGGCCAAGAGTCAACCCGCTTGATGACGCTTCAGGGCCTCAGATATTCTATCAAGGGGCCCCCCAGCCTGGGATGAAGAGACCAAGGCCTGGAAGATCAGACAGCACCAGTGATTCGTATGAGTCCGACAGCTCAGACGAAGATTCGAGTGACAGCTATGAATCAGACTCTGATAGCGACGCTCGCTCTGAAGCCTACACCGAAGACGGCGACGAAAGAGCCCCAGCTCCCTACCGTCTCGGCCCAGAACATGAGTTCCAAGCCGAGCGCCCAGGTCTGGTCGATGAGTGCCACTCCAAATTCATGGACTGGAAAGCCTTAGCACGTTACGTCAAACCTGCACAAGATAGGCTCCCTCCCCGCAAGCGGGCCAGGCCTATGGACTCAGACATTGAAGACGGTCTGGATCAAGAAGATCCCGATCTCGTCATTCTCAGTCGGCACAACAAGGGCTTCTTCCATCTTTCATGTCCCTTCTTTGAGCACAACCGCGAGAAATATCGCAGCTGCGTCATGAACCACGACCTCCAGTCGATCGGCGCCGTCATCAGCCATCTGAAAGAGCACCACACCCAGCCACCATACTGCCCCATCTGCCGCCGCCCCTTTGAAAGGTGCATGGAGCGGGACATCCACGTCCGCGCCCGGACCTGCCGGCTGGGCGAGTTCGGCCCCGTCGACGGCGTCAACGAGCGCCAGAAGCGGCTGCTGAAGAAGCGCGACAAGCTCTCCCTGGGCGAGAGCGAGCGCTGGCGCCGGATCTGGGAGACCGTCTTCCCGGACGAGCCGCCCCCGCGCTCCGCGTACCTCAAGCGCGGTATCGGCAAGGTCATGTCGCTGGTCCAGGACTGCTGGGAGCAGCACGGGACGAACTGGGTAGAAGAGTACTTAGAGAAGAATAATAAGCTGTCTAATAATCGAACGGACGAGGAGGATATGGCGGTGGATGCGTTGAGCGCTCTGACTTTGCAGGATCTGAAGGAAAGGCTGGCCAGTAGTAAGGCGCTGTCTGATGCGTGAAATTGGATGCAGTATCATCTGTAGGGTCTACTGGAGCGACGATCTCGGTTTCTTTTAATCGGGCTCGGGGGCTTTATCTGCACTTAATACGTTCACTGAGAAACACATCGTCCAACAAATTGAGGTCAGAGACGTGTATACTCTATGCTCACTAATTAAACTGACTAAAACTCCAAAAACTGAAATTCCATTATCCTGCACCCAAAACACTACCGCACAAATACCATCGTGAAATCATAAGGGAAATCAAACAAATCCAGGTCTACTGGGAAGACCTTCGCCATGTCGTGAGTCCAGACTCTACGACATAAACCGTCCTAGGCCGCATCTCGCGCTCAGTGATATCTATAAAAACAGTCACATGGCATCCCTGTGCCACAAAAACAAGCATGTCCAGGCATCATTCCACCGTCATCCTGCCAAGATCCAAAAGGTGGCTCTCCATTGTCGGTGGGAGGCCTCATCTCCATCCTCTGCATCAAGCTTCCGCCCCCCTCAGATCCCGCCCGAGCATCAAACCTCTCTGGGAAGAATGTGTTTTGGTCCGAGACGGGCGAAGTTGCAAAGCTCATATCCTCAAGCCCCAAAGAGTTTAAATAGTACCGTTCATGAACATCATAGCTTCCGGCTTGTGAGTATTCATAGGTGCTGAAGTCCTCGACAGGCTCCGTGGGAGCGTCGACGGTAACTTGCGGGACGTCGTGAAAGTGTTGCGGATTGCTGGGGCCAGCATTTTGCTCATAGTCGATCTGATCTTGGGCGTGATACTCCAGGTATTGGAGCGGTATCGCCATATTTCCCAACCTACGGGTCGAGTGGCTCGTAGCGGCATGCGATCGTGCGCTTGGGATTCTCTCATGGACATTGACATCCTCGGAAGCTACCCGTGTTCTTGGACCGAGGGGCTCATTTTGAGGCGCAGTCGACACCAAGGAAAAGATGCGGCCTGCAACCAATGCCGCCTCAGAAGAACTCATGGAGATGGAGAGGGTTTCCTGAATAGTTCGCGGAAGCTCCCGCTCGAGTGCCAGCTGAACGTCGCGGTAGATCACAGTCGCAGGCTCGCCAATACCCTCCACCACGTAAGGTGAGTCAGGGGGCTGATGGCCGGGGAAAAGAGTGTCCCACATCCAGTACCATTTATCCAGTTCCTTCAAGCCGCGAGGCATTGTTTTGAGGAGCGCAGCTTCCCTTGGGGCCAGCTCATCTGGTCTTGGCGTGGTGATGCAACCCCCCGGTGGCCGGTGATGAGCTTCCCATGATTCCAAGTCCCTCCAATCCTCCCAGCAGTTCTGGCAGTAATACTGCTGCAAGGAGTGACATCTGAGCATATGGAGCTTCACGTCTCCCGGGCGGCGGAGCTCGTATTTACCGTGACATCGGTAATACTTATACGGCTTCCACTTATAGAAAGGGCACGCCCAGTAGCGGTCGCCGCCCGGGCTTGCAGTAGGATCATCGCCCGGCCCCTCGCTCTCATCACCTTCATCCTCGTCATCTTGGCGGTCCCCTCCACCATGGACTCTTGATGATCCAGCGCCGCCCGAGGGCTTTCGGGATCTTCTTCTCAAAGAATTTGGTCGTTTTCTTGGTGATGGGCAAGGTGGGGGTGCATCTGCAGGCCGTTTGCCTTTCTTGTCGCGCGTGTTAAATGGGATCGGGTCGGTTGCAGGAAACCCCATGCGCTCAGGTAATGCGAGATCAATTGATGGGCGCCGTGGCATCCTGGTGCCAGTTGAGACTTGGTTGTGGCGAGTATCGTCTCTCTTTTGGCTCGATATGGCTGAAGGCCGGTTGGTGCCTACTGGACAGTTAGCAAGGCTCCAGCTGCCTTTCCCAGAACATACAGCGCCCGTGAGCGATGGGGATGGTAGACTTGCCTCTTCTGTTTCTGCGTGTCTCACTCGCAGCTGGCGGACGTAGAGGATCTGCGGCTTGGAAGTCTCTCTCACACCACATGTTCTCACAAGCCTGAGGACTCCCCTTCTCCACGTCGTCTGCGAGATCCGAACAGGTGAGATTTCGATTCTCTTTATAGATGTAAGCGTGATATCTATCGACTTAATACCTATCTGCCTAATTTCTAACTCTTTGGGCTGAGTTTTGGGGAGGCGTTCTGTTTATTGTGCCAGTGCGCTCCAAATACATGTAAGAGCGACAGCTTTCCAAGTTCTGAAAGAAGGGTCAGAAAATGGATGACTTGAGAGCTTCTTCTGATTTCAATAAATGTTTTAACAAGAAGGTCTTCTCGTCCCTCTGGGAGGAGAGGGTCTGCATATGTATGGGGTTAAGGACGGTCATCCGTGTCTGGATGACGATGCTAGTATCTGGATTATTTTGCCGATAGAGACATGCAGTGATAATGTGACCTTATCTCGTGACTACCTAGCTATCGGTTTCATCAAGCCAAACCGGGCTGATTGGATTTGCACAAGTGTGTCGTCAGGCAACCAGTCCTATCTATAAGGCGTGCAGGTGGTGCCGAAAAATGCACAAGACAACACATCCAGTCGCCGATTGATGCCCAGGTCTGGTTTGTGGACTACTTTGATCTAACGGCTTTTAGGCAATAAAGGACACACACTATTAGGACGGGGAAGATGTTTTCAGCTCACTGACCGCGTTGATAGGAGCGGAAGCCATCCATGTTCTTCTATCACATGTCAATTTTCATGAAAAGTGGCGGGGAAAGCTGTGTTCTTTTGCTGTCCGGTCGATATTTTTTTAAGTCAATGCTCTACCGCTACCATGACCGCCTTATTTTTTTTTCCTCACGGCTATTGGTAAAGAAAGTACTATGCTTGAGGCCATAGAAAAGGGGGCCCCTGAAGTTGGCTGCCGACTGGACCACGAACAATGAGGCGACAAGACAATTCCCAGTGAGGACCTCGATCGTTGTTTTTCGGCGTCTCTATGTCTCGTGGCACCAGCTCGTCCAATATCTACAACTGGTTGCTGCTTTTTGCTTTTTCTTCTAAGACAGCTGACTGCGCCGCTGGAGTGCTGAAAGTAGGGGGATTTTCCCACCAAGTAGAACTACCCTATAGTGGGCGACATAGGTAGGCTCGTGATCAATCCGCTCCCTTTCTACGTCAGTTTGCGAGTCTTTTGACGTATTTTAGGTCGGAGGAGTCAAGGCAGATGGCTTGTCATCGGGGATGGCAGCAACAACACCAGTGGCGGTCGGACGAATGGATAGTTTGACAACGGGAGGCCATCCGATTGGCATCAGCAACATGTGAGGCTACAGCTCATCTATTCATTGCGGGCATTGGTTGGTTGGATCTTGGGCGCTGAACCAGACAACACGGGCGAGGACAAGCCAGGGTATCATTGGCCCCCAAACCCACAGAGTGAGCACTTCATCCATCCTCCAGCCGCCCATCCTCTTTGCCAGAGTGCGGATGAGGCTTCTGGAGATGGCGAGTGATTACATCACCTGACCAGGGCCTCTACGGTGTCGCCCGCCTCACTGAAATAGTGCACAGGGAGGTCAGTCCCGTCCTAAGAATTTCTGACAGGCCAGTGGTCCCGGGGAATGGAATGTCCCAACTTGAAACATGGGGAGGGACGCGTCCTTGGATGTGAGCGAGACAGACCAGCAGCAGCACACTGGCTGAACTTCTGTCGCCCGGCTTGGACACCACGAGTCAATTGAAAGCATCAAGAGCAACAGTGAACCGTGGAAATATGCTTACAGGACCTGATTGCAAGATCCCTCTGCGTCCGGAGTGTGCTTTGGGTGATTCCGTCACAACACGCGGCTTCAAGTTATTTTTAGCAGCGTTCCCAGCCGGCTATAAACTGGGCCCTTTTAGTGGACGCTCTCGCTGGACGGAGCCTTGGAGGTTGCTCACTACAGGCTTCAACTCGCTAATCCACCTCGCTGAAATGCACTGTTGCTGCGTAATTCGATCGCATCACACATCACGTACATCACAAGATAATATATATGGATGCGATGCCACAGTATTACCAGACATGAATATCTTCTATTAGCTCTTTTACTACCAGTCATATTAATCGTCCCATATTAGTCACGCCCCTGCGCGACGGGACAGCACTTTGGCCACGCACCTCCAGCCCAGACCCCAGACTGCTGCTTATCCCGCGCTCTGACGGCCGTGATCAGCTTGGGCCGGCAGAGAGGCGAAAGCGATAAAACTACAGCCATGGCCACGACCTACCCCGTTTCTTCTGTTCTGTTTCCTTCTTCCGACCCAAGCCCACTGTGTGGAGTTTGACATTGCTCTTTTCTTCAATTCGATTCTTTTCCTTTGTATTATTTTCCATTACATTTTCGACATCATGCTGGTCATGAACCTCCCCCTAATCCTGGCTGCCTTCGGGCTCGCCACCTCCGTCGTCGCCTCTCCCATCGGCATGAGAGACGCAAACACGGCTGTCGTTCGAGATGCGCAGCCCGTCGCCAGGGCCGTCCAGCCTGGAACTGTCCCCAGGCTGGCCAGGAGGACCGGCGATGACAAGCCAGAGGTCCACTGCCACAAGCACCAGCATCTCTCCAAACACGGCCTCTGTGCGAACAACCGCATCAGGCGCAACTGATCCGATGCCTGCGAGGATGAATAAGGATGCGAAAAGGTGGTCCTGATAGTGGACGGCGACTCATGAACTCGCGTCGCCGGCCAGACGTGATGTCCTACTGTCTGGTCGGCGGTTGGAAGAACCAACTACACAATAAGCCGGCTACATTCTTCGCTGGGAATCGCTATACCGCGCTGGACAGCATCAATTGAGCCGGTACAGGGTCACCTTACCTACTGTACCCTTTGCCCATGTCCAGCGTCCCTGGAAGACGACGCAGCACGCCGTTGCTACCAGCTTCGATGCCACAATCCAACGTTGCAGTGTGGCAGCGCCATCATCGGCACTGTCTAGTCGCAGGCTTTGAGGCCTTGGATAACACTGAAGGCTGCTTCCAATGTCACGCGATTCCCAGTGAGAGCGGTTGAGGCCTCAAATGACAGCCTCATTCGACGTATCGCGAGACTCGAGCGCTCGTCGGCTGCCTACTTCACCCATCAGAATTTGGGGTTGCCTAGATACTGCTGTCGCACGCGCTGGCCGCGAAACGAGATATCCATAGCGTATCTGGGTTCCCTGAGACGGGAGACCTGGATTTTGACGTGTACCACAGGCGCTGTGAGTTGGATTCACCATGGGTATAAATTACGAGGTGACTGCAGGGGTGGAATGGGTGGACCTCTGCAAGAAAAGACAATTAATAACTCTGTACTCCCAATGCTCCATCTGTTCCCTATGCATCAGTGAGAAGTGAAGTCAAGATGGTCCGTACTGAACATCCAGTCATCAGTCAACTTGACTTTGTCACACGAGTTATCATTTTCGTGCAAGTAGAGAGAAGTGGCTGGTTGGCAAGGGGATGAGCCTCCACAAGTCTCCGTTATGACTCGCCAATTCACCTCCGAGTCCGCACAAGTTTCGCTCCACAAGACCCTGATTTTTTCCAGCCAAATCCGAGATCGCTTCATCCTATCCACACAAGTTGACCTTGACTCTGCGCAAGTTTCAAGACAAAATACCACCTAATACCAGTCCTCGGCGTATCATTTGGTCTATCTTGACTTTCTTGTGGCTAACCCAACTTCCTCTGGAACTCTCTGCATACCGATTCCTCTCAATTGCGACTTCTCACCATGGCCTCTGCTCCCGTAGGGATTTTCTCGTCACTGCCCGGGGTAGAAAAGGATGAGGTCTTTGACCTCCTGGGCCAATTCCGAGTGGATGTACATCCTCAGCGAGTGAACCTCGGTGCCGGGGTCTACTTCTCTGACGAGGGCAAATCATGGCCCCTGGAGGTGGTGGGAAAGGTTGAGAAGGCTCTGCACGAGCAGCAGGCCATCACCCGCCACGACTATATCCCCATCGAGGGCGACGACCAGTTCCTCAATGCCGCCCGCGATCTGCTCTTCTCCTCCACCTTCCCCAACCCATCGGGGAGGCAGGCCTCGGACCCTCGCGTGGTCAGTGTGCAGACCGTCTCGGGAACCGGTGCCAACCACGTCGCCGCCAGATTCCTCGCCAACCACGTCCATCCTCGCTGTGTCTGGGTGTCCGATCCAACTTGGGCCAACCACCATGTCATCTGGGAGTCCACCGGCATCACTCCTCGCACATACCCTTACTACAACAACGAGGATTGCACTCTCAACTTCACAGCCATGATCGACGTGCTGGAGAAGGAGTCCCAGCCCGGCGACGCCATCCTTCTGCACGCCTGTGCCCACAACCCAACCGGTCTGGATCCCACCCAAGAGCAATGGGTCGCCATTGCCGAGCTCTGCTCCCGGAAACAGCTCTTCCCCGTCCTCGACAACGCCTACCAGGGCTTCGCATCAGGAGACCCAGTCCAGGATTCGTGGGCCATCCGCCACTTCTACAACCACCAACCACCCATGGAGATGTGCGTCGCCCAATCCTTCTCCAAGAGTTTCGGTCTCTACGGACAGAGAGCAGGGGCCTTCCACTTGATTATCAACGACACGTCAGAAAGCACCAGGGGCAAGGCCCTCGGAAACCTGGCCCAGCTCATCCGTAGCGAATACTCCGTCGCTCCCAGGTACGGATCGACCATTGTCAAGACCATCCTGGAGAGCGAGAGTCTCTCTAGAGAGTGGTTGGCCGAACTGCAGTTGATGAGCAGCCGCATCCGATCTATGCGGCAGGCTCTGTATGATGAGCTGACCCGTCTTGGTACCCCTGGTTCGTGGAAGCACATCACTGAGCAGGTACGTCGAGCAACCGTCCATTTCCTGAAATACGATGATTCCTAACTAGATGTTAGATCGGAATGTTTTCTTACACCGGCTTAAGTGCCGCCGAGGTCGAGGTTCTTCGCAAGGAATACCACATCTACCTGCTGTCTTCCGGACGAGCTTCGATTGCTGGCTGTAAGTGGAATCCGCTTCAGATCAACCGACGAAGCCTTGCTAACGTTAGATCACTCAGTGAATTCGAAGAATGTCGAATACGTCGCCGCCGCAATCAGCTCGGTGCGGAACAGATCACTCCTCTGAGTAGGTACTTGGAGGTTTCCACGCATGACTGAACGCATCCATGAAGAAAAAATCGCCGAGGTTTGAGGAGCCCAATGCATCTTATAGAGTAAGGAGTTTCTATTGCCTCTTTCGTTAGAGGACTTTGAGTTATACAGGTGTTAGTATTTCCATAGACCTGGCTAGAAATTAGAAACGCGGCTTGTTTTCTCTTGCGATCTGGAATCTGCATTCCGTAGTATGTGAAGTACGGGTAATCCAGACTGTAGTAAGGTTCTCTGGTCCGGAGTAATAAATGCATCCAACACCAAGTTAGAGGTAGATTTGGACCCATCATATACATCACAGAGGTCATGACCGACCGATAATGAGTTAAAACCATTCAATATAAGCGTGGAGGCCAGCCCTTCACACTTTAGATTTATAAATATCCTCTGATGGATATCACGGCTGAATCGTACACTGTTTGTACCACACCCACAGATGCACCTCGACCAATAATGCGATCTTGACCATCTTTTATCGCCAATGTAAAGTTAGTAATACATCTAGAAATTTCGACCTTCAATAATGTCCTGTACCGAGGAAATGTCAATCGATACGATTGTTGCCGGACCTCGACGACATGGGGTAATGGAGAAGCAGGATTTGACCTCGCCTCGCGCTGATAATTCTGGCTCGCTGGCGGTATAAACGTCGGAGATAAGTCATTCGGGCATCGGTGTCCCTATGCGTATTACCTTCTATATCCGGTACTTCGAAGACAATTCTCAGTAAGAAGACTTTAAAGTCACAGCATCAGTCTCAATAACTAACCTCTTGCGTGGTGAACGTAAACATAATTCTGAACCATGGTGGCAATAGCTAAAAACGGCTGCTAGAGCGCCGAAAAGTATGGTGCACAAGACCTCTGGGCTCATGTTTGTTACTCCTGTGCGATTATTTGGGAAAGTAGTAGTGGTTGAATATGTGAGAAAGCAAAGAAAAGGAAGGTCATTCTCTTTCTACCAAATCTTTCGAAGGATTTTATACTCTTCCCAACTGCTGACGACGCGTGGGCGTCACAACTCACTACCTGTTATCTAGTTTGGGCCTATAATAGAAGTCAGACCTACGGCGTATATCGCTAGAACCTTGAATAGCAGCCTCTATTGGCGTAACAGCCTCATCGATCGACGAGACATTCTCACCGCTGGCAAAGGGGGCTCAGTCTCACGTAGAGCCTAAAGAACAGTTGACCTAGGAACCATTCAGCCCTACCAAGTAACCGACCTACTGACCGACCCTAGTCAACCAGCCAGATTCGAGGTCATGCGAAAGTCCCTTGGCTGAGCCCTCCGAATATACGCGGAGCTTTTGTTATTGGCCCGGAAGAAGATCTTGTCAGATGCAATCCAAAAGCGCTTCGCCTTGTCCGTCGGTTTTGATGAGCATCGTATCCTCACCTGGCCCACATGGTGCGCTTCCATAAGTACTTCAGCCCTATCATGAGCCTATAAGCAACAGTTGCACTTTTGAGCTGAGCTGGTACACTGTTTGTCAATCTGGATTAAAACTCGACTATGCTTTCTCGGTTGTGCCATGATGGCGACAATGGAGTTGGTACCAATCGTGTGCTGTTAACAAATATCCTAGACCTCTTTACTTTCCCATTCGCTGAATGCCAATTGAGCCTCGAGAATTGATGCCCTAGCATATTGCGGGTATTTAGAGCGATGTAGGTAGAAGTCAGGGCCTTCGCGACGTTATTACGTTCCAGCCCTTTAGTTCGCTTGAGATCCATATCGCGAACACGATCTTGTTTTCAGTAAGTTCATACAAAGTGCTTTGGCCTTGGGGGCCATAAGTGTTCACGTAGTCAGCTGGCCTCACCGCCGTTTTCAACGTGAGGCCCGGTATGGAGATGAGTGTTTTTTTTTGTGAAATGCCAGGCTCTCTCGCTCCGGATATGTGAAAAAAAGTATATGGAGTTCCAAGATAGAGGTACTTTCGCTCTTTACCGAACAGCCCGTGGCACGAACTAGGTCGCAGGAAACTCCGGAAGGTTCTTTAGGACTACTGTAGTGTTGGGTCAACACGAAATATGATATGATTCGTGATATTATTGGTCTCCTATAGGTGCTAGAATGACTTTAGATACGGGTCCTTGTAGATCAGCCTTCTACGCCGACTCTCGCCCACGAATCATATTGCCAATTAGCCGAGGACAAGGAGGACCTGGGGCGAGATCTTATTGATTGGACCTACTTCTACTACCCTTAAAATAAATATTGGAAAGTTGACCGAAATCCAACGTCATATTTCGGACATCCTTCCGGTCATATGTTGCAGTGTCTCGGTCCGGCCCATCCACGAGTCACAAGTTCCCCTTTGTGGCTAATCGGCAGAGTCAAGAAATATTTGAAACCTCGGACTGTTTTGGAATCAAGCGAGCTTTGCTGTTCGACGCAATGTTTAATTATTACTATCAGGAACAGAAACGTAAGGCATCATAGGTTCTTCTAAGTCTAATATATTTCTATAGCTAAGTTTGCTAGATCTGGGAGTCTTCCCAGTATCTTGGCACGACACTGATGAATGATAAATTAGTAGCTTCTTATTGAAAGCTTTTGTCAATCTGAAGAGGTTGATAGGAGAGGGCAGGCGCTGGAACGGGTAACTCAATGCACAAGTTACCCAAATTAGGACCAGTCTCCCTCGTCGACAATCGACTCCCCACGTTCGGCTGCCGCCAACAGCTCCTGCACCGTCCACGGCTGATAAGTGTACCCGGGGACGCCATTCGTGTTCTTAAATGGCGCACCTGATATGATGTGGTTTGCGCATTTACCATAGTTGTCGTACGCGTACTGCTCAGGGTCGTGGTTAGTGACCCAGCGGCCAACCATCTTGGTCAAACGAGTGGGATCTTTGTCCATAACATCCCAGTTGGTGTTATGGTACAGTTCACGCGTCTTGAAGCCCATCCGCTGAGCACATGCGACACGCTCCGCTCTAACGTTCTAGTTAGCATGTTACTCGTTGGCGGAAACTATGGGTCTTACCTGAGAAGGTTGTGCACCCGGACGGCCAGAGGTGCGTTGCCTTTTCCAGATAACTGCAAGCATGCTGCGAGCGAGTACGAGTCTTCAAGGGCCATCGTAGCACCGCTGGCAGATGTGGGGAGGAATGTATGCGCCGCATCACCTATCTGGATGACCCTTGCCTTCGGAGATGCCCACGTTTCTCGCGGATTGCGCCACATCAGCTTAAAGTCGACTGCTTCACCACCAGGGGCAGACTTGATGACCTCGGAGATGTATGGCTTCCAGCCCTTGACATATGGCAGCGCATGTTCGATCGAGGTCTGTTTTGTCCATTCCTCTTCAGCATTGCCGTTGTCCTAGGTTCGTTAGATTTGCTACGCCGGGCTAGGACAAGTTCAAACGAGCACACATACCTTGTGCGTAAGCATAAACACCATATCCTCATTGGTTTTGGCAATTATGATGTGTGCTCCAGGACCCATTGTCAGATTTCCCTTCGGCTCACTTCCCTCAAATTCTTCGGCTACTAGGGGGTTCTTCATAGCCAGCTCAAGCGGGAAAGTAGCACGGAACATTGCAAAGCCAGAGCTTATAGGCACCTCTTTAAAGCCGGAGACTAGTCTCCATGACTTTGAACCAATGCCATCGGCGGCCACTACAATGTCCGCTGTAACGGTAGTACCGTCTTCGAGAATGACACCAGCGTTATCATCAGTCTCAATGTATTCAGTTACCAAAGTCGAGAACCTGATTTCAATACCAAGCTTCTCTACATAAGAGTGAAGCATGTCATGAAACCTTGAGCGAGTGCTAGAGAGCGGGAACTCGACATTGCCAAGAAAAGTCCCGTCATACTTGTAGATGCGCCCAGTCTTTGAGATTGGCGACTCATCGCACCATTCTTTGAAGCCGGGCCAGTTTTGGGGAGAATGAAGAGCAGATGCTTGGATCGCAATCAAGTCACCTATCCATTGTTAGAAACGCCTAGAGATCGTGGGGCTTGGGAAGAGTTTCGTGCCGTAATCCTTGAAATCCGGTCGACGCTCAAGAATTTTCACATCATGGCCTTTGCGGTATGCTTCAACTGCGAAGCTCAGTCCTGCGATGCCTCCCCCAACTACGAGGATGGACAGGCCGCTTGAAGGGTAACGTTTCATGAACGGGATACCGTTGGATGGCTGAGTGTTTTCGACCATGGTGTCAATGGAGAATTTAGGTTCTAGAATGATAGAGGATGCTAATTTGTTCCATTTAAGCCTTCGAAAGCCGTCATTCTTACGGCATTTTGCCTTTTATATCTGATTTCTTTTTCTTACGTACATATGTATTGTGGGCTACCGTATTGATGCGAAGCAACACTTCTCGTGCTTGACGCCGGAAAGTTCTTGGACTCCGTTCAGATGACTATGTAAGCGGCATTGAGGCTGAATTTATTTTGGGCGGTGATGATCAGTGGATCAGCTGCAGCAGTGACATTCTTGCTCTCCATAGGTGCTATCATCGACCAGAGAGATAAATGCCGCTGCATAAATCACGTTTTCGGAGTATTTCTCATCAATCTCGGACCCTTGGTGGGATGGCTCTTCCCGTGCATGCGATGAGCGGCGATTTACGGCCCGCAACCTTATGCAGTCTTTGGCCTTGACAGAGACCTGCACAGGTGACATATGCCAACAAGTCCAGGAACGAGAAACTCTAGGAAGCAACCGGCCATATCACACCATATGATTCAGCGAAGGAGCAGGTTAGGCTCAATACGAATTAGCCAAACTCTAATAAAACTGTACCATTTGCCGAGGCCCATTTTTGATGATGTTTATCTCTACCACGTCAACGTCCCATTGCATGAATAACTTATCTAAACTTGTTTTCACTGCGATAGTCAGTCTTCATGTGCATTTCATGTGGTCTTATTTGGGTAGAATATATGCATATTATCTATCCTAAAGCGCAATCTAGTCGCTAAGCCAGATTCTGGTACTCTGTGCCGTACGGATTCAGCTCAATGTTGAAGGCAGCTAGATCACCGAATGGTATGGCACCAGAAACCCACTTGGCAACAGCATCATCAAACGCTTTCAAGTGTCCACTATGACTCAGATCAAGCGGCTGCCTATCACTACCGACCAGTTTGAGCCTGATGCAAGTCAACATATTTAGGCTCTCGCAATGCAACCGAGCGTGGGAAAGAAAAGGGGGCGGGAACTTACTGTAGTCCGGCTGCCATAACTGCCTTCCCGAAATCGTCCTCTCTAATCAACACATCAATGGCACCACTGGCGCTTCCAGCCAATATCTTCGCTGGGAGGTCAAACTCGTGGGTCGCCGGTCTTCCCAGCCCCACCCCATCTACAGTCTTGAGAGCATCTGCCATAGCCTTAGCAGACCTCAATCCACCAGTGACGTATGCCTTTGTCTTGGTCAGTGCAGGTATGATTGCCTCAGCAAATTCTATGAAGAACGCCTCTCTCTTCTTCGAAGATTCACGGACATGCTTGAATCCGGAGGACTGATAGGTTCCTCCGGAGAGCTCGACAAAGTCAAATTTAAGTCTTTCGAGCTCAGCACAAAGTAATTTGCAATCGTCGGGGGAGAAACCTTCGTCCTGAAACTCGACACTGTTGACTTTGATGCTAAGAATGAAGGCTGGGTCAGGGACGCGCGCTCGAATAGCATGAGTGATCTCAGTGATCAGCCGGGCGCGATTGAGAATGCTTGTCCCACCGTACTCGTCGGTGCGTTTGTTTGTAGACAAGGATAGAAATTGGCTTATCAGGTAGCCGCTACATCTCGTTAGCATGCGTTTGGGCTGGTAGCTACCTAAGTTGCCAGTACTTACTGCGCTCCGTGTAATTGAATACCATCGAACCCGGCCCTGTATAGATATTCGGCGGCATGTGCAAATCCATCAACAACGCTCTGAAAGTCTGCTTTCTCCATAGGTCTCGGCTTGGCATATGTCTTCCCAGCAAATTCTGCCTCAAGGCGCACGTCACTCGCGGAAATGGGATGTGGCTGGATGCTCTCTGGCACTTGTCGTCCTGGGTGGCTCACCTGAGCAACAATCAGGCTTCCATCCTTCTTAGCTTGGCTCGCCAATTCCCTGAAAGCTTCGAAACGACCGCCAGAGAATGTAGCATCCGGCGGAATGATGGTATTTTCAGCTGCTTCTAGCTGATCATAAGCTATCATCACATTACCAGTGAGCAGGACGCCGAAACCTCCCTCACCCCACCGGCGGTAAACATTGACCAGCTCGGGCAAGGGCACACCCCGATTCTCAAAAACATCGCTGTCGAATGTGGCCAGATGTTCGGACATTGCAGCCTTTATGAATCGGTTTTTAGCCGTCCTGCCACTGAATTCAAAGTAAAGTGGCTGGCCCAATTGGCTGACATCCACCCCTTCGCTAGTATATCTCTGTGGCATTGTGAATGCTATGTCGGCCAAAAATGATGACGAAATCTTAAAATCAACAGCTCTTGACCTAGGAATCAGTGAGCCAGTGGGGAGGTATCGACTACTTTATACCAGTGGTATCTGCCGAGGCGTGGCCATCCTTTACAATCGTCCCTTATCTGCCTAGTTACTAACTCTAAGTCTAATAAGGATGGTACTCCGCGAAAGTGGTTTGTGATTGCACTAGACTCTTGGCTAATGAGAGCATAGAGGCGTAGACCTGGGATCTTAGCCGGGTGGGCTTACAAATTTTATTCATACATTATTAATCTATATCCATTTTCCACGGCAAACGGGCTAACGAAGAGCCCGAGCCACACTTTGGGTGAAACGTTAAGCCGACCCTTTCTCAGACCCCGGAATGATCCCTAAGTATTCTCGTAGAAATCACAAGTAGATCTTTTTTCATTGGTTTGGACGGGGGAAAGTAGTGTTGGGTAGTAGCTAGATACCGATGCATCGGCCGCCGCAGGGAATCCTAAACTATTTCCAATTCCATCAACATCTGATCAACATCCACCCACCTGCGGCGTACAGAATTGTCCACCCACGTGCATTCTTGGCGTTACCAGTAGCACTGTGTTGCAGTAGTATGCAGGTTATCATATTCGGCACTTCACCAGCATAACGCAATATGGCGTCACCGCTCGGCCGGAAGGTGTTGACGTTGGCCTACAACCCGAGACGAAGTCGTACCATTTTTAAGTCGCACGGACTTCGTATGAGATAGAGGTTAAAGATCATTTTGGAATCTGAAATTTAAATGGACACGGTCTACGAATAGCGTCTGAGTAATCTCGATGCATTAGAATATTAAGTGATTACCATCAAGGCGTAACTTCTTCTTCGCCCATTGTTTATATACCGGTGAGTGACCATCCACGGTCTTCAAGGCTATATTGGCTGGACCTTGAGTAGAATTTTGTCTGAGTTTACTTAAGCAATTTCCCCGCCCTCGTTCCCCAGGTGGAAGTAGAGGCTCTCCGGGGGTGAGTCTATGCTTGTCGAATACGTCGATCGTATTCTCAATCGCGATATTCCGATGTCCCATTTTCTTCGTATTGATACGAATATGGGTCTAGGCCATAGTAATAAACCGGTTTAAGCTTCCAAAAACCTTCGTCTTTCTCAACAGCAACCTTCTCTGAAGCTCGTTGGAAATCCACGACAGGCCCATCAAACTTGGTCTTGAGATAAGGCGCGAGCCGGTCCGAGACGGCCAACTCATGAATGAAACACTTTTGCATCCTTTCCGATTTTCTCTCAGTTTGGACAGTCTCAGCCAAGATATCTGGGAGATATAAGGTGCTCTATAGCATCGGCCTAAATTCTTTGTTGGCGAGATACTCATCTTAGTCTCATTCCTTCAGTCTTATACCTTACGGTTCGTTTCGAAATCCTCAACAAATTCAACTCCACGCCGCGTTTTTAGCCATTTCCCCCCCAACGCCTAAGCTTCGTAATCCAGTCTTCATTTTCTGACTCCTCTTGCACTAACTTCACCCCTCTCCCCAATGTTCAAAACCCGGCGACAGTCCGGGCAGTACCACTTTGTTGTCCGAGCTGGGATCTCCTCTAATCCAACACATTGCAGATGGAACCATTCCTCTTTACAACCATCAACATTATCGCACTGAATCATCGTGCCAAAACTCACGCGATTACAAATACAGTAGCGCGGCTCGTTTGGGTCAATTGGGTTGCCCTCATCATCCACATCCTCCATCTCTCCATCCTGATCCTGATCCTTGTAGTCAACACTAAGCCTGGAATGGCCAGAATGGGGCATATCCCTCCATTCAGACTGGCCGCGGAGCGAGTGTCGACTGAGAAATGTCCTCAAAAGGCCGTTGCTACCCAAGGCCCAAGGCGACACTTGCTTTTTCCCCAGTTCTGCAAGCAGCTCATTACAGCTCGCCTGGCTACCCGCTGTAGAATCTTTGGAAATGGTATGATGAGTGAAGCACTCTGTGTTGCTTTGGCTCAGATCAACCCTATCGCGTGGGACCATCGGTGATGCTCGAGTGGCTGGTCGATGTTGTTGCTTTTCAACCCAGTCAGGTCGTGGTTCTGGGGTAGGGGTGTGGCGCGACATTCGGGTGTGCTCCCATCCCCGGATGGGACTCATCGCAGCGTCAAGTAGTTTGGTTGAAGGCTAACAGCCTTTCATGAGGCTGAGGGTTTATTGTCGTTTCTTGAATGAAGAGGGTGGGATGGGGTCAACGAGCGCACTTTGAACCAGTATTGTCCAGCGTTTTATTCTCGGAAGCCATACTGTTCAGTGTTGGGGTAAAATTACACTGTAGATGAACACTCTTTCTCTTGTATGCCATGTGACTGGCTGTTGGTGAGGAGGGCCGGCCGTGAACGTGAGCAGTTCCAAGAATGAGTGATCGGATTGCGGGGTTTCGTGTCGTACATTGAGATACAACCATTTATTGCCTTAGCTGCCTCACGCATGCATCTGGCCAATCCTACTGCTCATTTGCCCCCCCCTCCAATCAGCCTCATGCATAGGTTTAGAAGGAGGAGATCCCATTCTTCTCAAGAGCCACATTCCCCATCTCCCGACAGTTTCCCTCTGGAAAAAGAAATTGTATTCGTAGGCTAAAATTCCTGAGTGAATTTTCTATTCTTAATCTGCAATAATCGCATTCAACATGCTCTGACTTGGATAAATTACGTTTCTGAATGGCCAGGACGTCATCGCAAGCATTGTTGTTGCATTGAGTAGAGCCCTCACTCACTGTGACTACCAGAATAAACCACTCTATTGATATTCATATAATAATAAGATATATTCATATATAATAGATAAACTAATTACAGTCCCAGCTCATCATTGGCCCCATTGCAACCATGTGGCTCGCATTTCAGCACACTCTGATAGGTTGAGTTACACATTTTAATTGTAGAATTATAATGACTGTTGGAATGGGTCTCAAACCTCCCCTCTAATCTTCTTCCATGCCTTCTGCCGCATCTGTTCGCTCAAACCATACGTGACAGCATTCACTAAGCCAATAAACTGCGTTGAGGCCTGCAGAGCCTTGAGCCACTGCGGAGATTCCCCGTTTAAAGACTCAGTCAGTCGATTCGCGATCCCTGGAATCCACAGAATGATGTACGCGATGGGATACCCGTTTAATAGCAACATCTTGCTGAGGTTAGGGGGCGGTGGCATCAATGACTTGGGTGGGAAGCATTTAATAGGGCCGGCTTGCGGCTGATTAGTCGTTGCTAAATCGGATACTTGGCCCCTTGCTGATTCGGTTCGTATTTGTTGTGGCCCATGGACGAGTGGCAAGGAGTCGGCCTGCAGGACCTGGTGCCTGTCGGAGTCTTGCGCGTAGGACCCTTCTGCCACGGAGCTGTCGTAGCTCGCTTCAGAAAGCTCTGCAGTGATACTCCGGATTCTCCTGAATACCCTCTTGAGATGGATGTAGATATATGTATAAATAAGGATTGTAGCAAAGAATATGAACAGGCGCCAGCCGTGGGTAAGCGCGTATCGCAGATCCAGACGGTCAGCTCGGATCCAGCACCAGTTGCCGCTTACATAGCCAAACCCGTTCAGCGCAAGCGCGATGTTGCCTGAAAGGAGGGCTCGTGTCAGCATATGCAAGTGGTATCCGATCGTGTAAGCGAGGTGACATACTGGTAATGAGAGCTGGCACCCAAGCGGCTATGCAAAGCAGCGCTTGAAATCGGATCGAGAGATTAGCGACTCGATCGGTCTTCAACACAGTGAGAAGAACCGTGATGGATATAATAAGGATGTTGAAATCAATCGTCTGGACGCTGAGCTGGTTGATGTAGGCGTTGGCGATACACGCCGCGTCTGGTCTGGTCTCGCCGCCTGGCATTCGGCCTTGTGCAAGGAAGATGGAGCCAGAGACGGCGTTGGACAAGGTGTTCATCGCATCTACTCAGATACATATCGTCAGCACCTAGATGTACAGTGAAGTCTACTGCGTGACGTACCTGATACAAGTAGATTGATGATCAGAGCATGGCGGAAATGCTGCCTCGGGGGACGAACAATTTGGAGCACAATGGCGGTTGTCGAGGCTAGGAACGAGAGCCACGACCCAACCAACGTCGGGATTGCGACAACAAAGTCGATGGCCATGACTTGCGGCAATATTTTCTGTCTTGACTACATTCGTGTGCTTCGCGTGGCTTTCAAGAGCTATAGGGCTGGTATTTGAGGAGCGACAAGCCACACCCCTTGGATGGCCACCCATCGCCCTATAAGGTGGTGATGTGTGATCTTTGACATTGATTGGACTGGCCGATCTCCTAGTTGGATGCATGGAGGATCCGACGTATTGATGATGGGAGCAGATATCTTACATTGCAGGGGCAGATGCTCACGGTAGTTGGCCAGTACCGTCTGAGTAATACTGCTCAGCTCGGGTGGATAAATGTCTGCTGAGCGCAGCTTGCATCTGCTTCCTCGGAAACCCCAGCGCTAACAAATTTTGTGTCAGCCAAGCCACGGCGCCTGTTCGTATTGATCTAAGTAGTTTTCCATGTTAAGCGAGATCTCAGTTGGGCTTTAGAACACTTGCATGAACCGACAACTCCACCAGTAATGAAGTGCTCAGCCAGCTGAAGACTTCTTCCTAAAACTCACTCTTCCAAATTTTGAAATGTAGTACATCGCTTCAACTTGTTTTCGAGTTCTATCCACCCTTCTAATTTGCCTACGGATCACTCTTCTTGGTACAATATATAATTCCTATATCATTACTCAAACTGACCCGTCAACGCAGACTCTCGTAGGAAGGGAGAAACTACCTATCAATGCTGCGTTAGTTACTGGAATAGGGTAGTTCGGATTACTGACAAGAAAACCAGCTTTTGATGTTCCAGCCTTGATATTTGATACGTCAAGGAGCAATTGTCAAATTATGGTATCAATACCGTGGCAGAACATCTATAGCTTTGAAGACAAATTATGATGCTCTTTTACTTTCTCGCCAGTGCCAGATGTCCACACGAAGGCCCTCAAACAGGATCAATTGGCCCTCCTTCTAATACCATCAATGGCCCCACGTCTTTAATGGTCTTGTATTCAACCCTGATGCTTGAAAAACTTTAATACCAACTCTCTAGCATTTTTGTGAATAGACAACTTCACCGATCCTTCCAAGACGGATATCAAGTTGTTGGACAATAGTTCGTCTCAAGTGTATCCCGGTAACCGATCGACGGGTCTCCGCTTCAAACAAGCTTTTTCAAATAAATCAAGCTTGTTCAATTACTTGGCGGTACGGTAGGGGGGCCGGCTGAATGAGACTCGCCAAGTTATTGATTGATTGAGATGAAAACAACATATCCATGATCATTGGGCACTTAATTCGCCGACCATAATTCACATGACCAATCCTACCGCTCTTTTTATGCCTTATTAATGAGTGATTAAGCGGCATATGAGAGTCAAGCTTTAGATGAAATTGGTTCAAAGTGGATCGTGCCTCAAGTTCCGAGTAACATCCCTGGAAGGACGGAGAATCCTTCAGGAGACGAGCTGGGGTAAAGACGGCTCAGTCGCACCATCCCAAACAAGGGACAAAATGCGCATTGCTGTGTGACAACAATGCCACAGAATTTCCAAGCAGACTCATTGAGAGTTTAGTGAAGGAAAGACTGAGACAGGCCTTCATTGAGAAAGACTCACTTGCAGCGAGTGCTTGTTTTTACCATTGTAGCCCCTGCCACTACCTTCTGTTCAGTTGTCGTAGAATCAACACCATTGTGAACATTGGCTCCATCGTCCAACTCCACTGAAATCTAAATATCAAGCCCTACAAACCCGCCATTGGTTTCAACGGTTCTAGACCCACCACCGTGTCATGCAGCCCCATTCATATCAAGTGTCGATTAATACTTGCAATTGCTTGAACGAACCTGCTCACAGGTGGCTTGTCCTAAAGAGATCCCTTCGGCAATTCGGCAGAGCTCAGGGCCAGCCGTATCCAACCAATGTGAGACGTATTCCCTGCTCAACTCACCGTCGAGTTTACACCGAAGTCGGAATTGAACTCCTCAAGGATACTTTAGAATCTCCGGGCCGTTTCTGCAAATTAGGCAAGTGTCAGTAGCAAGCAGCATGGATTGAAACATACTATGAATTGTCGGTCAGTCATTAATTGTAGCAGTTCACGTCAACACATTGAGCAGAAGTCTCATGTATCGTTCCGCTCAACTTATCGCCACCCAATCCTCGGATTCATGCATGCTTAAAAACACTCTCACGCCAGTGGCGGCTTCGTGGGAGGGCAAACTCCACGATCCGCAACTGTTTCACTACCCTTACGTGGACATGCAAAAAAGGTACAGTCGTAGCCGCCTCAATTTTCGTTAAACAAGGTAGCAAGGGTCCTATTTGAGACAACTCCGGTAAACGAGGGTTCCAGAACACCGCTTCTAGGTGACGCGCGTTTCTCGGCCCACCTGCGGTTGCTCCATATTCCTTAACGCATGAATATAAGAATAGTCAGTCTCTGCTCTCTTAGAATAAAAATCCAGCACTCTCCTCTAAATCCAACCCAGCCATTTCCTGAGACATTCTATATTAAAGGCTCAAACACTCTTCCATCAACATGCTTTTCACAAAGACCTTCGCCCTTGCCCTCCTCAGCCTCGTGACCTCCGCCGTTGCCACTCCCACCGTTGAGGAGCGCTCTGGACCAGTCTGCACTGACCAGCCGGACCCTACTACGTACTGTACCGATCTGGGCTACCAATACTGCTACGGCCACTACGGGTGCATCTAAGCAAAGCACCAGAAACGAACCATACCTCAATATGGCACCCAATATTGCGTCTTCCATGCATCTTCCATCGTGTATTCGAAGATCTTCTCATGTTCATGTATGGAACTCAAATCAGCAAGAAGCAGACGAAGATTACCATTCGTGCTATAAGGAAACCACTTCACACAACGGTGCCTAGTCAGTCTAGCTACAGACTATTGAAGGCAAGAGGATGATTGAGGATTTGGAAAAGGCTCGGAATCAACAACAAGTAGCTATTCACAAAAGCGAAAAATACAAAGTGTTATGAACATTCCCCTTCCCGACTGAAATGTGTGAATGAAATGTGCAGATGCGGTTGCTTGTTCCAGACGGAACGGGAATTTGTATTATCTCTCTTCTTGTTAGACCCTGTAGATTCTATACGCTTCTTTAGCGACTGAGCCACAGCCTAATTTAGAAATGAAGTAGGTATTGCGAGGATCAAGTTAGGACAGAAGAGCAACGGCCTGTGGAAACAGACTGATTATCATAGTTCAGGTAGCGTGATCTCCGACGTAATGGAGGTATGTGCTTTTCCCTCAACTGCTGACTTAGACATGCGGCCAGTCGGTCAGATAAAGAGCATTAAAACGGAGCATGGTCGTGCCGCGCAACTTGGAACAGACCAGGCTGAGTGTGTCACCCCCGAGGCGATCCAGTACATGAAGCGAATGAGCCGCTGGGCAGCCGTCTGGGCAATATTCACTATTCTTGGGCATGCTTTGCTCTGACCTCTGGCAATGTACGGTGCCGAGATGGTCTTCTCAAAACCTGTAAGTCGGTTAGATTTTAATACGTCGTGGATCACTGCTAACATGGAGGAATAAATAAATTGTTCACCGCCTATATTTTTCTCTGGTTTACCCTCATTGTGGGCAACTTTTATCCTCTTTTTGATAGAGGGATCAAGAGTATATGGATTGTTACCAAAGGAAAAGAAGTGTGCACGAAAGCAGCCCAGTTACGGGAACTCCAGACTCTGAGGCATCCACTGAGGAGCAAAAGGTGCAGTCTAAGGTTCACCTTGAACCCTCTGCGCCCTCAGTATAAGATTCCAACAATTTTTATATAAAATAGCGTCTCACGGCTTCCGCTATCGCCAGGCCCTAGATCTGTTTGTCTGTCGTGACGCTCATTCCGCGTTGTATGTTACCTATTCCTGACTTGTCATTAGCACAAAAACAAAGCATCTACGCGTACTGTTTCCCTAGTGTATTGACTCAGCGGAAGTATCGGCATGGGTTGTTCGGGCGGTCGCCTTAGGTGCAACCCTATTTCACCTCCTCACATCTCACCTGCGCCTGAATACCTTGGCCTAAGCCCCTCACTCGTATGGATGTGCCCGTTTCTCTTAGATAGCTTACATGAAGGTGGGAAGAATCATATTGTATGAATCTAGCAGACTCGGTGTATAGATTTGGGGAATCAATACTATCGCCAATAAAAGTAGTTTCGATGCCGATTGTGTGTCAAAAGAACATAAGGATGAAGTAATGTAAGCAGCCGACGAATGAACTCTAATGCAAAACCAGCCAGTTGCACATTCTCAAGGTCTATCGCATAGTTGCACATTGCCAAGTTTGCCTGCATAAGTGGAGATTGCCAAGTTTTCCCGCATGGGTGCGTGAGGTCACATTCGCCCACCATCGTTGATTTAGTGGGGAAATGGTTTGATGAGTCGGGTGCGATAGAAGGACATTATATGCATGTCAGTACTGCCCATGCGATTAGAGGCTGAGCACAAAGCGCAGGGATTGTTCGAAATAAATACTATGCAAAAGTCTTACAGGGAGAACAGCAGATGAACCTGCACTCCTCCATACTCTTCTCACTTTGCGGGTACCTACAGTCACACAGACCCGTCCAGAGAATGTCAACATGAAGTCCGAGGTCTTGTTTACTATTATCTTCGGCTGCAGTGCTGCTGCACTTGCCATCATAGCCATCGTCCAGAGCCATCTACAACATAAAAAAGGAGGTACATAAGCCTCCGCCCTTCTTCAAATTTGAGTAGCAGAACATGAGGCTGACAAGGAAGTTGAAGAGCTTGGTACTAGAAGCCAGCAAACAGTTTGGCTTAGCTTTTGGCAGTCCCCGACTGAGAATGTTCCTCAAAGGAATGTCGCCAACAGCATTGCAGAAGGTTCCGCATAGTATGCTAGCAAATAAATGGGAGGAGTTGCAATGAACCAAAGGGTTGAGGCTGCTTCAGAGTCTGGTCTAACAAATGCAATATGGAATCTAAATTCTTGCCTTGAATCTTTCTTCCAGCACTCGCTGCGCTGCTCCAGCTACTGCTCCGTGACGTGACACACATGAACAATGACTTCTCGTGCACTCAAGCTCGATCCAGGCTCGGAGCATCGTGGAGGATTGCGGGGGTGGATCTCTGCGAGCAACGAGTGCGAGAGTGCGATGGGCAGCTACTGCGTGGTTGTGGCTGTGCACTGCCGTAGTCGTAGTAGGTTCCATCGCACATGGAACTGCGACTGCCAAGCAGTGGGATCGGCAGGTAGGTCGCTACCACGTTCCTCGACAGCTCTAGGTCGCTAAAGGCTGCTCCCCAGAATTCATAAGATTCAAGTTCGAAGTTCTTCAATCGCTTACATCCATTCATACTAGGGGTCATCGTGTTGAATAAGTCGAAATTGCCAGATCTCCAGTCACATCCCCTGGGTGAGGGGAGATAACGCCATGTAGGCTCTTTATGCTCTAGACAGGAATGTGGTATTTACTTTTATGAGTATGAGATTATGAAAGTAGAACTCCACAATCTTTGAAATCAAACGAACGGATAAAGCGACTGATAGTAGGGTCTCTTAGCATGCTGTAGAGGAGAGCGAAGATGGCTGATATCTTGTAACTACTTGTAGTGAACGTAGTGATGTTATCCTAGTGTTTAAGAATCAAGCAAGTGGATATATCACCCGGCGTGTTTTATCTACTATTCAGCAAATGCTACAAATAACTAATTTTAAAACGTTGATTTTTCCTATTGTATCTGTTGGTTAATGGTTGGTAGATATAGAAGAGTAAATTGCGGGTGAGGGCGATGCTCTCAAACCCATCTGGGGTTGCTTGCCAAATGACCCGCCCGGCGATCTCCGCAGGCAATAGAGACATTTCTAAAGTCCAGGGCATACAGCAATACATGAAATTCAGGTGGCACTGTATGAGGAGAGTCCGGTAAAAAAGTTGAGGTGAAGGAGAAAACTCACACCTTATTCCGTTGCTACATTATGCATGTCAGCACGATCAAAGCATGTGAACAAGGGGCCGTTGCTCCCTAAGCGCCGCTATCCTACCTCAAGTTGCCTCCATTACCTCCATAATAACATATTACGCATGTTCAATACAAATGAAGAAAATTGCTTAGGCTAAAAATATGTTGACTACAGGTTGCCCCAAGGTTGCTAGCTATTTCATATTGCTATCTTATATACTATTCCATTTTTTGTTCTTAGATTTCTTCTTAACCGCCCAGTCTGACCTGCACATGATGTTTATTTTTGGTTCATTATTAACCCCGCTCCAATAATCGCGCGCTCGCCTGTGCGAACCAGATTTCAGCTTCCCAAGGCTGGCTGACTTCTTTGCATAGCCACGCTTGATCGTGAGCGACGGTGAATCCGTTCGATTTCAGGGTTCTCAAGCCTCCTGTTGTGAATAGGCCTATTTCGCAGCATTTATTGCAACTGGGCGGCCTTGTGGGATCATGGCAGCCCTTGGCCAGCTCGAAAAACTCCCTGAGTCCGTGCGAGATTCGAAGCTACGCGCGGCATTTCGTTATGACGGGCATCAACAGTATGTTGTCCACCCCCGAGGACTTAGAGGGCGTCTGGAACAGAAAGAGGATGTATGGATTCGAATCAAGACTATAGGCGCTGGTGGAAATGGGTCAGTGGACCTCCAATGCAGGGAGTCGCCGAGAACAGGACTCCCAACACAACTCCGGGCCGTCAAAAATATCCGCATTCCAGAAGCCGAGCTCATATCCAACCGCGACTTTTATGTTCGCGAGCTTGAGGCAATTGCCAAATTCTCCTCGTTACGAGTAAGGGTGTCCCTTATCGATGCCGTGAGCTGAATTCTAGCTGACACGTATATTTGGTGCTCACTAGTATGGAGATCTGTTTGTCAAATCTCTTGGGTGGTTCACGAGCGAGGATACCATTCACATAGCAATGGAGTACTGTAAACTCGGGGACTTACAAATGTTTCTTTTCGATAAGTGCCCAGGCCATCGACTTCCAGAGGACCAGACTCGAGAGATTGCATCTCAAGTCCTGGAAGCGATTTCTTGTATGCATGAGGAGTACTTTGCACATCGAGATATAAAACCTGCGGTAAGACAAACCTCACATACGTTCCATATTTTTAAACGAGCCTCGCTAACAGGATCTGCTCCTTCGCAGAACATCCTGATTCAAAGCCACCCGCCAGAGAGCCCTTGGGTGGTTAAGCTGGCTGATTTCGGAATCAGCCGACGCAGCTTGGGGCATGAGATGAATTCGACTACAACAAGACGCGGCACGCCTGTATTTTGGCCTCCTGAGCTCCATGGGTTCGTAACCAGTGATAGTGAAGGGTATGGTAACCTCTATGCCACTGACATGTGGTGCTTCGGGGAGACTCTTTTCAGAGTCCTCACTGGCCAAGCCACATTCGGAAATGTGGCAAAGCTTTCGAATTTTGCATTCGGTCAGATCGACTTTCCCGAGGCTATTCTGAAAGACCTATCAGTGAGTGACGGGGGGGTTGCGTTCTTAAGATCGCTCATTGTCTGCAATCCCAGAGATCGACTCACCGCACTGGATGCACTGGAACATCCATGGTTCGACCAAGACATCCCTAATTCGTACTGGGAACAACCCAGCACGCCTCTTACAGATATCGCCAATGCCACTGACCTACCGTATCTCCACCAGGAAACTACAGGACCCTCAGCCGTTTGGCCGACAAGGAGCTCCCTAGAAGACATTGGAACTGTGAGGCAGAGTCCTCCTTCTACTTCCGCTTCTCAACCGTCTAAACAGCCCCAATCGGCAATCAGTCCTCAATCAAGGCCTTCAACAAGGGACGAGCAACCAATTCTCGAAGGTTGGGAAACAACGGTCCCTACGACAGCTTCGGCTTCGTGGCCTACGGAGCGCTCTGAGAATCAAGAACCTCACGAACAGATCAATAGTTCAGTACAAACACAATTTCACAGGGGGCATTCCGATATACAGACATACCCACGGAAAAATCTACAAATTAGGCGGAAATCAGTGCCGCCGGTAGTAGTCCCACCCCAAGAGCCAGGAATAGAAGTCTCAAAAGCCAAAGAGATGTCTATGGTCACAGCAACAAACAAGGAACCTCAAGGAAAGTTTAATGAAGAGAAAGTCGAAGCAGTAAGTAACGCCGCAAAGATAAAATATCTCGCGAAACAAGGCTACTAGAGAGTGCACAACTCGACAGATGGAGAAAGAACCCTTGAACTTCCATCCTTTAGCAATTCAGGACGTTGGAAGAGAATAATACCTAACTTCTCGTCAGTCTCCAGTCAGTCAGCTGATCCATCCCGAAACTGATTCGCATACGCTTCGCCCGTCTGCCTCGAACTCGAATACCCCAGCACTCGGTCAACAAAACGCCGATAAAACATGGGCAGGCGGAGTCAGTGGAAACCATACTAAGCGACAATTACTGCAATCAGGACAAAGATCATCATATACTCATCCGCCCCAATCAGATGAACAAGCCGAACGACCTATAAAAAATCCACCCGGGGCGAATCCTAGGGGTAATAGTTTGGTTAGGATTGTTGATAATGCCAATATCATCTCGGGTAAGAACTCAACAACATCCAATGCTGAAGACGAAAAGGACGCGATGGAATCAAATAAAGAGCTGCCCCTGGTCCCAGCAGATTTTGAGCCTCGGGATCGCATTACTTTCTTGACTTTCAGCTTACAAGAGCTTGCAAATCGACGGGCCAACTTGGGTAGAGCCATCGATCAATCGACATCGCTGTTGCCGAAAGATTCGCTATGGTCCAGTGCTGAGGAACGGCGAAAGCGTGAGGAGGGAAAGAAGAAGATAGAAGCCATTAGACAAGAGCTTTCAGAGGTTCAAAGGGAAGAGTATAAACTTAGTCTAAAACTACATCGCGCCTATAAGCGGCAAGACCAAGAAAAGGGGTTCCCGAGAAACACAGGGACATGGATAAAAAGGGTGACCAATAGTTGACCTTATTTTTCTTATTTTTGCAAACAAGAAGGTTCATATATTGAGATCCCGCAGCTCACAAGGATGGATACCTTGAAGCAAAGAGTGCGACGGGCACTGCGATGAATCATGTATAAATTTGTGAATTGCGACGGGCACGGCATAACTTGAACTCCCTACCTATGTAGTTAGTGTAGCTCACAGCGAACCAATAAGGAATCTCCAATGTAACAGTGCGATGACTGCGAGAGCGCTATACTAAGAAATATATGCACTATGAAATGTGATGGGCAGGGCATAACTCGAATGCCTGTTGGTTGATGCGGCCTGCAGTGAACCAATTAAAAGTCTCCAACGCAGCTGTGCGATGACTGCAATGACCTCCTGCAGGCTGCGCCCAATCAGCTGCTAGTCCAGGGGCTTGCTCAATCATAAGATCTCGTATGTCTCTTCTCCCGCAAACATAAACTTCTTTCTCTACTCGATACCAAAATCCGAAGTCTCATACAACGCCGCCTCTTCATTCAATCACAACATTCAGCCTCACCATGTCAGCTCCGAAGTCAGGCTCCTCTAGGCTTATCGTCAAGCGTAGCAGCTTGCAAAAGACAAGCAACAAAATGACAGAAGGGCCCAGACGACTGAACTACAAAAAATGCACGCAATGTAGAAAGGACAAACAGAAGGTATATTGCATCCCTCGTTCTCTGCCTGCTGTTCTGTGCTGACCAAACGGCTAGTGTGAGCCCCAAGACCGCGTATGGCCTGGGCAGAAATGCGATCGATGTGCGCAGAAGAATTTCGATTGCTCAGAAAGTGTTCTAGCTGGCCAACAGGCGAGCTTATCCCCTGAGCGTGCATTACCTATTGGTAATGGATGGGACATGAGCGAAGCCAACGTGACTTTCAGTGACTACGTTGAACTGTGAGTTCGAGCTATTAGAAGGGGCGATCCGCTAGCTAAATCCCATACAGGTCGAACCGAAGTCATGCTATTGGCCTCAGTTTCCTTAAAGTTAACACCGAGCCTGATCCAAACCTCCCTCAACTTCGCCAAAGCGGCATTCTATTACATGAAGAAACCTGCTCAAACCGGATCGCAGTATTTCGAGAACTTCAGCAGGCGGTGATACACTCGGAATCTGACCAGATGTCGTTCCTTCTTATATCTCTTTTCCGGGTGCTCGGCCTTAATTACAAATGTTTCGGTTGTCAAGGCTGTCAGGACAAAATTATAACAGATGCCTTACCTTCGTTAGTAGAGAAGGCAGCAGCCCTCTCAAATTACGAAGCGTCTACGCGCCTTCAGTATGCAATTTCAAGCCGGGCAAGCTCATCGACTTCAGACGCTGCTATCAAATCCTACTATGACACAGTATACGACCTTTTTACCGAACTACCGAAAATGAAAGCGAAGAATACCCTTCCATCCATTTCTCCAGGACATATGGTTCTAAACATGCTTCGTCAAAGGGATTTGTCGAATAAGCTATTAATGAGAAAGGTGGGCGGTGAATTCGACTCGTATGATCGAACCATTTTACATATAGGCCTTGAGAAGAATTGGACAGATCAGAACTTCACTCCTCTAATCAGTCTTGTGAACGTCAACCATCGGGACAGTCTTGGGCGAACCCCATTAGGACTTGCGTGCTCAAAATCAAACACATCTATCGCGAGCAGTCTTATACAGCGCGGTGCTGAGCTTGATGTTCCAGATAAATGTGGAAGGAGCCCACTATCCTGGGCTGCACAAACTGGCATCACCTCAATAGCTACACAATTACTCCAGTACGAGATTCAAGAATATATCTCCTCTTCTGAGTACCAAATCCAATTCGACAGAAAAGACAATACAGGGAAGACGCCACTATTCTACGCTATAGATGGGGGGCATGTGGATATCATACGTCTTTTACTGGCAACTGGGAAGGTTGATCCTTGGCCATTAAGAATGTCCAATAGCCTTGCTGCAGATAAAAAGATTTTGGAAATTTCGCAATCCGTCAAGGTCTCTCATAAAGATGAAATGCCGCTATCCGGGTCTGAAAATAACGAGAGAAACTCATCACCACCATTACCTGCCGTGGAGAAATCATATGAAATGGAATATGATGAATTCACAATGTCAGACTGCTCAGACGACGAACCTCCATCTCATCCGAGAAAGAGTCTTCGTTTGCCATCGTCTAGTCTGCGTTTGCCATCGCCTCTCCCGGGAAGTACAGATGTCTCTATGCCGAAAGTCGATGGCATCGCTATCCCTCAGGAATGCAATAGGAAGAGGGAATGGGCCGAAATAAAATCATCATCGGGACTGGGATCGGGAGAATTTCAAAGAATGCTCAACGCAGCCAAACCTTGGCGTGAGTCGATATCCTCGTCCAAGGCTTCCTCTTCAATTCACTCTACTCTTTCCATACGTACCAAAGGAGTCGAGTACTTAAAAGGTTTCCAATGCTGCGACAAGAATTGGCCAGATTTTCATCAATTACTTGAGCACAAAGAAACCGCTCATCATCCTTGGCAACATCCGTTGTCACTTTCGCATATTATGCAGAAAGAATTAGCTTGAAGTTGAGAAGACATAACCATTACCTTGCCGTGCGGCTTTGGAGTGACTAAGGTGTTGTCTTCGCCTGCTGGATGTTAACCATTGCCGAAAGGCATAGCGGAAGTCGAATTTGACATGGGGGATTTTTATGCAATTAAATAGATTGATCTAGCTTTTGTTCTAAGTGAATATCATGGGTATGTTTAGACACATGCAGGCTATTCCGATCATGAGCTTCAGACACAGGGCAAGACTAGGCGGAATGGGCTTTGAAAACGATTTCTTTTCGACCGCGACTCCTCTGTGAATAGATGTGGCCATCTAGGGATATGTGAGGGATATTATTCTTAATGACAAGCGTCAGCAAGGGTCCCTTCATGACTCGTCAAGCTCGCAACTGTGTAGTTATCTCAAGCTATTTTATAAGTTCCGATTTCCGAGAAGCTATAGAGAGCAACGGGATGACGTAAGGCGATAAGCTTGACTCTTATCGCCGATCGCGCTCGTCTGATTGGCCAATATTCTGTTATCAGTGCGCTGGCGTTATCTTATCGCTTATCTTGCCAGATACGGACGCATTACAGATGCCGCCATCGGCCCCTTGCTTGCCTCACGAGTTCCGTCCAGCATCACCATTCAGCCATTTTACTCTTAATCCATCCGTTCTCCTCGTTGGTTCTTGCCGTTGCCAACTTCCTGCCCCCGAGCTCTGTCCTATTCCCTCCTCAATACCTTGCGTCGGTTACCGCACCACAGCGAGAGCAAAGCGATGGAATCGGAACCGTTGATCGCCGGGCGGGGTCGCGACGAGCATCTTGGAGCTGAAGAAGCGCTCCTGCCCTCAGAGATACTGGAACCGACCAAGGAGGCACTTCCACTCGCTGAAATAGCCTCGGGAGTATATGCGCTTTTCGTTGCAGGACTGGTAGCCTCCACCTTGGGCGTGAGTTCACCCTGCAATAGCCATCATCGCTCTCTTCCTGCTCCCTCCCTGGCTTGTCCTGCCTTGTCTTGTGATGTCATGTACGACCATATGCGAAACATTGCTAACGTTGTTCTTCTCAGGCGATATTGCCACAGGTATGACGCCGTTCTCCGATCGACCGACTCTTTAACAAGCAACAAGCTGACAACCCGCCTTCCAATACAGTTAGAGGAATATTATCAACTCTCCGACAAAGCCATATCCATTATCTTCCTCTGCCCCCCTGTTGGGTTCTTCCTCGCCGCGTACTTCAGCCGTTCTCTACACTTGAAATGCGGTCGTCGCGTCGCCGTTATCATCGCGCCAGTATGCCAACTGACGTACGCCTTGACTGCCTCCCAGGCACCCCCGTTCCCCGTTCTCCTCGCCTCGCTCGTCGCCGTTGGCTTTTTTGGACTTATGGATGGATCGCTCTACGCCTGGGTCGGAGGGATGAAGCCCGCCAAGACTGTCATCGGCCTCCTCCATGGCGCGTTTTCAATCGGTGCCGCTTCTGGCCCTTTTCTAGCAAACGCCATCACCTCGGCTGCCCATAGACCGTGGTATACTTGGTATTATGTTCTCGTATGGAAAACCTGAAGGCAGAGAAACATACGACAGAATATATAGCTAATCTGGATCTCCCAGACCGCTTTTGTTTTCCTCGAGCTACCATGCCTAGCGTATTCGTTTTGGCAACATGATGTCGAGTCATTCCACGTCGAGAACGGGCGAAAGAATATTCGAGACGAAGCAGCAGAACCCGATGAAGAACCGAGCCCTCAATCCAGTTTTAGCTATACTGCCACGTGGATTGGAAGCGCCTATGTATTTGCGTTCATGGGCGTCGAATGTGAGAAGCATTCCCCCACCTAGACAATTCACTCCAGTCTAACCTAATCTCTCTCCCACAGTTACTGTGACAGGATGGGGCATCGCGTACATGAATAGAGTAAACGAAGGCTCAAATCTGCTTGGGGGTGCTTGCGTCTCCCTATTTCACCTCGGCTTAGCTGCAGGGAAACTCTCCCTGGGAGTAATGACAAGATATGTGCCAGTTCAACTTCTAGTCACCTCTTTTCTTTGCCTGGCTCTTCTTTCTCAAGTTGCCTTTGCAGTTTCAACCATCCCAGCTGTCTCGGCAGCTCTGATGGCTTTGTTGGGCTTCCTACTCGGGCCCTTGTATCCCTCCGGCATTATTATGATGACACAGTTGCTCCCAAGGGAAGTGCAGGTTGCGGGCATCTCGTTTGTTAATTCCATGGGCCAAATTGGTGCAGCGTTCATGCCTTTTATCTTTGGTCTCATTTCGAACCGTTTTGGTGTTGAGATGTTGGTGTATTATGTTTGTTTACAGCTGGCTTTGATCATTCCCCTTTGGCTCTGGTTCTTTAGACTACATTAGACTATTTTTTATTAGAGATCTTTGTCATTCATTGCGCACTAGATAGTTGGACTCAATAACTGTTATGCCATCACCTTGAGGTATTTTGGAGATAACGAAGTTATTTGATGATTCCACATAAAGCTTCTTATTGATGTCTCTCTAAAGGAAACATAACTCTTCCGTCCACTGAGTAATGCTGGGGAACTTGAAGCATATATGTGTACGTCATTCACTCGTTCGCGTGAAAAATCTCTAACTACCCAGCTTGAGACGCCGTCAGCCTTCTTACCACGGGTCGAGGTGCGCAGGGGACGCAAATACATCTTATCAAAGGAACCAGGCCTAAGTCGCACGTCACTTCAAATTTCAGACGGCATTTCCATTTACCGATACCGTCCTAATTGATCTCGTATCACAAAACACATCGGGAACTCTCCCTTGAAAAAACGCCTGCTCGTCCCTGTCGACCGCATCAGTTAGTTTCAAATATTCTAACAATCAGAAAATAATCAATCTTACACGCTAAGATAAGAGATTTCTTGACATGTAGTGATCTCTTTACGGATAGCTGATACTTGGGAGCGGCAGCCCGTAGCACTGGTACTGGTACTGGTTAGGCGTGCATGGCGAGTCTCGGGGTCTTCTCCGCGGAATATTCTCAGATACGCTCGGAGTGACAGTAAAATGGAGATTATCAGCCCTGAGTGAGCGTCTGACACGGCAAGAGCCTCTATGAAAAGGCGTAAGTTTCGATGGGTCAAAATCCCCAAGCTGAAAGAACGTACCGCCGAAAGGAAGAGAAGGGCTCGGTGAGAACACCGATTGGACGATGAACCACCTGGCCAAGGCGATGCAGAGGTTAATGAATCCCAGGCAAAAAATGATACCAGTGCTAATCCTCTGTGTCTTTGACATATTTAATCGATTAATGTAAACCAGAGGCAGAACAAAGACTAGGTTTGTAAGGTTAGCTATTACCTTAGATTTCGTATTGCCACCAAGCGATGCTTACTGAGAAGGCCACTTGCGAAATGAAAAGCCCAGCCCACATTATCTTTGACAACGACACAACTTGCATCACACGGATTATCAAGTGACCTAAAAAAATATCAGCTATCCCAGGCATCTTCTAGAGATGGGAAACAGGCGTACCAGTAACAGCCGAAGCGGCAGTAAAACAAGTTCATCAGCACAGTAGTTATGAATCCAATGATGCAAAAGGTCGAAAGAGCAAATAAAGAGGTCCTCGTCTTTCCCATATGCTGGCCGAATATTTCAAAGTACAGTGCAATGAGAGTACCTTTGTTGAGATATTGTTCGATATAGAAGGGAAAGTATAAACTGAAGAACGTCTGCGGATCCACTGTTGTGTTGGTCTTCATGAATCCTTGGCGATGCGATCTCACATACCTTGTAAACTTGGATCTTCTCTTCAACTGATGGATCCCAGTGATTCATCTGAAAATCCACATCTGGCTTGTACACTTTCATGTGATATAACCAAGTGTCGGCGGATGTTAAGGAGGCGGCCGCGACAAAGGCTGCAATCATAAAAACATCGCTTATCACAAATCCGGATTGAAGGTATCGAATTCGTAGGTAAAGTCGTGCGATGAGGAGGATGAGCGCAATGCCAATAAGCGTCCATTCGACGGCCTGGATTTACATCAGTCTCTACCGTCTTTGAGCTCGGTACGGACTAACAAAAATGCTCATACCAAAAGACCTTTTCCAGAAAACATAGTCATGTCGTCCATTTTTTTGGGGGTCCCAAACAATTCACACATCCATCGGCAAAGTGAAGGTCGCAATACTAAGTAGGTATGCCATTACACTTCACTGTTTATGTCACAGCGGTAGGCAAGGTTCGTTAGATCTTGGCACTGGGAGATATCTCATCAGCTTTAATATGTCTGCTTGAACTCGTGGCCATCAGGGCCGTGGATCGAGTCCCCACAGTCGCTTCTGGCAGGAATGTTGGCTTCAGTTCGCGCCATGTCAACATCTTTAAGTTTGGCACCAACGAACCTTTGTCGAAACTCCACCAAACTTGATTAGCTCGGATCGAATCATCTTAAGAGAGGTCCTCTATTTGTCTCCTTCTTGTTGGGTAATACGAATTTCTTGAACTTATCATCGACTTTGAGTCGATGGCTGCCGCAAGGGGTTTCCTTGATCGTACTTATATTCCGCCACTCTGTGTCGAGCTGCCCCATTATAATCAGTATCAGTAGCCGAAATTCATTCAGACCAAACAAAAATATGTATTCTGTTGTTCATCAATACTAGCCCCGTAGCCAGATGATGTTGGTGTAAATATCGGGCGGGGCGTTGCTTTCTTCCTAGGTACATGTAGCAAGTAAACTTTCTGCTTTAAAAGATCGGTGGTTCTTTCGATCCAGTTGACAAAGATGATCGATACCGATCGGCAGGCTAATCCAAAAGCAATAATTGAGGGTCCACGCAGTAATTCTTATCCCGAGCCTCTACGTGGGCGGACTCTACCAGGACTGATGCAACGAGTCTCAGCGATGTTCAACTTCAACACAGGAGTATCCAGCACTTCAATTAACCTCTTTCTGTGACTCAAAGTGAAAAACTCCGCTATACATATTACTGTCCGCAAAGGATGTTGATCCCTTTACTCTGGCATATTAAACTTATCGCATGAGTTTCTCGGCAACGGTCCATGCTACGGCTGCAAAGTTAAACCGCCGCATCGGGTTAATCCGCGATCTCACGATCTCTTCCAGAGCCAGACCTTATTCCTTCCTGCCAGTCGTTTCCTAACGGGTAGCTATCCACTCTGCAAAAAGTCAAATGGCGCCCTTGATGCAATCCAGCCACCACAGCTCGACGGTGATATTCCGCGTTCCATTTCCTCGTGCCTTAGGGGTTCGGAATCATGGCCAGATTTCTTCAACAAATGGGATCTACAGGCTAATATCCGATTTAGTATTAGATAAATCTTGTCTCGGGCCAAGATCGTCTACCACCGGGTCTACTGGCTTGGCTTCGAGATGTTTCTAGGGCGGTAACCTTCCCCCTTCGACTGTTGCCGAACCCATAGAACCATAAATATCCTTCGGCTTAAGATTACATCTCCCTAATCACATTTATATTTTGTAGTCTCTTTGAACGAAAGCTTTGATTCCAAGCCTCTGAAATCATCCTCTCAGTGTCGTATTGTCAAAAAGTCTACCTCATCATCAACTCCCGTGGTTGCTCTCCGATGTAAGTCATCACACATATGGCGTGACTCAATCTCGAGCGGAGCATATACAACAAAAAATTACAGCATTTGTATGGCATTGGTGTCGTATTTCAACCCCGGGATGGAATATACCCAGTGGGGATCTTATTGTCCGATAGCAACACGATCTCAAAACAGTTTATGATCTATTTTCCAGTCGTATGAGACATCATTATTTGGGTGATTTATAACAGTAGACACCCGTTTTCCAATATGCATTCATCCTAATCATCACTAGTAAATGATATGGCGTTGCCATCATTCAGAGTCACGAGAAGGATATCCATACTTTCTTAATCAATTAGGCCAACGATCAAACAAGGAAATCAAACGAAATTCCTGGCCTAATTGGTCCGATATGACAACGCACCGAAGGCCAGACGACCACCCCGCTTCTGCAGGTCGACGTTTTGGGCATCATTTATTACCAGACTATCGAGTGACTAACTTCGAGTTCAGCTTGAAAGAAGAGAGCCTATTTCTTCCCTTTATCTTCATCAAAAGCATTCACAATGTCGCTATTATTAAATCTTCCAACCGAGCTGCTCCTTCTTGTTCGGTCACATCTCGATCTCACAGATATTAAGCACATGCGCTTGTCATCCAGAAAGCTGTGTGCCTGCATAGAACTACGCATAGATCGCGTCTTCCTCTCGGCCAATCCACGCAATGTAGAAGTCTTTCTGGCCATTGCAGCTCACGAGACATTGCGTCGCTTCGTCACCGAAATTGTCTGGGATGACGCAGTTTTCACCTCCCTTCCACCGAGAAGAACCAGCCACGCTGGCCACTCAGAGGATGATGCCTCAACTAAATGGTTCGTGCAGCATTCTGAGAGCCGGAGACTGGAGATCGGGCAAACGTGGTCAAACAGTAAAAAAGACGACATGGGCCCTCGCGGGCATGGGCGAATCCAAGATTCGTATGAGTATTACAAAGAACTCGTCCGGGCGCAAGACGAATTACGCCAGTCTGGTCGTCATGTGAACGCCTTGCATGTTGGTGTGAGGCGGTTCCTTGCTCTTCAGCGAATCACCATCACGCCCGACGGCCATGGTGGTGTGCACAACCCACGATACCCATCCCCCATGGTCCGCAAGTTCCCACACGGATTCATTTATCCCTTTCCACACCGTTGGACTCTCGATGGCCCTTTCGGAATAGTGAACAACCATGAACTCTCTGAGCCCTGGCACCGGCTTACAGAACTGGAGAAAAACTTGTGGGAAGGGTTGCGAGCCGTTTTCAAACTGCTTGCTGAACCTTCACACAGCAAGTGCACAGTCTCAGAACTCGTCTTGGATGCAGGAATTCTCCCGACCGGGATCAGCCATCGCATATTCGAAGATCCGTGTGATGAGCTCCATGACCTGACCACATTGATCAGCCGCCCAGGCTTCCGTCGCCTGGACCTGGCCGTTGCCATAGAAGGTCCAACTCACCAGGCACCTCTATTTAGAAGTGGGCATTTTCGGCATGCGTTGAGTGGCGCAAAAGACTTGGAGCACTTCAGGCTGCAGACGAGTTCAGTGTGGCTACAGACGATCGGCGTCCAGACGAGCATAATCCCCAATAATCACATCCCCCCCTTGATTCACGTCTTTCCGGTTGAATGCTGGCCGCGGCTCCACCACTTTGGCCTTTCAGGTATGTGCGTTCGCTCACAGGATTTAATTGCTCTTCTCGGGGCCATGCCTCGCACCCTACGCTCCATCGAGCTGGACAGACTCCATTTCCGGTCTGGAAAAGGGAGTTATGGTCAGGTGCTTGCCGAGGCCAAGTACAAGCTGGGTTGGCGTCGCCGGCAAAAGCAGGATCGGGTCAAATTGACTATCTGCACGTGTCAGAAACTGCTTATGAGCGGACCTTTCGTTCGCGTATCTAATGAAATTCAAGATTATATTTATGCGGATGGGCCTTGCCCCTTCCAAGGGAACAAGTATGTCGGATACGAGCCGGCATCAATGGTGAAGTTTGAGTTGGGATTCCCATAGTTAGTAGCTAATGTCATAATGAGTTTTGCTAGACATAACAATGCCCCTTGGATATTTTTTTGCTTTTACTTTGTTATGGTATGCCTATAGTCGCGATCGATCCGTTTATACGTAATCACCCGAACCACACAAATCATACGCCGCCGGCATCAACCCAATAACATTCCGTTCTTCCCAAGGTCATCTGTTTATTTATCGTAGGGCTTTTGTCCATAAATAACAACACTGCGAACTCACTCGTTAGTTGTGTTAGAAGGAAACCAGAACTGGTATAGTCGGCCAGCAACTTACATCTGCCAGTAAGCATGAATACGGGGATCTCTCATCTCCTTACGAACGGCGGCGACAAAAGACACCACTTCCTCCTTAGTCCATCCCAGACCTCTCGTAAACAGGGCCATGCATAGACCCTCCAGGCCGGCTTCGATGTTAGCAAGGGTCCACAGACCGACCTCCTTATGCTTCTTGTCCTTGGGCCAGGTATTGATAGGCCACTTGAAGTTCTTCTGTTGGACATTCTGGTACCCAAAGTCGACGAGTCGCTTCTTATGGTTTTGCACCTCCATCCAATCACGGCCGAGCTCAACACTAGCCTTGCGCATGTAGTCGTTCCATTTGAAGAGATTCAGATCCTCTGTCAAAGTCCCGTCGTCGGAGCCGCCTGGGAAGTAAATATCAATCATCTCGATCCACCCACCAGGTACCAGATGCCTAATCAGGGATTCAGTTGACTCTAGCTCACTTTTCTATCGTGTCTAATAATAACATTCAATGCTTGAACAAAGGAGAAGCAAAATGTGCGACCTACCTATCTACTTGCACCAGGTAGTTATCCCAGCTCGCGAAGCTCATGATCATCATGCGGCTGAAGATATAATCAAATGGCTTTGTCCATGTCCACTCTTTTTCCAGATCATCGACTTCGAATTGGCAGTTAGGAGGGACGCTATCGAGCGAAGCGTAGCAGTTAGCAAGACAGTGACTAAAGCAAAGTTCAAAGACGAAGGCCTACAATTCAGGTTGGATTGGGCTAAGATCAACTCCAATGACCTGTTCTAGCTGTTAATATTGTACACCTCCATATCAAAAAACTAATTTGACAAACCGTGGCATCGGGGTGATCATCAGCTACATACGATCGTCAGTAATATCTCAGACGGATCAAAGGAGTCAAAATCATACCAAACTCAATGGCCCATATACCAGTTCCGGTCCCAACATCAAGAACACGCTTGGCACTATCTGCGCCCGGGGCAAAGTATTGACGTCCATCAAAGGTGACCCGAAAATGGTGGTTTTGGATATCTACAGCGCTCACATTAGTATAAATCCATCGAATGGACGCCAGCTATTGTTTGAGTCGTACCAAGCCGATCATTCTCCTCCTAGGGGACCTAAAATCAGTCACATATAATCACATGCCCCAGCACTGCGAGTTAACTGCTAACCTCGTCATTGGGCAGGATATATTCTATCATAGGTTTAGCCATGCCCTACCAAAACAAGCCGAGACAAGACGTACTTCCTTGACTTAGTGAATGATACTTGCGACCATTTTCCATATGGTAATGGTAGATGCTAGACCGTAGTGACTCAGAGGACAATTGATCGTCGGTCTAGGTAATCGACATGGCATTAGTCCGGTTTCCACGAGTCGGGCTGCGATGCTTTCGTGCAGGTCCCACGAGGTGATTGAATAGGCATCTCACAATTCCAAGGGCAGAGTCTCCATCATCGTCATCGATAGCTTCAGCTTCCTATTCATGACAATAAAAAGGGTTTGTTCATGTCAGATTCAATGCTAATATAGATGAGGTGTGACCCCTGGGGGCGCCTACCAACGCCGCAATATGCGTATCTCCATCGGCAGTGGTTTCTTCGGCCACCGTGGTTGGAGCAGCAGCAGCTTGGGCAGAAGCCCCAGAGCTGCTGGCCTGCGTGGCCACGGGAGGAGACGCCATCTCAGCTCGGCTCAAGGGGGAATTGGTCAAGAGAAAAGCAAACAAAGAGATATGCTGTATCACGAGCTCAGAATCGAGACTGTTGAGTGGAAATGGGAATAGGAAACTACGGCAAACAGCGGGTGCGCGGCCTCAAGCACCTTTCACTGTATGGGTTTCCCCGACCTGCTATCCATCATGTGCCATACCAGCTTGTCCATCATGTGCCATACCAGCTTGATCTCCTGGTTACTGGGGTTCAGAGAAGGACCCTGCGTTAGCGAATTGGATCAGAGTAGCCCCTACTGGGCTTATGTGCGCCAGGACCTAGCATGCCGCAGATGAATGCTGGCCTAATGCGGGTACAGCACATCCGCTGCTCAGCCAAGCATGCCGACGGGAGGGTGGTACGATATCCGTCATGGTCTGGGCTTGGTTGTGAGGGGGTTGGGGGAAACGTGTGGGTTGCTTGATTCGCAACACCTACGGGAAGGGCCCGCCTTCTCCTCTCTGACTTGATTCCCAGGCTTAGGATCCCGGCCCGCGCCGGAAACCATGGATCTCGAGGACGCCAGGCAAAGCTTATTCCAGCGGGCATCCCAAGCCCAACCTGACCCCTACAACATCCATCATATATGGCGGCTGGGGTTACGCTCAGCTCGGCATGTAAAACTAGCGGGTTACCCAAGTCCTTGAGAAGGAAACTGCCATGGTAGACATGGGTTGCTTCCGATGAAACCATCCGTTTTCCTCGTGTAGCAGGGATGTAAGGTTTATGGTGGGGAGCTGATGGTTTGCAGTAGAATCTTCGTATGCTTGACAAAGATTTCTTCTTTCAATGGCATTAATTCTTGGCCTAAATAGCACTGAATTTCTTGCGATTGGTTCTATCGACGGCTAAATACAGTTTGCAATTCCCCCAGTCACCTAGCAAACCTCGTAGATCTCATCATGATGTGCGCAACTCAGCCGTGTAGCTTGGAAGAATTGGTGTCCACTCGTTCCTGTGCCGCTCGTAGTTGACAGCAATGCGTCAATTTCAAAGGATATGTCACTGACTAGACGGGGAACGGCCGAGGCAGTTCACCAACATATCTGGCCCCGGCTCGACCTGATTCGAGAACGATGCCAACCCCGTGCAAAGCTACTGTGTCCTGCCTGTTCCATGACCGGCGAGGAACATGGATGAAAGCAATGCGCTGTCCCACCTCCATCCCGTTCTTTCCAAGTCGTCATTCATAAAAGCGCTGTCCCATCCTATGATGCATGATGCATCAGGGCATGACGCGGTCAGCAGCAATCAAGGTTTTGCTCACCGTCAGATGTCCATACCAGCAGCGAGGCATCTGTCGGGGATTGTTCATAATTGGTTCAGTCGTGCATATTGCTGACGGGCTTTTAGCCAGACTACACCACTCAAGCGGCCTCTGCTCCCTCGATGTTCACTCATCATCAATCGAATGGTGTAGAATAAACGTCCGTCGAATGATCGAATCTATGAAACCTCGCGAGATCCTGTCTCTCGCCCATGTTCTTTCGCCCATGGCAACCGGTGGATTAAATCCCCGTCTCTTAAGCTCATACCGCCATTCCCAGAGTGTTCCAGAAGCAAACCCCTCATCCCACCTTGCAAAACCAGGCGGGATGCTGCATCTACATTCACTAGTGGGAACATGCCATCATTACCACAAATCTGGCAATTAGTGCCGACGCCTCCTAGCCGTCATTGCAACCGTCCTGCACTCATGAAAGTCCATACGTAGCTCAGCGTACTAGAACTATGGCCGTTCATAGTATAGCTATTAACCAGGGCTTGTTTCGCCGGTTGACTTGGCCATGGGTTACAAGGGCTGCCACGTGAAGCGACAGGCTACGTATGCTCATCCGAATCCTCCCTCGGCAGATGGTCGAGACCATTGTTGTTTTCCGGAGCCGAAACGAGGGAGCTGTGTCGGTTTAATACGAACAAGACCTCATTCCCTAAGCTTGACAATCTTGCAGTTCCGTGCAGTGCAAAAGACAGACAACCTTGCAGCATTCAGTATGCCGCAGCCAGCCCCTCGCCTCCTTGTCGGCGAGCAGAACGCCCAATCATTCAGGGCTCAACCCCATTCTCTGGCTATGAAAGACAAACAGTACCAAAATATGCACATAATTCCCCCGCGCTCTGCAGATTGTAGACTTCCCCAGTAGCCAAGCACGAGTATGAATCCCTCCTGGGCCCAGGACCACAAATCATGCTGCTACCCAAAGGCCATTTAGAAAGTAATGGTTGTCTTTTAGTAGTTCACTGCCGATCAAATAGGTTTGAATCATAAATATCACGAAATATTGGTGGCGGCTATTGTAAAATATTTTGAGGAGTGTTTGAATTTATTGATTTTCTAGGTTTTTAAAAGTTTGGGGTATATATCTATGAATTAAATTGATGAGCCATAATCATCCTGGGCGCCTTTCTGTTATGTATACAACTTTTCCGAGTATTGGATTTACTCGAGGTCAAAGTCCAGACCACGCTTGACAGCGAAGTCAATCCACTCAGAAACGGCGTCGAGGTCACGCTCCTCCATATCCTGGAGGTCACGGCCCTCCAGGTCGGCGAGGTCGTAACGCTCGTAGATCTCGTCAGCGACGTCACGCTCATCAATCTCTTCAGCCAGGTCACGCAGGACGAGCTCGTAGACATCGTCGTCGAGCAGAAGATCGCGCTCGTACATCTCGTCGATGTCACGCTCGCTGAGCTCGGCAGCGTCACGCTCATAGATTTCCTCAACATCCCGCTCGAGCAGCTCTAGGTCGCGCTCAAGGAGCTCGTCGATCTCACGCTCCTGCAAGTATTCGTCGAAATCGCGCTCCTCAAGAGCTTCCTCGAACTCACGCTCCTCCAGATCCTCAACATCGCGCTCATCAAAGAGCTCGTCGTCGAACTCACGCTCAAAGAGCTCGTCGTCAAACTCGCGCTCAAAGAGTTCGTCGTCAAACTCACGCTCAAAGAGCTCGTCGCCAAACTCACGCTCCTCGATCACTCCATCGAAGTCGCGGGCGATGAGGTCATCGAATTCGCGCTCCTCCAGGTCCTCCTCACGCTCCACGAGTTCCTCAACATCTCGGACCTCGACCTCCTCAACATCGCGCTCGGCAGGGAGCTCGACATCGCGGACCTCGACCTCCTCGACGTCACGTTCATCCAGGGCCTCCACCTCTCTTTGGACGAGGGGCGCCTCATAAGCAGCACCAATGCTGCCTTCCGCTCGGGGAGCAACGTCCATGCGGGGAAGGGGGGCAGCAATTGCATGGTCAGCCACGCCGAGAAGGACGGCGGCGGTGACAGAAAGAGTAATCTTCTTGGAGCAGACCATTTTGATTGATTTAAAGGGGTTGAAAAAAAGGTTGATTAAATTAAGAATTGAAGGTGGTAAAAAAGTTGATATTGGCCGGCAATATTGTAAATTGGTAAAAAAGGGAAGATCGAAGTGAATTATCGTAGAGACCGGCTCTAGATGTGAAGATGGTGCTGTTATGGGTGAGGTGGGTGGTTGAATGCTGGATGCTTCATCTCGGTTTGGAGGCAGTGGGAGGGCAGTTTATATATCTCGAGATGGAGAGTGACCGGCCTGGGTCGCGGGAAGCATTCGAAGCTGTGGAGAAGGCACACGACAGCAAAACGACGTGATCAGCAGAGTGGTGGCAAGGGATGGCATGGAGGCAATCCACCTGTTGGCGATGCCGGAAGAGACGAAATTACCTACAAGCTACCCACAGGCACCGAGCTACCCATACACTGAGCATGTACCACGGAAGTTGGTCGATCTGTTGACTTTGCCATGGGTGCCGCTCCTAAACGGGGCCTCAATCTCATGCGAGCTGAGGGGCGCTCAAGACCAAGACGGACACATTGTGAGCATTCGGCAGTCATCCAACGGTTCAGCCCGCTAGGCATGCCCCAAATAGGTCGTTCCCTGGCGTATTTGGTAAACTAGTCAGGTACTTGAGCCAACGAACAGGATCTTTACTCTGCTTGTGACGGGGGTGGCGACCAAGGAGCAACTTCTGGTCCCAACACACAGGCCCTCTGTACCAGGAACAGCTTATTAAGATCCGCTTTGGTGTGTTTTTTTAGCAGCTGTCCATGCTGCACTCAGTGGGGATATGCTGACATAGCCCGGTTGCTCAGTCGGCTGTTCATTTTTAGAACAATCAGCAGAACTACTAACCACGCCAGGAAATACCCGTCCGTAGTCCAGGTTCTAGACAAACAAACCTGTTGGTTAATCTAATCAAAATAACCTGTTATTTTTGCCATTCATCCACCAACAAACGGGCTCTGTACGTACTGTGTAGCGTCTTCTGTGATGAAATGTCCGTTGATTGATCTAATTATAGAACCTCGATCTCACTCCCTCCATTGAACACTTCTTGCCATCTTGCCTACCCTGAACCTTCATTGGCGATTGTCACCAACGAAGTATTCGTCATGAAGATGGAAAGAGATGCGTTTCGACATTACCTGATCTAGTAATCTTGTATATTACAGTTTATTTGCGGTTTATTTTGAAGCTATCTTTACTGTCCTTTTAATCGTATGTTCAGCGCTAAGTTAAACACCTTGATACAGGTGATTAAACATGAAATATTATTGATATTTCCAGTTACTGCAGGACCTCTGTACATTAAAGTAGCATAATATGCATGCAACTTACTCTTTCATCATCACGTCCGTGTTTCTGATGTCGATACTGCACGTATGTCCCTTTGGCTCTCCAAACATTGCCTCCTGCGTCGCATCAAGCTCGCATCTACGGAGAGTCACCGTCCGCTTGTCCAAGTCGAAACGGAGTCCCAGATGACTAAGAATATCAACAAGGCAAATTCCTCCCGAGCGAGATCTTAGCTAGTTGAACCAACTGCATCCAAGTGGCACTACTACTCGGTACAGTCGATGATGATGCTGAATGCCTGGCTACACCGGGCCGAGCGACGGAAGGGATTGGAGTTCTTGGCCTGGATTCCACAGCTCTGCCCCGACCGGCGGTTTCGTGGGACGTCAATCCGCCAAATGCTGCTGAAGCGAACGCATCGAGTAGTAGGTCCATGTAGGATCCAATCCTACCTTGTCTCACAAGAACCTTAGTTCACCCATATCTTTTTCAACATGATCGTGGTACTAAATTGAATTTATTACGAATATCGCCTATTATCCCAAGCGATGAGAGACGGAATTCTGAGTCTGGCACGTGACGATAATTCCGTAATCGGATAATTGTTTTTCATATTCCGAGAATCGCACAATTTGAAGCCGCCGCGTGATTCGGCTTACCCTGTAGCTAGCAAACAGCTTGGATACGCGAAACGCGATACGCAGACACACGGCGCACGTGCTCAACTTCCCAAAAATGATAGCTGAGGGATGTCTGTAAATTTCATGGGCAGTACCTGGTTGCCAGCCCAGGGGAACAGGATGTAGATGAACCTAGGCTGCTCCTACACCGGCTGTAGCGACAATTATTCGTGGTGGCTCTCGAGCATAGTGTATGTATGTACTGCGGCATGTCCGTTTACTCTGTCACTTGTTGCACAAACTTTGTTCGGTCACTTCAACAATGGACTTTAGTCAAGGTACACGCAAGTCTCCTCTTTATTTCAGCCCTGGGCTGATACGTATGAATAATTCTCGTGAATCGCCAGCAGAAGCGCACAGAGCTCTAGGGCGACGAGTCTAGACCAGCCTTAGGATCGTCTAGTGAGTTTCGTAACCAGATTCCGAGATTCCCTGAGAAGGGGCCCCGCATTTGAAGTGTGGCTTTCATGCTAGGGCGAATGGCTTCCGAGGCGATGTCCGACTAGGCCATGTGGTGAATCACTGACTGGTGATGGGATGGGGAAATCAGGCACTGTCTGAGATTCTCTGCACCTGACACATGGTGAAAGTCCACTAACAGTAATGGATTGTTCGGCACGGGCTTTTCCCTAACGAGCGCTTGTAATTTAGCAGCATTGTCCCACTGCTGTTGGCTGTGTGTTTGTATGCAGGGCCAGCACTGGATCACCAACAGAGCAATTATCGCCAACAAGAGTTGACGAGGTATTGAATGAATTAATAACACACATCAAAACGACAAAGACGCGAACCATCTTGATTTTGACCATGGTCATGTCCCGTATCGGCAGGTGGCATACGGCTCGCATTCCCCAAGCACAGAGCGCGCGCGCTGGCGGCGAAGCAGCAGAACAGGCCGTCCTGCCCAGTGGTACTGTCAGATTTTGGACTGGCCGTGGGGTCTTTCATTTGGCTCACCGGAAACTATGGTGGCCGGACCTTGGCACTTGGCAGGCGACGAACCATGTCCTCTCCACCAGCAGACCCAGCCCTAGGTGGTGGCTCTCTGGATGAAGTCGGGGTCTAAGCTAGATGACGATCAGTTATTGATCAAACAGGCCTCTGGAATGCTCAATGGAGGTGAATCGAAGCCTTTCCCGACATTCATTACCTCGGACTTTTCGTGCTGGGGAGACGGCGCCAGATGTAAGCAAGCGGCACGACCTGAAACCCCCGGCGCCAGGCACAGGTCTTTTGCTGTCATTGCCCAAATCGGGACATATTTGGTGCCATTATGAGGTTACATGGAGGGAATATTTATTGCTGAAATGGCGCGTCCGTCAGCAGCGCACCGGCGGGTTGCCAGCACTAACGACGCACGACGATCCAATTAGCCCCTTTAATTGCTTCTGCTCTCCGCAAGCAATGGCCAGGCAATAAAACCAATCCAGAGCCCACTCACGCCACCTACGCACCCGCCTAGAGGGTCTCCCCGTTTGGTTGCTCGTTCCTCCGTCCTGACAGTCTATCCTTTCGCCAGTCCCTTTCCTGGCCGTTCGTCATGATGCCGGCTGGAGCAGCGGCACCACCAGTCTGGCTTCGAGATGGCATTACGATAAGCTCGGCCTGCACTAAGTCGTGTGGTAAGTAAACAAGCTTGGCTGGCCTGCGGGTAGTTCCGACGAAGATAGAAAAAAATGTGCTGATCTTACCGCCTCTAGACACGGCCTTCGAAGTCGCCCAAAACTCGACGAAAACCGACCTCTGCGGCGCCGATTCGAAATTCCAGAATGCCTATATCCCTTGCTCCCGATGTATCGAAAAGCGATCGCCCGGTGCCGTTCCGTCGGATTTGTTGACATACCTCGCCTACTGTAATATCGACGTCGATTTAGTTACGAGCTCGTTACGCATGGGGGATGGCACCACATCGACAATCGTTAATGTAAAATATGCGCCCACGGTGGCGGCGACCGTCACCAGCTCCGTCGACACTGATTTCGATACCGTGGACACGTCGAGCGACGAGCCTAAAAGCAGTGAGTGAATCAGGACCAAGATGTCGGCGATGGCATGGCAAGCTAATGGGCACCCTTTACATAGAAGCATGGATTGCCGGCCCCGTGTTCGGTGCGCTCGTCGGTCTCGGCATTATTCTGGGCATCGTGTGGTTCTTCTGGAGACGAAAGCATCGCAACGAGCTGGAGGAAGACACGGGATCGGAAGTCGCAGTATCTCACAAGCCCCCCAGGTCCGAAGCTGCAAGATCAGTAAGATCTGGGACGTCTCGCAGGGCGATTTCGACCAAGGCAATGTCCGAACAAGCCAAGTCCGAGATCATGAGCGACGTGGATGCCCAGAGTCTACACCCTCCCTCAACGAAGCATTATTCGGTAAAGAGCTCGCCACCGCCCTCACTCCACAGACGGTACTCGGAGATCGACAGCGTGAATGTCCACGAGATGGTTGGGTCGCCGGTCCTCCGTTCAGTGGCGGAGAGCGTGACGGAGTCGGCGATGGACAACGAGGTTTCCACGATACACACGCGGTATTCGGAGATTGACGGCCGGAATATCAACGAGATGTTGGGATCTCCCGGCGTCGCATACTTTAAAGATATCCCGCCACCGCTACCGCCGAAGGACAAATTCAGCATCGGTCGACAACACACGGAGATTGACAGCAATAACATCCACGAAATGGCCGGCTCTCCTGTCCTCCAACCGGTTTACGAGAAGCCGGCCAACGAGGTTCCTGCGGTAGAGATGGAACACTTGCAACAGTTACAACAGTTCGAATCGCTCGACGACGATCTCGACGAGATGCCGGTGCCGAATAAGAACAAGTCCCGAGATAATACCTGAAAATAAAAATCAAATACTACATTTCAACGACCGATACGATTTCACGAAAGTCGCCTCCAGTTGCTGGCCAACGTCGAACCTGTCCATTCATTCCTACTCGAGTTGAGCGCTAGACATAATAAGTATTGTGGCACGAACTGGCCGGGCGGTTAGGGTTTAATTGCACGGTTTAGTCCTT